AACTAAAAAAACTAAATAACTAAAAATAATAACAACTCTCTGTCAATTGCATTAACAGAAGGAAAAAGTCAAGATCACGTGAACTATTATTACCGCTTTATAAGGTCTTGGTAAGACCACACTTGGAATGCTGCATCCAGTTTTGGTCACTATGATATAAAAAAAGATGTTCAGACTTTGGAAAGAGTGCAGAGAAGAGCAACAAAGATGATTAGGGAACTGAAAGCTAAAACATATGAAGAACGGTTGCAGGATTTGGGTATGTCTAGTTTAATGAAGAGAAGGGCTAGGGTGATATGATAGCAGTATTCCAACATCTGAGGGGCTGCTACAAGGAAGAGGGAGGCAAGCTATTCTCCAAAGCACCAGAAGGCAGGACAAGACGCAAGGGATGAAAACTAATCAAGGAGAGAACCAACCGAGAACCAAGGAGAAATTTCTTGACAGTGAGAACAGTTAACCAGTGGAACAACTTGCCTACCAGAGGTGTAGGTGCTCCATCTCTGCAACCTACATGGTGGTGGTAGTTGTTTTCCCAAAGTGGTGAAGTGAATTGCTGGGTAAAGGGGAACATGGTCCTCAGAATACTGCATTAATACCTTGGATATTTAGATGATTTTTTTGCTACCTTGAAAAATATTTAAATCTATGGACCTCCTGAGAGGAGGAAAGACGGGGGAACATGATGCTGCATACATCATGATGTTATACAAATGTTTCCAAGAATGAGATACCAACTTTTTTATTTCAAGACATTTGTGCAGTGACTTCATGATGGATTTGACATCATTGTGCCTTGTATAGGATGTCATGAATCTAACCCACCCCGTATATTGGCCATGGAATTACTGTTACTTCTTGCATGTTCTTTTCACTATGATACTTTCAGGACAGGTGTCCAAGATCCCAGATCAGGCGAAGCCCTGCCTATCACGATAGCTGGATTCTTGACAATGTGATCTCAGAGAGCTTTCTTTCTTTATTGATTTATATCCCATCTTTATTATTTCTTACAAATAACTCAAGGCAGTGAACACATCTAATCCTCCATCCTCCTCCTATTTTCCCCACAACAACCCTGTGAGGTGGTCTGGGATGAGAGAGACGGACTGGGCCAAGGTCACTCAGCTGGCTTTTGTGGCTAAAGTGGGATTTGAACTCACAGTCTCTCACTTTCTATCTTTGTGCTTCAATCCGTTGTCCCTTGTCATCTATATGTTCTCCTCCCAAGTAAATCATGTAAGATTATTGAGGTTGTACTGCCTGCTAAGCACAAAAGTGCTAGGATAGGGTAGGATAGGATAGGAGGGGAGGGGAGGGGAGGGGAGAGGAGAGGAGAGGAGAGGAGAGGAGAGGAGAGAAGAGAAGAGAAGATTCTTTATTGGCCAAATGTGATTGGACACACAAGGAAGAAGCTCTCAGTGTACTATACATACAAAGCTATAAGATATAAGATACCAATAGGCACCCAAAGCAGAGGCTAGAAACCATGGTTTACAGTCTAGGCTAGGGCAACAAAACACAGCTAAAACAAGTCATGCAGTATGGAAATCTCTTAAATTCCCACTGATGGTTGGCGAGGAAACCACCTCTCAATCATAGGAGGAGGGTTGGGTGAGTCTATGACGTATCTGAAGATGTGACTAGGAACTCGGGAAAACTTCTACCTTTTAATAAAATGTGTGAGTCGGAGAAAGAATCCCTGGCCTCCAGAACCATGCAAATGGCCTGCAAGCAGGAAGAACAAATAGCAAGAAGAGAAGCATAAACTTCCTTGAGGAGTTAACGCTGAAGTGTGGTGGCACGGAGAAGATTCCTCTGTTGGAGCAGAGCTTCCTCCTCCAGAAAAGGAAACAGGAGGGGCGTTCCCAAGACTGATGCCCCTTGTTCTTGAGGAGATGAAAGCCAGGCCGACATTTGTTTAGGGCTTGTAAATTCCAAGCCAATTGGCTCGGGTATCTGAATGTGAAAGGAAGCTTTGATAAGATCGGCTTGCTGCCCCTTTGTGAGACCAGTGCTTCATTCTTAACACCTCCCTGGAGTTTAGGGAACCACTTTAAAAGGGCCTTTGTCTTGCAGTTTGTCCAAAGCACTCACATCAAAAACAGCCTGGAAGATCAGAAGGCTTATTTGAAACTCCAAATGAAGGCTGGGAAGTGATAAAGCAACAATGACGTTAGACAAGGGGAGCCCCTTCTCCTGATGTCCGAAGAAGGGTTAATCATTGATCACTCCCAATGCAATGCATCTCCCTCCTGAGGAAGAGTTTTCTATCACCACCATCAAAGTGATGCCCAGAGAAGTGACCTTTTCTGAAGTTATCCTGTTTAGAGAGGCCGAAAGGAGGCGGGATGGAGAAAGGTACTCATTCATCCCAGGAAAAGGTTCATGGGGATCAGGCAATCCAGACAGGCCAGGTGAAACCTGGTTACTCTAGAGACCATCCTATTAAGCCATAACAGAATAACAGGATAACAAGAGTTGGAAGGGATCTTGTACAGGCAGAAGACCCTATATCATTCCAGACAAGTGGCTATCCAGTCTCTTAAAAACCTCCAGTTTTAGAGTATCCACAACTTCTGGAAGGAAGCCATTCTACTGATCAATTGTTCTTAGTGTCAGTAAATTTCTCCTTAGTTCTAGGTTGCATCTCTCTCTTTAACAAGCTTCCAACCATTTCTTCTTCTCCAGCCTTCAGATGCTTTGCAAAAAAAGGTTGACCCCCTCTTCTCTGTTGCAGCCCAAGTACTGGAACATGCTATCATGTCACCCCTAGTCCTTCTCTTCATTAAACTAGACATACCCAATTCCTGCAACCTTTCTTCATATGTTTTAGTTTCCAGCTTCTTAACCATCTTTGTTGCTCTTCTGCTTTCCAGAGTCTCAACAACTTTTTTATATCATGGTGACCAAAACCGGATGTGGATCAAATATTACAATATGATATGATTATAGTATTATATAATGGATCAAAACCATGATGCGGTTGGTACTTCAATTCTCAGAATTCCCTAGGAATTCATGGGTGCCTGGGAATTGAAATTGACAAATCCTAAAGAGTCCGTTGCTCTAGCCCAACAATCAGAGACTGGTGATCAACTTGTTCAGCAACTGATCCGAGATTCTTTTAAACTATGATTTCAATTTTGCAAGCATTCTTAGAAAACGTTGTTTTATTTCTTCATATATCATTCTGTTTGTACCTCATGCACCAAGGTCACTGGCACTCTGTGTAAATGTTTCAGTAAGAACAAATACAAAAAACCCTCTTTCTGGATCAAGTCTAGCTTAGACTTCACAAGAGAAAAGGACAAAGAGCCAAATATGGTGAAATTTTTATCCAAAAATTGGAGCGTAAAGAACTGGTACTAGATAAGGGCTCTTGAGTCATGAGTCATGTTTTATCTCCAATGTATGTTTTGTCTCTTGGAAAAACAAGGACAAAAGAAAAGTCCTGGATGATTTATACTGATCAGCAGAGGTTAGAAGTAGAAAAAGAATTTAACAGAATAACAGAATTGGAAGGGATCTTGGAGGTCTTCTAGTCTAACCCCTTGCTCAAGCAGGAGCCCCAAAACTATTTCAGACAAAAGGCTGTCCAGTTTCTTCTTAAAACTCTCCAGTGACAACCTCATGGTGCTCATTTCCTTGTTGCACTGAGATATGCACCAGAAGTGGCCAAATTTTTGTGTTCTGATCTTCTGAAGGCCATTGGGAAAGGGGGGGGGGCGATCATTCCCTGATACAGTGATCTCACAGGAAATATTTTCAGTCTAATTTGGGAAGATTTTAAGGTTTGAAATGGGAATAGATCTCTGAGACACAAACATCTACTTCCCCACTTGTAAATTCACCTAGTTTATCATCAGTGCAATGGTGCAAAATGTGCTGAGCATGACACACAGGTCTTTGGCATGGCTTACAAACCATGATTGTCTTCCATATACTCACAATGGCACCCTAAAATGTTATGATTTCTAAAATACACAGAACCTTCACAATTTAGAATCATATATATTCCATAAATAGGACTGCATTGAAATAATAGCATGTATCAAGATTCATAATACAGATAGACCTCGACTTACCACAATTGAGCCCAGAATTTATGCCGCTGAGAAATTTGCTAAGTGAGTTTTGCCTCATTTTATGACTTTTCTTGCCACATTTGCTAAGTGAATCACTGCAGTTGTTAAATTTGTAACACGGTTGTTAAGTGAATCTGGCTTCCCCCATTGAGTTTGCTAGTCAGAAGGTTGCAAAAGGGGATCACATGACCCACGGGACACTGGAACCGTCATAAATATGAACCACCTCTCGAGCATCCGAATGTAAATCATGTGACGCTGCAAAGTTGCAAAGACCCTCAAAACATTCCTGTTTCAGCAGGCCGGCCTGGCCTAACTTTCCCTTTATATTGCTTTTGATTTTATTTTAAACTGGGATGTCTTGAATTATCTAGGACCAGAGTGTTTAGTATATTTTAATTGGTTTTTTTTAACGTTTGTATTACACGTATTTTTATCGTTCACTGTTCACCGCCCTGAGTCCCTCAGGAATAGGGCGGTATATAAATTTAATAAATATAAATAAATAAATAAATAAATAAATAAATAAATAAATAAATAAATAAATAAATAAAGAAAGAAAGAAAGAAAGAAAGAAAGAAAGAGTGAAAAATGGTCATAAGTCACTTTTTTCAGTGCTGCTGTCATAACTTTGAATGGTCAATAAATCATAGAACCGTCATAATTTAAAATCACGTACATCCCATAAATAGGACTGCATTGAAATAATAGCATGCATTGAGATGCATAATATTATATTATACTAATATTTATGTATTACAACAAAGGGAGGGGGGAGAGAGGCCACAGCGCCTGCGCGCCAAGGGAGAGCGCCCTCTCCCTCCCTCTGCCCCCCCCCCACGCGCGCGCGCTCGTTCATCCGTTGGGCTCGCGCACGAGCGCGCCGCCGCGCTTGCGCAATACCGCGCGCGGCGCGAGGTGTGGGGGGTGGGGGCGATGAGCGTCCTGCTCCCCAACATGGCGGACTTCGACACCATCTACGAACTGGAGGAGGAAGAGGAGGAGGAGGAGGAGGCGGAGGCGGAGGCGGCGGCGGCGGACCAAGAGGAGCTGACGGAGGCCTCCCGGACTGTGGTGAGGAGTCAGGAGCTGCCGCGGCCCCGGGACGCGCCCGAACCCGTGGCTGTGAGGGGCGCCGGGCAGATCACCGTGTAAGGACCCGCGGAGGGGGCGAAGGGTGCGGGCGGGCTGGGCGGGGCCGCGGGGCCTGCAGGCGGGGGGAGGGAGGCGTGCCTCTGAGCGCGTGCAGAGAGGGGAGGGGGGGGGCGCCGGGGGGGGGGGGGGGGGGGCGGGGGGGGGGGGCGTGGGGGGGAGGGGGGAGGGTCCCTTGGGCATGTGCAGAGCGCCGGGACCCTCAGAGGAGGGGCAGAAGTGTGGAGGAACCCGCGACCCCCCCCCTTTTTTTAGGGGTGAGATGAGGTGCGGAAGTCCCAGGGTTCCTGAGCGTGTACAGAGCGCCCGTCTTTCACTGAGCAGCGGCTGTTCCTTGGATCTTCCAGAGACCCTCGGGGAGGGAGTCAGCCTGACAGGCAATGAGCAGCTTTTTATTTATTTTAATTTGTATTTTTATTTATTAATTTGTATTTTATTTATTTATTCATTCCTCAAATGGATACAGCCGCCTGTCTCATACATTTTCTGACAATTTCAGAATATTAAAATATACAAAGAAGAGCAAGAGAAGCATTTAAAAAAAAACAAAACCCAGCCAATATAAAAGCATGTAGAAAGCCATCCTAAAAATAATAATAAAATTAAAGTCACCTTTAACCGTAACATGCAATACATGCAATACAACTACAGGTGGCCCTCGACTCACAATAGTTCGTTTAGTGACCGAAGTTACAACAGCACTAAAAAAGGGACTTACGACCTTTTTTCACACCACTGTGGCAGCATCCTCATGATCACACGATCAAAATTTAGACGCTTGGCAACTGATTCATATTTAGGATGGTTCCAATGACGCGGGTCATGTAGTCCCTTTTTGTGACCTGACAAGCAATGAGGAAGCTAGATTCACTTAACAACCGTGTGACTAACTTAACAAGTGCAGTGATTCACTTAACAACTGTGACAAGACAGGTAAAATGGGGCACAATTCTTTTGACAAATGTCTCAATTAGCAACAGAAATTTTGGGCTCAATTGTGGTCGTAAGTCAAGGACTACCTGTACTTGCTTTCTGGAGCACCTATGGGAAGAAGCCCAGCAGAGACCTTGTGCTGAAAGGACCCCAGAGCCTTCCTTAGGGTAGCCCCTTCTCTCACTTAGGGCACTTTCGCCCTTTGGGGTGTCTGTGATAGGATGGGGAGAGACACTGTCATTGCTTCCCTCTGGAAAGCCCTGGGGGGCCCATGGGGCCAACAGTCAGGCAGCCCCAAACTCTTCTCCAGTATTTGCAGGGTTGTGCCCCCCCCCCCCTTGCCTCAAACATTTGGGCTTGAGGTTGATGCTGCACTGCAGACAAGGAGGGCACATTTTAATATTGTCTGTATTGAACAAAAATAAAAACAGAACCAGATGAGGATATCTATAAAAGGAGCTGGAGCAACACAGGAGCAGGAAGATATGTTGGATGTGTTTGCTGCCTTGAATTATTTGCAAAAAAAATAAAGGCGCAGTACAAATAAACGAATTAATAAAGGAGGGTGTGACATTGCAAAGGCTTGGGTGATACTTAGCAGAGTTACAATTCAAAAGTTGTGAATGCTATCCAAACGGTGAATCTGGGATATGATAGAAAGTGATCCTAAAGTGGCCATTTGAAAAACATTGGTAGCTCTCTGATTGTTTGTTCGCTTTTAATTATGAGAGGGAACCCATTTGCTTTTCAAGTGTAATCATAGAATGTGTGTTAAATGCAATTCTTTGTTACAATGTCTATTTTTACATCTTGCCCTGCTTTCAGTAAAGCAAATAACTTAATAATGTAAGAGAACTGTCCTTTTGTTATTTGTTATTTTGTTAAATGTTAACGGCTTTATTTAAATTTTAAACTCCCTAGGCATCATTATTTGTCATTTGATATTTATTTCATTATCCGTTCAAAGATTATTGTCTTGGAAATAATTGGGAATACAGTAATTCGAATTACTTATTCTTATTATATGTATCAAATGGGATGTTTTGAATTGTGCTCACATGATATTTCTTTTTTATAATGCTCTGTTGTTGAACCCATTCTTTTTAAGAGGACATTTGCTTTCTCTTACTAAGATCTATTTGCTTTGTATATCTTCATTAAGTATTTTAATTTTTATTCTTAAATTGCATTTACATTAAGAGATGAAAGCAAGTAGTATCTTGATCTGATAGTTCTTCACTGGTCATTGACCCCTCTTTTTTAAAAAAGAACTATTTATATATAGAGTGAACTTTCTGTGTACTTTAAAAAAAACTTACCCAGAATTCTTTGACTTTGAATGTATGATTTCCATTTCTTACCTCCCTTTCTGTGGGGTACAATATATTCTACATTTTATCTGTAACTTCCTCATTTTTGTCAGTGTTTTCTCCATATTATACTAACTATACTGTTAGTTCTTGAGCCCTCTGAATAGACCACTCTGTGTCCCCCACTTGATTGAAACACTGCATTTATACTGCTGTGAAATCTTTGCCAGTATTTCTAGGTGTCACCAATCCATACTGTTTGGAGTCTGTAGATTCATCTCCCCGCAACCCAGTTCTGGATCACGGCTTGAGACATGAGTAATGAAAAACCTAATTACAAAGCATGTAACTTTATTTATCTCTTCATATTGCATAAAACAACTTTGTGATAAGCTAATAATAAAAAGGACAATGTGATATAGATTTGAACCATATTTAAATTGCTTATTAATTAAACTACTCAACTAAAAAAATCTGTATGCCAAGGTATATAAAAAAATCTGTATGCCAAGGTATATTGAAGAAAGCTTTCTCTTTCATGACCCTCCTTCTGGAAGGGTATAAATTAAACCAGAGAGCATACCTTTATCGTTTTGGGGCTCATCTACATTTCTAATAACTTCATAGTCTCCTTTTCAAATAATTCACCAAGTGAATTTGGTTAAAGCTAATGTAATCCTTAGCATCATTTGAGCAGATTCTAGTAGTGTAATAGACACTAGCATACAATTAACAATATAATTTCATCTTTAGCAGGAAATAATGTAGATAAACAATGAATTGTGCAGCTAGATAGGAGAGACCAGTTTTCTAAAGGAAAGGCTCTGTTAAAAATAATACTGTGTACAACTTTTGTTCAGTTCTGTTGTTAAGCAAAATAGAATGAGGAGAAAGACAACCCCACATGGTTTCAATCTGTACTGTAAGTCTCATTGGAATTTTACATATTGTTAGCTCTGGCATGAGTTAACTAGGCAGAGTGTCTTTTAATTCATAGATGATTTTGAAGTTTATGCTTATCTCTCTTATGGTAAGAATCTCAAATATAATTTTTTGAGAGCACTCTCTCCCCTCTTTTAAATTCCTGTTATGGCCTCCAGATGTATTGATTCTTAGCCAGTATGTTTTATAAACATGATGGCTGAAGGTGATGGGGATTTTAGTCCATTGCATCAGGATAATGCAAGTTGGGTAAAGTAAATTGTTCAATGTGTGCTGCTAAGGCATTGGATTAAAATGCAGGATTTGTAAAGTTTTTTTAGAAGTAAATTGAGAGGGTTTCTTTGATGGGATACGAAAAGTTGGTATCAAGGTGGCTGCATAACTGTACAAATGCTTCATTTATATCCTGCCTTTATTATTATTATAAACAACTCAAAGCACATATCTCAAAGTGCAAGCATATTTAATACTCCTTCCTCCTATTTTCTCCACAACAACTCTGTGAGATGAGTTGGTCTGAGAGAGAGAGACTGGCCCAATGTCACCCAATTGGCTTTCATGCCTAAAATGGGACTAGAACTCATGGTCTCCTGGTTTCTAGCCTGGGAGCTTAACCACTAGAGCAAACTGATTCTCATTTTTTTTAGCTGTACCTTTCCAAAAATTATGTTGAAATAGAATTTGAATTTTTCTTTTGCTTGAAACCCTGGTATCTTCTACTTGTTTGTTTGTTTAGTTGGTTGGTACCTTCTAGTTGTATATGATCCAGATGGAGAATGATAGTCATTTCCAATCAGCACTGAATCAGTTAACCCTTGTTTTCAAATTCTGGCTATACTTTTTGACATTGCCTGTTTCTCCAGGTATAAAGTACGTGATTATTTTTTCTTTCAAAGCTCTTCTTTCAGCTCATCTTTATTAAGTCTAACATGGTTACCCATTAGCTCTTATTGTTTATTTATTTATTAACTTATGAACTTATTACCTGCTTCAATTAAGGTAACACACGCAGGGTATAAAAATAACAATCACACCTGGTGCAATGAACAATAAACTACAATAATACCCAATAGCAGAGTGTATACATACTTATTTCCAGTGGTCCCAATGGTCAGGAGAAGGGGGCTGCCTCTGCTTCTTGGAGCTTTTCTAGATGTGGGTAACCCCAATGGAGAATGCCTGTTTTGGGATAGGGTCAGTCATACCTCCCAATTGGTGGGCCCTCCAGCAGGCATTCTCTGTGGCCTTGGATTGCATGTGTTTTGTGTGGATTTTACCTTCAATGAAGAGACCCCCAGATGTAATGAGATCTTTTTTTGGAAGTTGAGTCAGTGATGATTTCCATTTATTATATATTTTAGAATTTTAGGTGGCGCAGTGGTTAGAATGCAGCATTGTAAGCCGCCCTGAGTCTCCGGAGAAGGGCGGCATATAAATCAAATTAAAAAAAAAAACAAAAAAAAAAAACCTCTGCCCACTGCCAGGAGTTCAATCCTGACCAGCTCAAGGTTGATTCAGTTTTGGTCGGTAAAATGAAGTTGGTAAAATGAGGAGCCAGATTGTTGGAGCAACATGCTGACTCTGTAAAACTGTTAGAGAGGGCTGTAAAGCACTATGAAGTGGTATATACGTCCAAGTGCTACTGCTATTGCTATAAATGTTAGTTTGTGTCATTGGGATGGTAGACTGAGTGAAAATAGGCCTCATGTCATTTAAGATTTTACAATCAACTACTAGTTTTTCTTTTAAAAATGTGGATTTTGGAATGAGAAAACAGTAACAATTTCATTGCCAAATAAATTACTATTGTATCGACAATAAATTATAGTAAGTTATTAATTGCTGAAGCAGCACTTCAATTTTGTTTATAGAACACACATTACACACAATAAGCTATGAGAATATTGGACAGTAAGTACTGTATCTAAATGCCTTGTTTAATGGACTTCCTAAATAGACATTATAGGGTGGTCAAACATTTTCATAGGCTTATTTATAGGATGTGTTTCCAAGACTACATTTTCATCCTTTTAAGTGTATTTAGATGGTGGGTAGCCCACTCATTTGGAATTAATGGGTTTTACTTGTCAAGGAAACTTGACATTGAAGCTGGTTTTCAAGGCTGTCTCCAGAGACGATGGTACATAAATAGACCATTTCCCTACTGAATTGATTATGTAAAAATTTCCATTCCTTTAACTTGCATTTATTGAGTAAAATGGAAAGGAAGCTACTTAAATAGATCTTTCTATTGTGATGCTTCAGTGCTAAAACATACACTTTTCAGTCATTCACTTTTCGTGATATTTTCTTCAATTGTCACTAAATATTAACATAGTTTAAAGAAGCAACAATAAATTTATGTTGTATGTACCAAATTTGTTTGAAAATACTACAAAAAGGATGGCTATTAGTTTAATGTGCATGCTGTCAATAATATAATTACAATGTAATGTAATGCAATGTTTGTCATAATCTTGGCAAGTCTGACAAAAGTTAAGCATTCCTATAGGAGGCTCTGATATGGCAGAGCAGCATAGCAAGGCTAAAATGATACCAACATTTAAAAAAATATTCCCGCTTCTTTTCCAGTTTCTACACCATTGAATTGAAAGAAAGAATGGTGTAGAAAGTTGGAAACATTTTAAATTGGCTTCTTTGTTTCTGCTGAAGCTCCAAAGAAAACTTTGAGAATTTAATGCTATGCACCAAACAAGACCAAGGCTAATATAATAATTTATTTTGGAGAAAATTAAAATATGTTTAACTTGAAAGATGTACTCAGTTAGGAGCTTCTTTTTCAATGTTGTTGCTTGAGGTTGAATTTTACCATGTTTAGATTAGGCTGCCATTATTCTGAAAAATTCTTATCGGCTGTTTGGGAGATATTTTTTAGAAGCTAGGTACTGAAATAAGGATTTCTCTATACAGATAGTCCTCAATGTACAACCATTCATTTAGTGATTGTTCAGAGTTACAATAGCACTAAAAAAGTGACTTATCGTTTTTCACACTTACAACCATCACAGCACATCCACAGTTACGTGACCAAAATTCAGGCACTTGGCACAACTTGCATGCGTTTATGATAGTTGCATTGTCCTAAGGGCCATGTGATCAACATTTGTAACCTTCCCAACCAGCTTCTGACAAACAAAATCAATGGGGGCAGTCAGATTCACTTTATGACCACATGATTCACTTAACAACTGCAGTGATTCACTTAACAACTGTGGCAAAAAAGGTTTAAAATAGGGCAAAACAACTGTCTTATTTAGCAACAGAATGTTGGGCTCAATTGGGGCCATAAGTTGAGGACTACCTATTATAGCTAGTTTTAGGGATGCATAATGCCAGAGTCCATAATAAGGAATAAAGTGCATGAACTACTTATTAACTATGTCATCGGTTCCAGGTTTTTCTAATATTAGTGGAACACATTGTTTTCTGAAGCTAACGGGTTATTTATCAGTTTCCAATTATAGAAGGTCCTTCATGCTGGCAAGGGGCAATACTTTGACCTCTTTGCTTCTGATTGGGAACTTTAGAAAAAAATCTGTATTGTATATGACTTTGTACCAATAAAGGAGAATATTTGTAGCTCGTATTTGTATATGACTTTGTCTTTGCAGCTTCAGGAGATTGAATCAATAAAGCATGTCCTCCTATGTTTTGTATTTTATAATGCTACTGTACATAACACTCATCATCCTACTTCTGAGGTCCTCCCAGGGTTAATAGACAGTGCTGCAAATTACTGTATTGCTTAGTCTCTTTTCATTGTGAAGCCAAGATACATTTGTATTGTGACTTTAGGTTTGTATATTATTTTATATTCCTTGCAAAGTATTAAGCTCTGGAGATTACGTTTTGTGTAATGTGTATACCTCAAAATATCTACAGGTCTTTCAGTCTTTTCTCTAAGTGAAAAATGAATCTGTGGGTATATAATAGGTGTCATCTATATGGTTCTTTAACCTTAGCTCAAAGCTTGCAAAGTCAAGATTATACTGCTTTGGGATCCTATCCTGAAAGGATTCTTGTTTCCCCTGTTAAAACACTACAACCTTCATCATTCTTACTAACTTGTGGAAGAAAAGTCAGAAGATGAAGTGTGTATTAAAATGTTCTTGATGAACAGTTTATGTCATAATTTACAAACTTTATTTGAATTCCTACAAAGATCTGTCAAGACCTGATTAATTTGATGGAATTTATATAGACAGGCATTAGGAAGGAGAAACACCCATTTATATTTATCTTGGTAATTTTTAAAACAACTTGCTAATAACAAGAGACGTACATGTTTCTTGTTTTCCTTACTATATAAAAAATTATTTGAATGCGGTACAAAGCCATAGCAAATTATAATCTTGAATGCAGAATAGGTATAACAAAAGTTGTAAACATTTTATAGGTTCGGTGGAAATACTTTTTGTTCTTTGTTTTTTCAAGGTTTGGCTTGAGCAACAGGTTTGACACAGAATTTCCCTCTGTTCTGACAGGGAAGGTAAGTTGGAATTGCCTTGATCCTAAACCTGAAAGTTGGAATTGCCTTGATCCTAAACCTGACTTCCTTCTCACCTTGTTGCATTTATCAAGGAATGCTCTTAAAATAATCCATAGTGACCACAAACAGGTGTAATCTAAGATATGGCCACTGATTTCTGTGGATTCAAAAAAATATATTCAAGAGCAGCCTTTATGTAGATCTGCCCTTCATTCTGTTAGACTCAGGATCTGTTTCCCTTCCCCCCCCCAAACTTATGAGTTTTCCTTTCTTCAATTTGAGAGTTTTCCCATGAGTAGAACATGTGCAAGAAGGGAAGTTGTCTACTCTTATCAGGGTTTAGAATGCTTTATATAGTTAAAGTTTTCTTACAAATATTAAATGGTTGGGTAGTGTAGGATGTGCATTCTCCTTGCTTACTTCAGTATCTCCCTCTCTCTCTCTCTCTCTCTCCCTGTCTCTCTCTCTGTGTCATGCACACACACACTCTTTAGTCTCCATTTGGCTATCAGATCACTCTCTTGTCAGTGTAGACTCGTAGCTATTATCTGTGACAGCATCTCTAATAGAGATGGCTAGGTTGTGTTCATTTGATGTGGCAACCAAGATGGGAGGTACTCTGCCAGATTGATTGAATTTATCTTGAAAGAGTATTTTAGAAATGTTGGCTGGAATGTATTTGATGGGTGTGCTAACTTATGCCGAGTGAAGCATTGATTGACCTGCTCTGTGCTATTTGTGGGCAGTGACATCATCCCCAAAGACTATATACAGATTCCCCATATTATACAAGCAGTCCTCGACTTACGACCACAATTAAGCCCAAACTTTCTGTTGCTATGTGAGACATTGGTTAAGTGAATTTGCCCCATTTTACAACCTTTCTTGCCACAGTTGTTAAGTGACTCACTGCAGTTGTTAAATTGGTAACAAGGTTGTTAAATGAATCTGGCTTCCCCATTGACTTTGTTTGTCAAAATGTAGCAAAAGGTGACTACATGACCCTGGGACACTGCAAACGTCATAAATATGAGCTGGTTGTCAAGTGTCTGAATTTTGATCACATGACTATGGGGTTGCTGCAATGATTATAAGTATGAGAAACCGTCGTAAGTCACTTTTTTCAGTGCTGTTGTAACTTTGAACGGTCACTAAACAAACTGTTGTAAGTTGAGGACTACCTGTAGTCTCTAAGACATCTTCATTACTCAGAAAACACCACTAGCAAAAGCTACCCAGAAATTGGAACGTGGCATAGACGTGAGGTTTCTTTCTATTTTTAATCTTGTAAAAACTAGGTCAGAGATAGCAAAGTTTGTGCATTTGTGTATTCTCTTAGTAGCATCTGTTCTGCTTGGCAACCGCTCTTCCCGGCCAGACATTTTGATGCAACATTAAAAATAGTTCAATGGTGGCAGCTAGACTGAACATATTATAGCATTGTTTAAAGAACCCATTTCAGGTAAGAACTCAACTGATTGTCAGACTCCAGCTCTAGGTCTAATTCAGAGTCAGCTCTGGGATAAGTAGTTTAAGATCTTCGTATCTGAAAGTGTTTCCTTCTCTCAAATGAGAATCCAACTAAATGAAGTCAATTGTTCTCAAGTGGAAGCCCAAATTACAGTATAACCATGCTTTGGTCTCTGCATTTCAGAATGCTGGTTATTGTTTTTCTATTAATGTAGGAGGTGGTAATAAGTCTAAGATGCGAACAGAAATTTAAGACATACTCTTTCTTGGAAAGTAACATGTGGCTTTTTTTCAATTGAAGCATATCACAGACTTTGAAAAATAGAATACTGAAAACAAGAGAAAAATTCCTAGTTATTACCTCATTTCAACCTTCAGTTTTAGGGAATTCTCACATTCCAAATTTCCCTAACCCTTTTCTGTTCATTTAATTATTTTAATAGTACGGTAAGCTTTCAGCCCTGACCACCTAGTTTAGAGTTGCCTGTTCACACAACTCAACTTTTGTTGGGGGGGTTTCTTATTGATAAAAATGTTAAGCTTTCAATATGGTGTTAAATGGGACTTCCATAGTTTTGTCACCTGGTGCTGTTTAGTCATCCTTAAGGGGAAAAGTCCAGCTTCCTGCTCTGATCTTGAAACAATACAGACTTTAGTGAGCAATGCAGGGAAGTGCAAGTCATAAAACCTCCCTTTGGTATTATGATTCAGCAGAAGGTGTGATGGATAGGGCTGTGATCACCATGGTCAAAGAAAGCAGAGCAGGCCTGCTGGCTTTCAGGCGATCACTTCCTCTCTTGCCTGCTGTTGTAAAACATTATGACCCTTCCGTCCGCCCTCCACCCCTTTTATGGCTGGTTGGCAAAAAGCAACTCCTCTTTAGAATGCAGGCCTGCTGATCTCTTCGGGCAGATGGATTTCTTAGAGCTCTCCTCGTACTGGGTGGGTGGGGGGCTTTATGGAGATTCTATTTCAGTTACAGGCTGTCAACATATGTAGATGCATCCCTAATATTGTTCACTTTTTGTTCACCAAAGATTAGATTCAATATTAACAAAACATTTAGGCCATTGCTGTAGGCAGACAAAGCTTAAAAAAATTAGACTGATTAAAATTAATACAAATCGTACTCTTAATTAAAAAAAATAACTCATGAGATATCCCAAAGAGATATCCCATATAGCTCATGATTTGATGTCTGCGGTGATTCCCAGTCATCCAGGTCATGGTTGTCCCAAAGATGCTTTTTCAAGAGGCAACTGGACTTTTTTGTTTTTCTTTGAAGACGTTTCGCTTCTCATCCAAGAAGCTTCTTCAGATGAGAAGCGAGACGTCTTCAAAGAAAAAACAGAAAGTCCAGGTGCTGCTTGAAAAAGCACCTTTGGGGCAACCATGGACTTGAATGACTGAGAATCTCCATAGACAACAAATCATGAGATATATGTGTATATTTAGATATAGAACAGGTTTTAGTTCCCGATGCGGAGTCACCACTGGTCCTTTTTTTTTTTTGCAGGTTGCCCCTGAAGAATTCAAGACCAGTATCAGTCATGTGAATGCATGTTTAAGGAAGAATCTGCCCATCACTGTAAAATGGCTCCTTTGTGGCTGTTTATGCTGCTGCTGCACGCTTGGATGCAGCCTCTGGCCCGCCGTCTGTCTTAATAAAAGGGTAAGTGTGCAAACCAGCCTGTGCAGCTTTTCACTCTCTTCTAAGTGGCTTATTAGTTGCCCAGGCAAAGATGGTTTTTCGGAGGGGGGGGCGGATGTGTCCATGGGGAAGGGGTCATAGAGATCAAGATATTCATCCTTCTCAGAAAGTCGCAAAAGGTGATTACACGACTCTGGCACACTGCAACCATCATGAGCCAGTTGCCAAGCTGTAACAACAGTTCATTTAGTGACTGAAGTTACAAAGGCACTGAAAACAAAGTGACCTATGACCATTTTTCAGACTTACAACCATTGCAGTATCCCTGTGCTCACATGATCAAAATTGGAAAGCTTGTAGTGTTCTGGAGTCATATCATCACTTTTTGAAACCTTCCAACAAATACAGTCAATAGGGAAACCAAACTTATTTATTTATTTATTTATTATTTATTTATTTCATGTATTTATATGCCGCCCTTCTCCAGGAGGACTCAGGGCGGCGAACACAAGTTAAAAACATGTACAACAAAATCCCATTTTAAACCAAATTAACAAATAATAAAACCCAGAATCAGAGTCAACCTATTTGCTTGAACAGCCAAATCTTCAGGTCCCAACGGAAGAAGTGGAGATCAGGAGCCGTCCGGAGCTCAGTAGGCAACTCATTCCAGAGGGTGGGAGCACCCACAGAGAACGCCCTACCCCTGGGCGCCACCAGACGACATTGGCTCGCCGGCAGAACCCGGAGGAGAGCAGCCCTATGTGAACGGACAGGGTGGTGGGAGGCAGGCAGGAGAAGGTCCTGCAAATATCCCAGACCTAAGTCATGTAGGGCCTTATAGGTGAGAACCAGCACCTTGAAGCGGGCAAACAACAGTTGACATAACTATGGCAAGAAAGGTTGCAAAATGGGGCCAAATTCACTTAGCAAACGTCTCGCTTAGCAACAGAAATTTTGGGCTCAATTGAGGTCATAATTCAAGGACTATCTTTATAGCTGCTCATTCCACTGAATGCAGCTCTGGGCGGCAAACAACAATCAGATAAAAAACAACAAATCTTAAAAATCCATATTAATAAATATCATAAAAGCAAAAAATATAGACCAGGGTTCCCAGGGCTGCAGCCCACTAGCAGGCCTTCAGCCATTCGGAACAGGGCTGCAGGGGGTGAGTGAGCTTGTGCATGTGCATGGGCCTCCCCATTTGCATGAGCGGTGGGCACGCACGCTTTCTGCCACTCGTGCGTAACCATCCGTTCTCCCCCTCCTCCCCCAGTCCACAAAGCCAGAAAGGTTGGGGAACTCTAATATAAACGACAACAGAGGGAAGATATAAATGACCATCTCAACAATGTATTCAGTTTTACAAACTTACGACTGAATTTTAAGTTTTTATATTTCATAGTTAAATAATTGTATTTATAATACACTTTAGTTTCCTCCATTTTATTTTTTCCCTAGCTGATGCTAAATACTTAATGTATTTTTACCTGAACTCTCTAAACCCTTTTATAAAATTGTGTATAATTCTGGTCAGTGACAATGCTAAAAAACTAATGTAATTTTTTTTTCCTAGACAAGAAGATCTATTCAGAAGTTATTAGAATGGGAAAATAACAGATTATATCATAAGGTAATACAAGGAACAGTTGCCTTATTTATGGTAGGAAATAATATATTTCATTTAATCAATCAAAGAATATTCTGTATGGACTGGAAAATCACACCTCTTTTGATTAGTAATTCATAATCCCGGAACTCCAATCTGTGGGTGTATGTGAATGGTCATCTGGTTAACTAAAAGAAATAGAAAAAGTTTCTGCTGTTTCAATTCATTTATTTGCCAGATGTCTTAATCTTCTTAAGGGATTGAAACCAGTTGCTTGCTCATATCTATCTCTGTTAGGGAGGTGAATTGTCCTAGCTGACTGACTGAAGATTCTAATGTTGTTGAAGTACTGAGAAAAATCTATACATAGACAATGGGTGGGTTTTTTTGAGGTTTTTTTGCTAATTAATGTCTTTCAGATATGCAGCATTAGAATTCCATTATGCTTTGCTTGATAGGAATTGCACTCCACACTCCATATCTCAAGGGCAGACTGATTTAGAGGCTGATTTACAGCTAACCCAGAAATAATCTTGTGCTGGGCAGCATATATAGGAGAACTTTAATAAATAAGTCAAAGGGACACAGAGCCTTGCTTGTCAGTATAAAGAGTTGTTTGTTAAGATAATGTGGTATCTTTTTCTTCTTTAAGCTTGGCTTGCATTGGAAGTTGAGTAAACGGAAATGCGAAACTAGCAATATGATGGAATATGTAAGTATTGTTGAAGTTATCAGTATAGGTAGTCCTCAATTTACAACAGTTCATTTAGTGACTGAAGTTACAACTGCACTGAAAAAAAATGACTTATGACCGTTGCAGCATCCCCATGGTCAGGTGATCAAAATTAAGACGCTTGGAAATTGACTTTATGACCGTTGCAGTATTCTGGGCTCATGTGATTATCTTTTGTGACCTCCTGACAAGCAGAGTCAAAGGGTTCAGTCAGATTCACTTAACAGCTGTGTTAGAAATTTAACAACTGCAGTTATTCACTTAACTGTGGCAAGAAAGATCATTAAATGGGGCAAAATTCACTTAACAAATTTTCTCACATAGCAACAAAAATTTGGAGCTTAATTGTCACAAATCGAGGACTACCTGTATCAGTTTCAAGGTATCACTTTCACCTTCTGATTAATTCATTCCTGTCTTTAGTGACTGGAGACATAATTCTACTTTCTAGGAATATGTATGTGATCATATATGTATGTATTTATGTATTAGGATATGCCTAGGATAGTGCAGTCATTCATCTGAAAATGGAATCAACAGATACACCAACTTATAAAATCAAAACTAGCTGCTAGCCAAGCTAGTATTATCTTTCCAGGTTTTAGTTGCATTCTACTCATTTGCTTCCACTTACAGTACTCAAGTTGTAGCAGTTTAAGTACAGTAAGAAAAGATATCTATCTTCTCCCGCTCCCCTTCCCCTTTTTTAAATATATAATTTTTATTAAATATTTTAAGAAGGGAAGATTAAAAACTAATTATCATATTTTTCGGACTATAAGATGCATCTAGCTTTTGGGGAGGAAAACAAGAAACAAAAAAACTGCCTCTGTCTCTGCCTCCCAGCAAGGACCATGTCAGTAGGACCAACACCCTGTTAGCTTCAGCACAGCCTGATCTAGCACGAGCAGCTGATTGTTGGTTGGATCTGCCTCCCGGAATACCACCTATCAGCTGTTTCAGGCTGGGGGGGATCGCCATCGGCACTGTCGTTGCCCATCGCCACTGCCGTCTATCACTGTCTCCATGTGCCTGATTTTCTGCCTCTGCGCACCCCATTTTCCGCCTCCACCTGTCCCATTTTCTGCCTGTACCAGGTGACGGAGATAGGCGGCAGCAGTGATGGACAGTGACGGCGATGGGCGGTGGCGATCCCCGCAGCCTGGAACAGGTGATAGGTTGTATTCCAGGAGGCAGATCCAACTGCCAATCAGCTGCTCGTGCTAAATCAGGCTGTGCTGAAGCTGACCAGACTGTTTGCTACAAGGAGGCAAAATTGCTGGGAGGCAGAGGCCAAAGGGTGGGGGCCGACGGGTGGGCGGGGCTTCGGCAACATTTGCTGTATAAGGTGCACAGACATTTCCACCCACTTTTGGGCGGGGGGGCATAAAGTGTGTCTTATACACCGAAAAATATGGTAAATTAATTTAAGAAAAAGAAAGAAACCAAAGAGAAAGCTAAAAATACAAGGGGACAAAAGTAGTACAAAAATAGGAAAAAGATATCAAGAAATAACTTTCTTCTTTGTAGCAGTTATAGCTAAAATTTTAAATTTACCTCTTGCTTATGGTCGTATCTCTCTTCTTTCTATAATACAGAAACCATAATAAATTCATTTTTTCTGTTATACACAGAAAGTCCATAAGGGCTTTCCACTCAGCAATAAAAATAGATATTGTCTTTTTTTTAAACAATCAAATAAGTCACTTTAAGCCATCATAGTAAGTTTCATCATCTTCACCAATCATTCCTTCGTTGTGGATAGTGCCAAAACTTTCCATCTTTGAGCATACAATAATCTCATGTCAGTTATCATTACAAAAACAAAGTTCCATGACTTTTTTCCCACTTCTGTTCATCAGTCCTAAAAGAAAGAGCTTTGGTCTCAATTGTGTTAATCTTTAAAGTCCTTTGAATAAGTAGCTTTTTAACATGTCCACCAATATGACAAAATTAATGTTTCCAACATAAAATTTATGTATAAGTGCCTTTATACAAGCGGCCTTCTGCCTGCCACATAGTTCTTTGTTTACATGACGGCTATATACTTTTGAGTGAGACATATGCACAAGGAAACCTGTACTCATTCTGAATAATGTCAAAAATGCCAGCTGATTTTCTTTCGAATTTGTCTTCACTATGTTGCTCATTGTCCTTTCTTATCTTAGTTTATTAAAATACAAAATGTTTTTTCAGAATAACTATCCCTAAACTAGCTAGCATTATTTACTTTAGTTAAAATAAGTACTTATCCATAGTACTTGCTTTGAACCTTTATAGGCTAGATCACAGCCTCGTCTCAGAGGGCATCTTGTGCAGAGTTCAAGCTTATAAACACAACAGTCTGTTTTCCATTTTTAAAGCATAAATGTCTTTTGGTTGAATTTACTTAATCTCCTCTTGCTTGTTTGCTGTTCCCTAAGTATTCTTGAATATAGAGAAGTGAATATCACCCTGGCCCTGAAGGATATTGGAGGACCCATCACTTGTTTTTAGATTTGTGGATTTCAATAGTGACTTGTAATCAAAACATGTCGAAAAAGTACTATAGCACTCTTGGGATTCTGAATGGATGAGTCAAGATTTTCCTCACTTTGCTTTTATGAAAATGTGCTCAGATACCTTCTGTATCAAATTACTTGCTGCTTTCTATATATATAAAAATGCTAAGTAACTGTGAATTGAATTAGAACATAGAATCACAGGGCAGGAAGGGACTCAGAGGTCTTCTAGCCCAATCCCCTGCCCAAGGGAGGAATCCTTGGTCCATCCCAGACAAATCGTTGCTTGACAAACCTTTTCTTGAAAACCTCCAGTGATGGAGCACCCACAGCTCTGGGAGGCAAGCTATTCCATTGATTAATGTTCTCACTGTCAGAAAATTTCTCCAGTGGAATTGGTTCCACTGAACCTGAGCTACATATTACTCACTGGACTCCCATCAATAGCAAGTCCAATGTGGACATGCACAAAACTTCAGCAGATTGTCAAACAAGTTTAATCTTGCCTTTTGGGGGAGGTTTGCTCCTTTGATGATAGATAGGCTTTGTTCTTCCTCATTAAATAGTATTAAGGAGCTGAGCTGTTAACCTCAACAAGGAAGTATCTATCCCAAGATTTAAACCTGATTTGTTGGTGCCACCTAGGGGAAAGTAAACACATGGAAACCAAACAAGTATCCAGAAGCCAACCTCTTTGTGCAACTGAAAACTATCTCCTCAAACTCTGTTAAGAGAAGCCAAGCCCCTTTTTTTCTAACATAACATGTATTGAATGACTTTTTGATGTTTGGGGAGAACATTTTGTTGTGGTTAGAAGTTCCAAGGTTATAGAGGGCTTGATTTTCCAAGATCCCAGGTGTAATTGCTGGTAGGAGGGAAAAAGATCCTTTTCTGAAATATCAATCTGGGTAAACCAGACAGAGAGGTGAGCCCCAACGTGGCACAAAGCAACTCTCAACTCTCTGGCCAAGCACCCCAGCTTCTAACATTTCCTGACATTCCCAGAAGAACTGAATTGCTTAATGTGTCTTTTGTGTTTCTCCCTTTTTATAGGTAATACTCATAGAATTCTTACCAAAATACCCTATCTTTCGACCTGACTGAGGAGCAGTATTACTTTTCAATGTTACCTGTCACATCCTACCTGTAGTGCCTTGTAAGGGATATTGAAGAGAAGATTATCTACTTTGCTCTGATATTGTTTTTGAAAAAGTGTTTGTCAGTAGAGTATCTTCATTGCTGGGTTACTTTTTTTTAAAAGAAAAAAACTGTTTGCACTTTCAAAAAGGTTGCGATGCTAAGGCTTGTTTGTGCACTCCCAAGGCATAATATACTTGATGAACATGGTCACTATGGAGATAATCTTATATCAGTGCTGCTTGTAGTCTTGTTCTGACATGCTGCCTTATTCATTTCCAAAACTCAGTCTTGCAAACACGCTCCCTGGATCTATGTAACCAGTGTTCTCCAGGTGTGCTGACTGGGACTTCTGAGGTTGTAGTCCTGACACATCCGAAGGGCACCATGAAGGGAGGAAAAATTGCATCTTCAGGCACTTTGAATTCTTGAAAGGAATGATCAAGGTTAGCATACAGTAATTAATATCCTACGTATCTGTATTGATGATCTGCTTTGCCCGAGATTAACAACGAACAGTGCTATCGTCTTTCATTTGCAAAGTTGCTCATTTTCCTTTCTCTTTGCTGGGGGGTGGGGGGGGAGGGGAAGGGAAAGGGCTGGGTATGTAAATATTACCTCATTGTATAATATAAAGTGTGGTATTACGCCAAGGTTTACGAATTGTGATATAACGCCAATGGCTTTGCATAGATTTGTTACAATTGATGTTGTGTGTACCTTTCAGATTGTATTGGCCATTTATGTGCCACATGGTGAAGCCATGAGGGCTTTGTAGATGCTACTGAAAGTTGGACTCAGGTGCGGTTTGTTAAGCAAACATAAAGATGCATTGTAATTCTTGCTCCATGAAATTGCTGGTAAAAAAAAATTAAAGATGTAATTCCTTGAATTTATATGTAACCCAAAGACCCCAAAGCCCATGGCTTAAGCACAGCAGGCCTCTAAACAATTCTGCCAGAAAACTATTGGGACCCCTATAATGGAAGGCGATTTTTTTTTTTTAAAATGGCTTGGTGGCCTACATTTTCATGTTAGTTATAAGTGTTTCTGACCATGGCAACTTGAAGATGTGTAGAAGTCCATACATTTTCAGGTTGCCAAGGTTGAGAAACAGTGGTCTGTCTATCTGATGTTTAGATCATTTCCATGTCTCTGCTCTTAATATCATATGTCTTTCAAATCTGTCAGGCTGCAGTTCCTTTTAACATTAGTAAGATTGGATCCAGCCCTGCAGTTTCACAAACGTAAAGTATTACATCAAAATCTGCATGAAAGTATTTCTGAAATAGCAGGAAACTAAAACCTGCTCTCAGGGTCAGTATTTTGAGATCCTCCTGTTCTAAGGCTGTGTGCCAATAGTTTCTCATCTGCTGTTTGGTTATAATTAAGAGATTATAGAAGTAAATTAGTTAGGATAGAGTTCCAGAAATCAAGAACCACAAAATTCATCTGATATACTGTACATCTGCTTGACTCATGTTCTCGGTTTAGATACTGTAGTTCTTTCAGTCAGTGCTTTTTAACGATTAGGTAGCTAAAACGTTAGAGAATTGAGAATATTTGTGATTTCAGTTGTTTGCGTTTGCAAACCCTGTAACAAGCAAGTTTAGTCTGACGGGTAGCAAGACCTGTGTATCAGAGCTCCAGTATAAATAAGCACCTTCTCATTAATTCAACTGTTGTGGACATCACAGTACATGCATCTTTCCTGGAACTTTGTACATCATGCATGCACAGAGTTGCCCATCATGATTAGGTAAATGGGAAAGCCTCTGCTCCTGGGTGCTGTGTGCATGCATCACAAAATAGCCATGGAAATATCGCCTCAAAAACTTTAATTAGCAAGTTATAAATTCAACACAGTTGCCAGTTTGCAAACTGGCACTTTGAATTGCTATTTTCTTCTCCAAGCTCCAGAGGAAATGTCTCTTGTAAGACTTATAGAATAATTAAAGAAAAAAAAATTCATCCATAGATCTTTTTGGCTGCATACCTTGGATCGTAAGGCTTGTAGACTCGTAAGAGAGTTGAAGAGCAACACACTTTCCTAAAACAATATGACGCACGGTGAAGTTGAGCCTGTTCTTTCACAAATAGTGTTAAAAATCCTGCCTTGCTGAAAAGGTTACTCTAGCATGTGTTACTTATGTTGTTGCTACCGAGTTATATTGTATAGTATACATACTCCAGTTATGTTGTTACTGAGGCAAGAGCAGCTTCATTTGAGTGTTACCCCACAGATCATCCTTGCCCTCATCCTAGCAAAGTCTACTTTGATAGGTCTTCAGCACTTTCTGAAAACCCCTTGCACCTTCCAAGCCAGGTTTGCTTGGAGATTTTATGTCAATATTCTTTTAAACATTGTGCCAAGAAACATTATGGCTTTTCCGATCCTATCAGTATCTAAATGCAACACTTAATACCTCCTAATCCAGATGTAGGAATTATCTGTCTCCACCACGACCATCCTTCCCAGCATTCTAGGTGGAAGCAGCTTCCGTAGGCATAAATGGGACTGACTTCCAGCTCAGCTTTTCTTTACTTTGTAGAATTAATTCTGTAGTAAAAAAAATACTTCCAATTTTTACACTCTGTAGAATCCCAGCCTTTGTTTGTTAAAGGGGCCATACTTGCATCTTTTCTCAGGTATGCAAGTGCCAAATAAGATGTGTCTACTGCAGCAAATGTGGCTCAGTGTTGTTGATTGGTAATAAATGGTTAACGTGTTGTGACACTTTTACTATTTCCCAAACTCTGTGCTTTGGGCAAATCTAGCTTCAAAGGCCTTTACAGTACTAATTGGGGGCTTTTTTAGGAAGTGTAAATTCCCCATTCCTGCCCCAGGATTCATCAGTGGAATATGGGAAACAGGTCCTTTCACTTTGCCCTAAGATGCAAGAAAAGCTGATGAAAAGCTGCTGCTTGTTCCTGTGGCTCTTGAGATGTCATTTGAAATGGTCTGGTATGTGAAGTTCTGACAGTGTTCTGTGTTGATCATGGGTATAGATTATATAAATATGTAAAAGCCTGTAAAATAGAGCAGTGGTTGCCTTAAAAGTAAATAACTTCTGAGCCCAATTCTTGAGGAGGCAAATTAATTTTAAGAGTGGTTTCTGCCATTCTGACTTGAAAAATGCATTCAGAATTTTGGGGAGCTTGTAGAAAATTTGGAAATACAGCTCCTTATTTTCTCCCATGGCTTTGTGCTGATTCTTTTTTTCTAAAGCTCAGCAGTCCAGCTTTGAATTACTCCTTCCATGAGCCCCTCAAGATGGCCGTTACGATATTTGAAATCACTTTTCTTTTTTATTTTGTAGGCTTCTAGTGGGGGAGGGGTGGAGAAAGTGTCTGGAATTGTTCAAACAAAGCAAAGAACGTAGAGAACCCCAAGCAGTGAATCCTGACTTTATACCACTGATTCATAAGAAATTTAGAATTCATTATAAAATGTCACAGGGTTTATCATATGCATAAATGCTCTCTCCCGCCCCCCAAAAACTAGTTTGCCAAGAAGTAGGTTACTATATTAATGCTTTCTCTTAATTTATTCCGTCATATATACAAAGATTGCTAATGTAGGAGAATGTTTCTGGGTTAACATTCCACATGTTATGTGTGATGAGTAGATTGGTCATTAGTTTTACCTATTGTGCAAAACTGGGGAACAAAGATAAGTATGAGAGTAGTGTAATTCTTGCACACTTCTGCAAAAATCCAAATGAATGGAACATCCCTCATGCCAATGTATTATGTTGTAAGCATTCTTTATTCTGTCTCATTCCAAACCTCAGAAAAGTTTTCAATAAATTTATCACTCTAATAAATTTAGCCATCCATTTTCTTGTCTTGATTAAACACACAAATTGTATGCTTAAATGTGAATATTGTATTTCAGTATCATGCTAATTAATTGCATTAGCCTGAAAATATTAGCATTGAGCAATAAGATCTTAAGTGTTGGTATTCAGTGTAAATATTTAACAGTTTAGGAAACAATGTTGTATAATACATTCATACTTTGCAAGTTTTGTGAATTTTTGTTTATGGCTATAACCATAATTTGTAAATCCATGAAGCTTCCTTGTTAATCTGTATACATTTTAATTATGTTTCCTTACACTTTATGAAGTAATAGCCACTTTTTTTAATAGGACCTCATGCCTTGAAGATTTTGTAAAAAAAATAAATGCTTAAATAACTGTTGTGGGTATAATTTCATGATACGTCTTTTCACTTGCATTTCACTTTTGAACAAAAGCACACTTCTGTAAGCTTGCTTTCTCAGCACCTTTAAGGGCTTCAAGCTATATCTAGAGAACAATTGCACTGATATTTTAGCCACACACTCCCTTTAAAGTTGTGAGTGTAGTCCCCCAAGAACCTGTCTTATAGTGGCTTTGGTTCAGATTGAATCCTGCAAACAATTCCTCTTCCCCCTTCTACGGAAAAACAGAATCCAGCCTTCCTAAGTATTTTGTATGTTCTTGAAGAAAAACATTCAGGCAGCCACAGTGGCCTTCTTCCCATAGTCAACATTCAAGAATCTGTTGCATTTTCCTGTGCGCTGCTCCCACTATCCATGAATGGGTTAATGCTTCAGCCTTTGGCAAACAACTGAGTGTTATTTTAAGAAAAAAAAAAAAACAAGGGACTTCCCTTTTCCCCGCTGCCCAGCCATATCCCCAATCCCATGATACCCCAGTCTTCACTCAGTTGTTGGCAAACGCTGAAGTGTTCCTCGGGAGCTCCTGTCTTAAGCTATTTGTTCCCTTGTTTAGTTGTGGTCTTTTTCTACTTCCCTCCTCAGGGACGCTTAGGTTTTTACTTTATTTTTGAATATTTCCTTTCCCCGGGGTTTCTTTTAGTTCTTTGTCTTCGTTCTCGCTGCTGCTTGCTGCGGCAGCGCTGATCAGCTGGGCGTTGAGCTCGGAAAGCCGAGCCGCCCACGCAGCGCTTTTTACTCTCCCTACCGGCGCCACTTTCAAATTCGCTGAGAGCGTCAAGCCTCGCCCGGAGCAGACACAGCTGCTGCGCGGGGCGAAGAGGAGAGCGATCGGCTCGGATCCACGCCGATCGCACCGAGCAAGGCAGAGTGCAGCCGCGGTTCGCCCGGCTAGCCCTGCCAAACGCCGCTACGCTACAGAAAAGGCCCCTTTTCGAGAGGCAAGAAAGCGCGGCAGCTGGCTGGACCCTCGGGCCTCCAGCATAAGACCGTCGCTCGCAAAGGCACCCGAGCCTCGCACCACGTGGCGCCCGCCATCTTGAATACCACGTGGGCCGCCATTTTGGACCAAATTCCTCTGCCAGCTTCAAGAGGCTCAGCTGCGCCCCCATCCTAGTGTGGTGCCTTTGCAATAAGGGTTAGCTGGTGAGACCTTTGGGCTCTCAGCTGCCTTGACTCGATTCACGGAGCAGAGCGATCACGCCCTCGCCAGAAGCCACGAGGGGAAAGGGGTGGTCTTGCCTACAGCAACTTGCCATGTCTGACTCCCCCTTCTCTTCAGACCCAGCGCTGGAATTGAGCCCACCTCACAAGGGGGCTAAATCATCCAAGAAGAGTTCCCAGAAGCGGTCTGAAAGTTCCAGCCGCAAATCCAAATCTGGGAAGGGGCTGACCTTCCAAGACAGGGACACCCAAAGACGCCATCAGGCGCTCGAGAGGCAGTGCGCCAAGGCCCAAAAGGCGCTGGCTATGTCGCCCACCAGGGGGCCAAGACCAGAAGGCACTGCCCCCTCCACGTCTAGGGAGTCAGACTCAGCACTGGCCACCTGGACGGACTTAGCCCAGACCCCGGCGACCCTGGTCCTGACAGAGAGAGGGTCCCAACAGGACGGAACTCCCGCCCTTGTACGGAATGAACCTGCACCCTTCTCTCCAGCGGGTCCGTCACACAGCCCAGTCCCGAGCGCAGGGGGGACCACCACCACCATCACATTTGGACTTCCAAGCCATGTTTTCCACGGCATTATCATCCTTCTTAGCCGCCAGTTGGCAGCAGGCGGTACCACCACCTCAGCCGGCACAGGCCCAGGGGCCACACCAACAAGTTCAGAACAAGACCTTCGCCCCCTCAGCCCGAGAATCCTCCGAGGAGTCAGATCAAGCAGACGAGGCCCCAGAGGACGTCGAGTTCTCAGAAGACGAGGGGCTGAACCCGGACACGCCAGCTTTCACCGGGCTTTTTCGACCGGCACTCTTTAGGTTGCTCCTTCACAAGGCGCGACTCACGACTAACCTGGGAGTGCCAGGGGAGATGAAGTCAGCCCTGCCTTCTACAGTGGGGCCCCACGATGCCCTTTTCAAGTCGTCCAAACAGGAAAAGGACTGCATCCCCTGTCCTCAGCTGTTTACTGATGTCATCCAAAACGCCTGGGGGCAACCGGCTTCTCAAACTACACCAAGTAGCCTGGACAAGAAACTCTACTGCTCGGCCCCGGAACTAGAGGATCTTCTACTCCTCCCGACTGTGGACCAGCCGGTTGCAGCGCTCTCTTCCCCATCGCTAGTCTCCACAGAGGCACTGGATGGGCTCAAGGCGGAGGAGAAGAGGACGGAGTGGGCCTTCCGTAAAGCACATCAGGCAGTGGCCTGGGCGATCAGAACATCCACAGCCACGTCCTTTTTCAATAGAGCGGCCCTCATTTGGCTACACCAGATGCAAGAAAGACTCCCTCCAGAGGACACCAGGCTGCAACAAGACATCAATAAGATTATAGCAGCCACCGAATATGCTTCTGATGCCTCCCTAAACTCGGCAAAGATTGCATCAAGGGCCCTAGCCTCCACCGTTGCGGCTAGGAAGCTGTTCTGGCTACGCCCCTGGAAAGCGGACCTCAAACCTAAATGGAAGCTGGCCGCAGCTCCCTACAAGGCACCAAATCTCTTTGGAGCAGCCCTAGTCGAAGACAAGGACAAGAGGAAGATATTGCCATCGTCTTACCGCCGCCACAAGCGGAGGTACTCTCCATATCCAGTCCAACAGCCCTTTCGGTCTGGCTCAGGGCCCAGGGGGTCCTTCTCGCAATCCTTCAATTACCTGAGAGGCGACAGATCACAGGACAGACAACAGTCCCGGGATCGGGGCAGAAATCAGCAATCCAGGAGACCCGGGGGGCAGGCTTCAAACCCGCCAGGAGGGGCAAGTGACTCCAAGACCGAGGGGCCCATAGGGGGAAGACTGCTCCTCTTCCACCAGCAATGGACCCGGTCGACATCGGACTCGTGGGGTAAGGCGCACCATCTCATTTGGACTATCAATAGAATTTGCAGGTCCGCCGCCTCAGCGCTTCGTGTGGTGCCCTGTCCCACAGTCCTCCGAACTGCAGGCCTTAATGTTACAAGAACTGACCCACCTTCTGGAGGCCAGAGCCATAGAAACAGTACCACAGGCCCATCAGGGCTCCGGGTTCTATTCAAGCCTATTCCTCGTCCCCAAGAACTCGGGGGGATAGAGGGCCATCCTGAACCTAAAAAAGCTGAACCTGTCTGTGCGATACCATAAGTTCAAAGTGCACTCGCTTCAATCAATTCTAATGGGGGTGAGACGGGGGGATCTCCTCCAGTCAGTCGATCTTCGGGAAGCCTACCTCCACTTTCCCATTCACCCAGACTACAGACAGTTCCTGCAGTTCGAATACGCCGGTCAGCACTTTCAGTACCGGGCAATGCCTTTTGGACTATCGTCGGCACCCCGCACCTTCACCAAACTGGTGGCGGTGGTGGCAGCCAATCTTCGAGCCATACCGGTCCGAGTCCTCTGCTACTTAGACGACATCTTAATACTCTCGTCAACTCACGACCAGGCAGTCAGGGACCTACACCTAGTCCTTGAAACGTTTCAAAACCACGGGTTCACAATCAACCTCGAGAAAAGTCACCTTCAACCCTCCACTCGGATCCTCCACCTAGGGGCAGTGATAGATTCCACCAGAGGTCAGGTCTTCCTATTGCCAGACAGAGTCCAGAGTCTCCAGCAACTGGCCCTCCGAATCCTGACAGGGAAGAAGGTCACCCTCCTCCAACTATCATGCCTTCTGGGGAAAATGGTCTCCTGCTTCGGCATCGTTCCGTGGGCACACAAACACTCGAGGGCCCTCCAATGGTTCCTGCTCCCCTTTCAACGCTCGGGGAGGGCCAACTCGAAACACAAAGTTCTCCTCACCCCCAAGGTGAGACTCTCCCTCAGATGGTGGACATCCAGCGCACTCCTCAAGGGCTCAGAGTTCCTAGACCCGGACAGACTGATCCTCACCACGGATGCAAGTCTTCAGGGGTGGGGAGCACACCTGCACAACGGGGTGGCACAGGGCCAGTGGTCCAGGTGCGAGCAATGCAACAGCATCAACCTGCTGGAACTCCGGGCGATCAGATTAGCCCTGCGCCACTTCCAGACCACGGTTCAGGGCCGGTACGTACTGGTCCTGACGGACAACATCTTGGCCAAAGCGCACATGAACAGAAAGGGAGGCATGAGATCTCGCACCCTGATGCTAGAATCAGAGGCCCTATTCGAGTGGGCGGAGAAACATCTGCTCTCGATCAAGGCAGACCACATTTCAGGGTCAGCCAACGCAAGAACAGACTGGCTCAGTCGAACAACGATAGATCAGGCGGAATGGCAACTCCACCCCCGCCTTTTCAACAAGCTCACCTCCAGGTCCGGGAGACCAGTGGTGGACCTGTTTGCGTCTCCAACCAACGCCCAGCTCCCCCGATTTGTGTCACGCTACCTGACGCCACAGGCAGAGGACCACGACGCCCTTCACTGCAAGTGGCCAGCAGGCCTTCTGTATGCATTTCCGCCAATTCCTTTGATCCCATGCCTGGTTCGGAAGTTGCTGGCAGAGAAGGCCGATCTACTCCTGGTGGCCCCAAATTGGCCTCGAAGGCCGTGGTTCACCGACCTGGTGGCCCTGTCAGTGGAGCAACTGTGGGTGATCCCGCCACATCAGGTGGTACTGTGCCAGGGCGAGGTCAATCACCCAGAACCTCAGTGGCTCCAATTAGCCGTCTGGCATTTGAGCGGGTCATCCTGAAGAAGGACAACTTACCCGATAGCGTCGTCAGCACTATTCAGGCGGCCAGACGTCCGTCAACAACTCATATTTACGAGGCATCCTGGAAGGCCTTCTGCAGCTGGAGTGCGGGTCACCATGTGGATCTCACCACGGCAACGATTCAAGACATTTTACTGTTCCTACAGGCCGGGTTAGACAAGGGGCTGGCCCCAGCTACCCTAAGGCGTCAGACCGCAGCCTTATCAACGGTCATCTCCTGTGCACCATACCAGACTATCACATAATCCGCGTATCAGAGGGTTCCTTCACGGAGCTACAAACTTACACCCACCGGCAGTGCACCGTTACCCAACCTGGGACCTATCCCTAGTTCTACGGGCCCTGACAGGCCCTCCCTTCGAACCACTGGATTCGGCCACCCTCAAACACTTGACCATCAAGGTGACCTTCCTCCTAGCAATCACCTCAGCAAGGTGAGTCTCAGAATTAGCGGCTCTTTCCATTCGTAAGGACCTCTGCATTTTCAGAGAGTCCGCGGTGGTTCTCCGTCTGGACCCAACCTTCATCCCAAAAGTGAACTCCTGGTTCCACCGGGCACAGGAACTTATCCTGCCGGACTTCTGCCCGCCGCTAAAAGACCACAGGGAGAAACATTGGCACACCCTAGATGTCCGTCGGGCGATCTGGACTTACATACACAGAACAGCCTCCTTCCGTCACACACTAGCGCTCCTAGTCTCGTTCAACCCGGCTTCCATGGGCCAGAAGATCTCGGCCCCCACGGTCAGCAGATGGATCAGGGCCTGCATTGCTTTAGCTTACGACTTGAACTCCCAGCCGCTACCGGGCAACATTCTCCCCCACTCAACTAGAAGCGCGGCCACATCTGCAGCCTGGGCTACACAGGCTTCAGTAGCTGATATTTGCAGAGGAGCGACCTGGTCCTCGTTGTCGCCCTTCATTCGGCACTACAAGATAGACGCTTATAATTCAGCCGAGGCGGCATTTGGCCGCCGGGTACTCCAGCGGGTTGTGGCTAGAGAGGACTCTGTGGGCAGTCAGCCCCCCGCCCAGGGGATTTAAGCTTGGGTATATCCCATTCATGGATAGTGGGAGCAGCGCACAGGAAAATGGACGTTGTCTTACCTGAACGTCCCTTTTCTGGGCGCTGCGTACACTATCCATCCCCGCCCGTATCTATGGGCTTCCTGCCTGGCTGTGGTTTTTCCGTTAAATAGTTTGACCATGTTGAATCTGTTTCGTTAATAAAGTTATGGTTGTTGCTACACCCTTGTTTGTCGATGGTTTTTTCGCCACACCTTCGCTCAGACTGGGGTATCATGGGATTGGGGGTGTGGCTGGGCAGCGGGGAAAGGGGAAGTCCCTTGTGTTTTTGTTTTTTTTCTTAAAATAACACTCAGTTGTTTGCCAAAGGCTGAAGCATTAACCCATTCATGGATAGTGTACGCAGCGCCCAGAAAAGGGACATTCAGGTAAGACAACGTCCATTCTTATTACTCCATGGGATGTGCAAGACTAATCAACCATGAAATAAACCTGGCTTGTAGTCCTTCAGCTCTGGAACCAGCATGAGGAAAGACTGGAGCTGCAAGCATAACATCTGGAAGATGACGCTGCCTGAGGTGTCTTGTTTCACTTGCAGAAGATCAACACCATTTTCATGCTTGCCGCAGCGCTGAACCTGGTTCTCCCACATTTAGCCTGATACTCTCACAAGTTCTTCCCACAACCACCAGCCTTCCTATGAAATTCCCATGATGCACAGCCAACACGGGAGCGGTTGGCCAGCTAGAGATCCAAGGAAAGCTAGTGAACCAGGAGGTGGAAGAACATCTAGATTCAGTCCCAGCTAGAAACCTAAACCTGGTCTCCACCATTAAGTTTTTTTAGTACATAGACATGGTATGGTACCTGTAATGTTACTGATTTCTTGACTAGAAATTTCTTCCATGGTAGAATGTGAATATTGTGTGTGGAATTAATTGGCCAGGCCAATGTAACATCCAACATAAGTTCATTTGCAGGTCAGTTGATCATGCAATGATCGGCCTGAGTGAATCAGGATTTTCTTGCAGCATCTCCTACTATGTCTCAGCTTTCCAGCAGATTCTGAAGCGGAGGCCCTGGGGCTTCACTCGGGTTCCTTGTGCCCCAAGCCAAGCGTAGGGCACCCCCATGGTCCCCCAAATCTCAGTGCAGCTTCCCTCCTGAATTTCAAGCCAGGAACTGGGTTTGGCAAACTGCTGCCTGCTTTGGTTTGATAAGGTTTGGCCTCTTCAAATATAGGTACTCCTTTACTGACAATCACAATTGAGCCCCAAATTTCTGCTGCTAAGTTCTTGCCACAGTGGTTAAATGAATCATTGTAGTTGTTAAATGAGTAACATAGTTGGCTTCCCCATTGACTTTGCTTGTCAAAAGGAGATCGTGTCGTCCCAGGACAGTGCCACTGTCGTAAGTGCATGCCAGTTGCCAAGCATCTGAATTTTAATCACATGGCCATGGGGATGCTGCAACAGTCACTTTTTTCAGTGCTGTTGTAACTGAATGGTGGCTAAATGAATAGTTGTAAGTCAAGAACTACCTGTAAAGCATTTACATCTGATGTAAGATCAGGTAGTTTTAGAATAAAAAAAATGGTTCAAGTTTGCCTTAAATCGATTTCTAACCTCTGCCCATCCAGTTTTCTTTTAGACAACCATTTGTCTGAAATAGTGTAAGGTGGTCTGCTTGAGAAGGAGGTTGGACTAGAAGACCTCCAAGGTCCCTTCCAACTCGGTTATTCTGCAATAAAATGGAAATTGATTGAATTTTGACTTCACTTACATCCCTGCAATCGCCTAGTGGTCTCCCATCCTAGCCCTACTGTACTGAAATCCTGGCCTTTTTCCCTGAGCATCCAAGGTTGACTAGCAGCAGCCTGGAGGTTTGGAGTGGAGCCTCTTCCCAATCTCACCACCACCACCACCACCACATTGAAACATACCCCAAACTCATCCTACAAACGGAAATCTGGACACTACAAGGATGAGGTTTCAGCACTTGCAGCCTCTCAATCTCCTTTCTTCCCGCAGGCAAAGATGCCATCTAAGGTCAGGACGGTGCACCCAAATTCCCGCAAAGCCCCGTTAGGCAAGATCAGCCGAGAGGCTGCCCGGTCGCTCCGAATCCACGAGCCCAGTCCAAGAAAGGAGTTTGCACTTGGGAAGGCCAGTCCCGGGTTAATGGAATAACCCAAGTTGGAAGGGACCTTGAGGGTCTTCTAGTCCAACCCCGTTCCCGAGCAGGAGATCCTATAGGTCAGTGGTTCTCAACCTGTGGGTCGGGACCCCTCTGGGGGTCGAACAACCCTTTCACAGGGGTCACCTAAGACCATCGGAAAACACATATTTTCAATGGTTTTAGGAATAATTTTATGGTTGGGGGTCACCACAACATGAGGAACTGTATTAAAGGGTTGCGGCATTGGGAAGGTTGAGACCCACTGCTATAGGTGGTACCATTCCGACCAAATAGTGGTCCAGTCTCTTGCCCTGAGTCCTTCGGGAGTAGGGCGGTATATAAATCAAAGAAACTAAACTAAGTGGCTTGATTCCCACTGTTTTGGTTTAAATTTAATTGATTTTAATTGGGTTGTTTTAATTTTTTTTTTTAATTTGAGTGCGCTAAGCAATAGCCTTCATCCTTTTGTATATTTATACAAAGTCAGCTTATTGCCCCCACAAACTGGGTCCTCATTTAACCTACCTTAGAAAGGATGGAAGGCTGAGTCAACCTTGAGCCTGGTGAGATTCGAACCCTGCAGTAATTGCAGGCAGCTGGTCTTAATAACCAGCTTAATAACAGGGTGCCTTAAACCCCTGTACTACCAAGGCTCTCAAAAAATTGCGGCCCAAAATATTTAATTATTTTTAAACTGTTTTTAAATTTCGTATGTTTTATTCTGGCTGTTCACCGCCCTGAGTCCTGTTGGAGAAGGGCGGTATACAAATTAAAACAAATAAACAAATAACTGAACTAAACTAAACTTGTTAAAAGCTGCCCCTTCTGGAGGCCGGCCGTTCCACTGGCGAACGGGTCTGTCGGGAAGGTCCTCCTTCGTCCTAGGTCGCAGCCCCCCCCCTGCAGACCACCACCCCGGAGCCCATCGCGCGCGCCCGAAGCGGCGGCTCTGCCCAGTCCCGGGCAACTGGCCGGTCGGGCGCGCGCTCGGGCTGGCCTGGGTCCGCGGGGCGCTAGGACCTGGCCGCCTCCCGCTGCAGGAGCCGCCGCCGCCGCCGCCTCCCTCTCCCGGCCTGGGCGCCGCCGGCTGCGGCTCCCCCGCCGGAGCTGGGCTCTTTCTGTGGGCGCCGCCGGGGAGAGCAGCCGCGAAGGGCGGCGGGGGCTGCAGGGGCGCTTTAGCCCGGCGGAGCGCTCCGTGCACGATGCAGCAGCCGCGGATGCGCTGAGCCCGGCCGGCTCTCCCGCTCCCGCGCGCCCCGGAGCCCCGCGCCATGGCCACCGACCTGGAGCCCGCGGCCGGCCGGCTGGAGGCGGAGGAGGACGAGGAGCAGTGGCTCTACGGAGGTGGGGGCGGCAGCGGGGCGTTGGGGGGGGAGGCCGCCGCGCTGGGGAGGGGGCGAGTCCCGGGCTGCCTCCCCCGCCGGGCGTTGCCGCGGACCGGGAGGCAGCCCGCCGGAGCATCCTTGGGGGTTGTTGGAGCGCTTTGCCGGCCTTGGAAGCCCCTGATCCTCGGGCTGGTTGGGGACGGTGGGATTGGCCGCCGCCCCCCCCACCCCTCCCTCCCTCCCTCGGTGGGAGTCCGGAGGAAGAGCGGGCCGGGGGCTTCTCGGAGGAATGCGCGGGCCGGGGATGCTCCGCGCGAGGGGGGAACGAAGGCATCGCGGGCCCGGTGAGACCCCCCAACACAACGGCAAGGTCAAAGCCTTTGAGCATCCCAGCAAGTGGGAGGGCTCCAGCCCACCCCCCACCCCCCCAATACAGAAGATGGGATCTGCTGGCTTGAAAATATTTCAGTCTTTCCTTTAAGAGAATCAGAGAGTCGGAAGGGACCCTGGAGGTCTTCTAGCTCAACCCCCTGCTCAACCATGGTAGCTTGAAGATGGGTGGACTTCAACTCCCAGAATCCCCCAGCCAATATTTCAGTCTTTCGTTTAAGAGAATAAGAGAGTCGGAAGGGACCCTGGAGGTCTTCTAGCTCAACCCCCTGCTCAACCAAGAGACCTCTGTACCAGTGTTTCTCAACCTTGGTGGCTTGAAGATGGGTGGACTTCAACTCCCAGAATCCCCACCCATCTTCAAGCTACCAAGGTTGAGAAACACTGGTATAGAGGTGGCACCTATGCCAAGGCCACAAATTCCAGTGCACCTGTCTGGCAGGCCTGTTTTCCCTTCGCAACAGGATTCCTCCTGTAGCGATGATTCTTCGCTAGAGGATGTTTATCCAGAGGCGTTTGAATTTTCTGAAGATGAGGGGTTGAGGCCTGATAGGCCAGCGTTCACGGGACTTTTTCATCCCTCTGTTTTCAAGTCCTTACTTCATAAGGCCAAGGTAGCGACCAACATTGCGGTAGTTGAGATCCTCCTGGCCAACCTCAGGGCTCACTGCTCCCCATGAGGACTTGTTGATGATACCAAAGTAGGAGCAAGACTTTATCCCTTGCCCAAAACTTTTCTCTGAGGTCATTCAAAGCCCGTGGGTTCAACACGGCTCTATTCCAGACAAGTGTTTTCTTAGAGACCGCTGGCCACTTTCAGAAGAAACCGTTGATCGTTCACAGGGATTCACACTTGGGTTGGGTTTATGCAACAACTTGGACCTCAAAGTAGCCTACCACATTTTCATCCAGGCCGTTGTGGGATCTTGACCTCTTCTCTCATGTGAACCAAGACAAGTTTTACCTTAGGATGAGTCATTGCTTTAAAGCAGGGGTCTCCAAACTCGACAATTTGTGGCCTTCAACTCCCAGAATTCCCCAGCTAGTATGGCTTGCTGGGGATTTCTGGGAGTCAAATTCCAAAAGTCTCAACGTTGCCAAGTTTGGAGACCCTGACTTTAAAGTAAGGGAGTAGAAACTCACCTGAGCATTCCCCAACCTCTGGCAAGGTCCAATAGTCCAACCCAGATTAATCATATCATCTGTCAGTTGTAGATGAATGAAGAATAGGGTTTCCTGTCCCAGGGGGGTTATAGTATAATTTGATAGGAAAGTGAGCAGCAAGGAGAAGTCCACGAATGGAAGGAGAGCTTAACCTTTAAGGAGTGGTTGGAGAATCTACATTCAGGTGGGTTGACACCTCCCTAGAGTTAATCACAGCAAACAAGGGTGCTTAAGTGGAGACTTCAAAAAACTTTGGGGAGGTTATAAGGAGGGATTGGGTGAGCTGGCTTGCCATGGGGGACAGTTCTAGGAATAAGGGGAAGCACGGCCTAGTGGATGGCCCTTCAAAGGGAACAGAACTTCGGGTGAGGCAGCTGCATGACCCTGGTTGAGACATTCAGGCCCAACTGCTTGTCAAAATTGAAATGCCTGGTGGGAGGAAAAAAAGGAAGAGTCGTCTTCCAAGTAAGTAATTCAAACAAAACTTGAGGCATTACTAACTAGGGGATTCAAACGATTGAATTTGTGCTTGCCCAGAACGGGGTGATAGAGAGGACATGCCATGGGAACCTCCTGGAGGACTTCCAGGTGAAACCAAATTGTATACTCTCATAACTATGTTAAAAGAATGTTAGTTTTCATTGTGATTTCTGAAATTCAGGGAGCTGGCAAGAATGAGTATTCTTCCGTGCTCTCATTGTATTAACAGCTAGGAGTGAATTGGTGGTTTTTCAATACAGTGGTTTAATGTTAAACTACGTTTCCCAACCTTGACAACTTTGAGACCTGTGGAATTTAGCCCCCAGCCAACCATTGTGGATTTTAAATCCCAGAAATCCCCAGGCAGCTGGCTGAGGAATTCTGGGAGTTGAAGTCCACAGGTCTTAAAGTTGTCAAGGTTGGGAAACCCAGCATTAAACCATGATTTTAAGTTAAGTGCATAAGCACAAGAAGAAGAAAAAACCCAACCCCATACTGAGCAAAGTTTTAGTTCTCTTCTCACAGGTACCAAAGAAATGGTTCCATTTTATTTCTCCTGGTTGTTTGCTCTTGGTTCAGTACAAACCCAAGTTTTGTGTTTTAAAATGTAACACTTGCCAATTATTAATCCAGCCATTTGCAAACCTTGTATTTAACCTTGTTAAAAAGTAGCTTGCATTTCTATCAGGCCAAGATTTTCTGCTTTATATAATAACATTCTGGGCATCAGAGATGGTTTTCCTATAGATTCTCTTTTTTTCCCTGCTTTTAGAACTGAGCTTTAGCATCATGCCTCAGTACAGTCAGAGACTTCATTTAGCCATCAAAGCTCAGCCATTCAGTACAAGTATAGGTAGTCCTTGACTTTCAAGCATCCATTTAGTGACCATTCAAAGTTACAACGGCACTGAAAAAGGTGACTTATGGCTGTTTTCACAAATACAAACATTGCAGCATCCCGGGGTCACATGATAAAAATTTGGTCATTTGGCAACTGGTTCCTATTTACGACGGTTGCAGGGTCTTTGGGTCGCGTGATCATCTTTTGTAACATTCTGACAAGCAAAGTGGGGGGGGGAAGCCAGATTCATTTAACAGCTGTGTGACTAACTTAAGAACTGCAGTGATTTCACTTAATGTGGCAAGAAAAGTCATAAAATGGGGTAAAATTCACTTGAAAACTGTTTTGCTTAGGAACGGATATTTTGGGCTCAATTGTGGTTGTAAGTCAAGGACAACCTGAAATTTGGTAGTTGGAATATTAAATTAAGAATGTGAAACGAAAAGGTAATCGTTGTTTGACTGCAAGGTGATTTTTATTCTTAGACTATTCTGTTTATTTGGCTTTATCAGTCCCACCAGATTTATTATAAGGATACGCAGCTTTACATTCTTGGTGGAAACATACAGGGATTCAAACGTTTCTGGGCCATTGTAGGCTTTGTAAAATTAGTGCAGCAAATTCCAATAGTAGCATGTTGGTGCTTTGGGTGTGAACCAACAGTTCAGAAGTAGCCTTGTGGATCCGTCTCTGCATATCTACTTGAGTTAGAGCTGCAGAGCTAAACAGACATGGATAAAATTGGGTCATGGAATCAAGTTATGCAGTATTGTAGGCTAAGGAACATGTGGCAGACACTTCTCCATTTTTCTGGGGGGGGGGGTTGTTTTGTTTTGTTTCTAAAAAGATACATGCAGTGGCCGTGTTTAATCAATAGGCAGATTATCTAAGACCATAGTGAACTTATTTATTTATTTATTTATTTATTTATTTATTTATTTATTTATTTATTTATTTATTGAATTTCTATACCGCCCTTCTCCCGAAGGACTCAGGGCGGTGAACAGAATAAGATTTCATATACATACATACATACATACATACATACATACATACATACATACATATATATTATAAACAGTAAATAATAAATTGAGTCAACTTAGTGTATCTGCTGGCATAGAATTTAGATGTTTATGCTAGCCCTGCTTGTTGAAACAGAAAGGTCTTCAGAGCACGTCGGAAAGTGCGAAGATCTGGGATTATTCGTATTCCAGGGGGTATTTTGTTCCAAAGAGTAGGTGCCCCCACAGAGAAGGCTCTCTCCCTTGGAACTACTAGATGACATTGTTTTAATGATGGTACTATGAGTAAGCCTACTCTGTGAGAGCGTATTGGTTGGTGGGAGGTTATCGGTTGCAGCAGGTGGTCTCGTAAGTACTCAGGTCCAAATGTGGGAGATCAGATTTCAGTTTCTTAAGGTTGGGAGTTAACAAGTATGCTTGTCTAATGTTTAAACTGCTTTAGTTCCCAGATGTTACTGTGATAAAGAATAATGGAATAGAATAACAGAGTTGGAAGGGACCTTGGAGGACTTATAATCCAACCCCCTGTGCAATACCAGTTCCTACAAAGGCTGTCCAATCTCTTCTTAAAAGCCTCCAAGTGATGGAGGGAAGCACCCACAACTTCTGGAAGCAATTTGTTCCACTGGTTAATTGTTCTCACTGTTAGGAAATTTCTCCTTAGTTCTAGGTTGCTTCTCTCCTTGGTTAGTTTCCATCCATTGCTTCTTGTCTTGCCTTCAGGTCCTTTGGAAAATAGGTTGACCCCCCCTCTTCTCTGTGGCAGCCCCTTAGATTGGAACATAGCTATCATGTCACCCCAGTCCTTTTCTCCCTTAAACTAGACATACCCAGTTCCTGCAGTCCATTCCTTGTATGTTTTAGCCTCTAGCTCCCTAATCATCTTTGTTGTTCTTCTCGGCATTCTTTTCTGGGGTCTCAACGTTTTTTTAATATTGTGGCAACGAGACCAATATTCCAAGTGTGATCATACGAAGCAGGGGTGAAATCCAGCAGGTTCTGACAGGTTCTGGAGAACCGGCAGCAGAAATTTTGAGTAGTTCAGAGAACCGGCAAATACCACCTCTGGCTAGCCCCAGAGTGGGGTGGAAATGGAGATTTTGCAATATCCTTCCCCCAGGAGTGGGAGGGAATGGGGATTTTGCAGCATCCTTCCCCTGGAGTGGGGTGGGAATGGAGATTTTGCAGTATCCTTCCCCTGCCATGCCCACCAAGCCACGCCTACCAAGCCACACCCACAGAACCGATAGTAAAAAAATTTGGATTTCACCACTGATACGAAGGCATAAAATAGTATTAACACTTCATGTGATCTTGATTCTGTCCCTCTGTTAATGCAGCCTAGAACTGTGTTGGCTTTTTTGGCTGCTGCAGCACACGGCTGGCTCATATTTAAGTGGTTGTCCACTAGGACTCCAAGATCCCTTTCACATTACTGGTATTGAGCCAGGGGAACAAGAATGAAATATGGCTGCTCTGTCCCTTTCAGGAAAAAAATGTCTTCATTACATTTTAAACTGCTAACTCTTATCTATGAATCAGGAGTCTCAGCAGACATAAAGTCTTCATCAGTCTATATTTTGGGTTTCCTGGCAGTCATCAAGAGTGACTTTTATGCTCTATTTTTTAGCAATGTTATTTCAGACTTTAAAACTGTTGGTGTGATGATACTCCCTAGTTAGCCAGGTGTTTCTAGACATATACCAACAAAAAGCTATCCAGTTTTGTTTCCTTAGGTAATGTAAACCATAATAGATCTCTTGGATGGTATCAAAAATAACATTCTGGGGACCTTTAGAACCTTACTTGGATAAATAGGATTTTTTTTTCTTTTTTAATGTGTTTAGGTTATTATAGTGACACAGTGTTGAAGCCTATTGGTTCCAGGTCTGTATTAAAAGAATGTTAAGAACTGAGTCATCAGACCATGTGTTACTCTTGAGAAGATGCAACCGAGTCTTTGGTTTTGCACATATGCCATCAGGGCAGAGTTTCCTTTTTTATTTGAAGCAGAAGTGCTTTAAATAAACAAAGATAGGTAATTGAACCCAGAATGAATTAATGGCACAATAAGAGCAAATCTCTCCAGTGAACTATTTAAACAGGCACAGCATTTAAGAAGGGAGAAACATGTTGTATAGAGGAAGTGAACTGTCATACATGCCATCACAATCAAGAGGTGATTTTTTTTTATTTCATAGGCTGTTTGTCAGATCAGTACTAAGGAAAATGCCACTTCCTTGGCATCTGCTTGATTGGAACTCTTGCTATTATCCCGGTATATTAAATGTGGATTTTATGCTGCTCTCTGATCTTGTTTTTTTTTTTTTTATTTGATTTATATGCCGCCCTTCTCCGGAGACTCAGGGTGGCTTACAATGCTTTAAGCAATAGCCTTCATCCTTTTGTATATTTATACAAAGTCAGCTTATTGCCCCCACAAACTGGGTCCTCATTTCACCTACCTTAGAAAGGATGGAAGGCTGAGTCAACCTTGAACCTGGTGAGATTCGAACCTGCAGAAATTGCAGGCAGCTGTGTTAATTACAGGGTGCATTAAACCACTGTACTACCAAGGCTCTTTTTTTTGCCTGAAGACATTTCGTTACCCAACTAGGTAACATCATCAGTGCAAGAGAATGTAGGGTTTGCCCCCTGTTTATGTATAGTAGCTTGCCCTGCCAGGGTTAGTGGAGGTATGGTTTTGCTCCTTCCAAGTTCCTTGATTAGAGTATTGTTTTCTGCTTGATAGCTCAAGTGTTGGTCCCTGTTTAACTGGTTTATCTCTATGTGTCTATTGTGTCAGTCATCCATAGACACAGAGACACAATAAAATAAATGTGTTGGCCATTCATAGATACATAAGCACAATAAACATATGGTAGCCAGCACATAGACAGAGGGGTCTAGGACAACTCATTGTGGCTAACTTGCCACGGCCACCTTGTCGCAGGACAATTCAACACTGTATTAATAATTTCATTCGGTTCTGTCAAAATTAATTTAACTTTTGTTGAATTGTCCTGCAGCGAGTTGGCCATGGCAAGTTGTCCCAGAGACAGAGATAAGCCACATTTACACAGCATTTAAAAGAGACAATTAAAAGAAGGTAACAAAAAGAAGAACTCAAAAAGAACAAAACACATCCTCTCCCGCAGCCAACACCTAGATAAGCAGGAATTAACACAGACAATCAACCCAGCAGAAAATAGTATCTTAATTAAGGAACTACCACAGGGAAACCTATCCCGCAGGGTAAGCTACTGTATATAAACAGGCAGCAAGCCCCACACTCGCTCACACTGATGATATTACCTAGCTGGGTAATGGAATGTCTGCAAGAAAACCACCAAGCTCAGAGAGCACCAAGGACTCCATAGTTCAATCCTGAGCTACAAATATTCTCTTCTAGTGGAAGTATGAGTTCTATTTTGCAAAAGTTTTAAAGAGTTTCTATTACACAGAGAGGGGGGGGATTACTAGCCCTACATGAGTGAGGCATGCAGATCCATTTATATAAACATAAATTATACAACCAGCCTGCTAATATCAAAATAGGCCACAGATCAAAATTCATGTGCATCCTTTTTGCCCAGGAAATGTGATGTAGGAAACACTTTGAATGTGGCTTCCTGCCTGATTTCTAAATAAAAGTAATTATGAATGAGCTGTCTGAGGTGTGACTCCTTACCAACCCTCAGAATCTGTGGAGTCCAGACCCAGGTCCTGAAGGATGATGGCTGCAGAAAACTTCCCTGACTGCCCATTTGGAAATCCTGCAGTTGGAAGATCCTCTATTCAGATTTCTGCTAGATGCAGGAATCCAAATTAAAGCATCCCCTACAGAAAGATGTCCAGTCTCTGTCGATCGCTTTGCTTGGTTGCTGCTTCTACTGCCAAATTGCTTTCCTCACTTATCCTCGGAATGTTTTTCTAATATTCAACTGGCATTTGCTTTCTTGCAAATTGAGAGCATTGTTTTGTCTCCTGATCTGGGATGATCTGGATGTTAGGAAATCCTGGAGGTTGTAAATACAAGAAAATATTTTGGCGAAAGCAGCAGCAAAACATTTCCATGTGGCTGCCAAGAAAACTCCATGGAAAAGTTCCTGAAGTCATCAGGGTTGGGTCAACTCAAAGGAGACTTCAAGAAGGATTGGTGCTTGGGTGTCACTGTAGTTAGAAGAAGAGAGACATAAGCTAGAAAGAGACAGAGTACAGGGACAGTCTAGGAAAGCAATTGCTCCTTCTCGCTCACTTTTTTGTCCGTATCTAGTGGTGAAATCCAAAAATGTTCCCTAGCAGTTCTGTGGGCGTGGATTGGTAGGCGTGGCTGGGTGGTCATGTGAGTGGCTGGGCACAGCCAACTCAATGTCACTCCCACCCGGTCACATGACACCCTCCCCCCAGCCACACCTACCCAGGTTTTGTGGCTCCTGGTATTTTCTGTATGAAATGGATCATGTGACTGGGTGGGCGTGGCCAACTTGATTGGTCTCACCCGTAGGAAATTTCTTAGTCCAACTAACAATAAAATAGTACAATAAAATAGCACTGTTCCAATATTTAGAATAGAATAGAATAACAGAGTTGGAAAGGACCTTGGAGGACTCCTAGTCCAACCCCCTGCTTAGGCAGGAAACCCTACACCACTTCAGACAAATGATTATCCAATCTCTTCTTAAAAACTTCCAGTGTTGGAGCATTTACAACTTCTGGAGGCAAATTGTTCCATTGATTAATTGTTCTGTCAGGAAATTTACAAAGATGAGAAACAATGGATGGAAACTAACCAAAGAGAGAAGCAACCTAGGACTAAGGAGAAATTTCCTAAGGGTGAAACCAATTAACCAATGGAATAGCTTGCCTTCAGAAGTTGTGGGTGCTCCATCACTAGAGGCTTTCAAAAAGAGTGAGGGAAGTACACCCCAAAAGGACAGTGCCAGTAATCACTAAAACAATGCAGAAAACTTAAAACAGCCATTCCCTTTTTTTAAAAAAGTCAACCCCAAAGCAAACTCAACAACAGCCGAGAGGGAAACTAAGAGCAGCTGCTCAGGCTAATTGAAAGCCCAAAAGCCATTAACCCTTCCAACTCTATTATTCTATGTTCTCTATGTTCTAAATTGGGTGCTTCACAGCAGAAGCAATACAGCTGGCTGGACCACACATGCATTAAATTCACAGCCTGTATGATCAAGCTGCATCATTGTCCCCTCCTCTATCTTTTCCCCCAGGAAGAAACAAGAAGTAGCCAACACTGCAGCAGCTATAAAAGGTCTTGGGAAACTCCAGGGAGTATCAGCTGATCACAGAACTGTTACTTAATACTCTTTATAATGAAAATGTTTGTAATCTTGTCCTTCCAGAAGGGAAGTGGTTAATCCCATCGCTAGAGGGGTGATTGATGGGTTTCCCTGCCCTAATCCTGACAGTTTCTGTTGTTTATTGACTTGATTCAGCATGTATTGGCTGCATTTCAGCTGCAACTGTTAAGTGGAGCTATTAATTGAAGGAGAGAGGAAAAAAAAAAAACCTCTCTTGCACTTTATTTTTAACTGGTTCTCCGAATGCCTAAGCAATTTACTAACGGTTCGGACGAACAGGTGAGAACCAGCTGAATTTCACATATGTCGATATTCCACCAGCCTTCCATATTCCATCGTAATTGGTCAATAGGAACACCTCATAAGACTACAGTGAGTTCTTTTTTTACAAATATTGAAGGATTTATCTTTGCCTTTAATTAGTATTTGTCTTTCTTCCTATTTTCAGATGACAATGGTAAGCCAGAAGATGGACCAATATCTGGGTAAATCTTCAAGCTTTTCCTTTAGAACCAAACATATTTAGGTCAGGTAGCAACCTTCTGTAACATAATGCTCTTCAGATCTGTTGGATGTCAATCTCCATAATACCCGGCAAGCTTATGCCATGTTAATTGAACATCATAGCATATAACATTTATATATAAATGCCATATTTCTATATAATACTATATAACTTTTCTGGAGCACGTCAAGTTACGGAGGTACTTGATGTTACATTAAGTTAATTTTATTACATTAAATTTACATTACTTTAGATTAAATTAATGTTAAGTTACATTGATTGTAAAAGCTTAAGTGTAGCTTTGTCACTTCTGTTTATTCCCAGCATCAAAACCTCATTACTTAAAAAAACTCCAAAATGCTTTGTTTATATCTGTTTATTTGCCTTTTATTTTCTCATTTGGAGTTCTAAATTCTGTTTTAGTCACATTTCTTTGGATGGATGGATGGATGGATGGATGGATGGATGGATGGATGGATGGATCAGGAGCAGGCTTGCTTTCCAACTGCCTGGTTAGCTGACTTGGGCTTTTCTTAAAAAGAAGACAGGATAGGAATTTGTGAAACCAGCGCAAAAGTTGGCCAGATAATTGTAAACCAAGCCTGTTCCTGATAAGCCAAGCCCATTAATTGTTCCATGGATACCTTGAGCTCAGGGTCCTGCAGAAGCTTTGTTCTGGCTGCAGTTGAGTGTGCCAAGGATAACCCTATATGTGACATCTGCATAGAAAGGAATACTTTGTATGCTGGAGGGTCAGTTGTCCTACTGATTAACCAATGTAATCTGTATCTTATTGGGTGGAGAAACTTGCCCTTATTGTTTTGTTTACATTTATCAGACACACTGAATCTCATCCATTGCAAGACATTCCTAAGGAGACCAGAATTGTTATCAGTGAAGACCAAGAACTGTTGCAGCAAGTAAGTGATGATCATCAAGTAGAAAGTCCAGCACACCGTTTTCCAATCATGTGTCTGGGAAATATGTTGGACTTCATTCCCAGTCCTGTCCAGCATAGACAATCACTGGATATTTTTCTGTCAAGGTCTGGCTGCGCTCACAGGAGAAATCCATAGAGAATTATGTCAATGATGAGCAGAGCTCACACTAACAATAGTTGGGACCTATCACTTCAAGTCCTGCTTTGCTGCCTCATTCTGGCAAGAGTTGGGGTGTTCCTGGGAGAGATGACCAGAAGTGGGAGTGTCAAGCTAAAGTAGAGAAAAAAAGTCATCCAGTTTCCATTATATGGTCTTGAGCACATAGCCATCATTTTCAAACAGAACATCAAAAGTTATTTTGAAGTCATGAACATCATTGATAGATACCATGCAAGTCTATGACTGTAATAAATATGTGATTGATTGATAATTGATAGAAAACCAGAGGAACCATGGATTGGATTTTAAAAAGTAGTTAAGGATAAATGTGAAAAGATACTGCTGAAGAGGAAAAAGGGAAGAAAGCAAACTGGATTTTAGAATGAACCATGGAAACTAATGAAGGGAAGAGAAGGGAAAGGAAGCGAAGGGAAGGGAAGGGAAAAAGACCAAAAAAAACCCTTCTGAAAGGCAATTAACTAAGAGTTCCAGAGACAAGAAATTTCGGATACAGTATTGAATTAGACCATTGGGATAAATTGTGGGAGAAAAACTATAAATTAATGATGTCAGCTGCTTATAAGGAGAACCTCTATAAAATGTTCTACCGTTGGCATTTACAACCAGCCAGATTAGCCAAGATGTTTTCAAATTGTTCACCCAAATGTTGGAGATGTGGTTATAAACAGGGAACTTTCTACCACATGTGGTGGACTTGTCCCAAGGCCAGGAAATATTGGCATAAGATAAGAAAATGGTTGGAAGAAATAACTGAACAAAAAATCGAATTGAAGCCGGAATTATTTCTTTTGGGCATTTTAGATTGGAAAATGGGTAAAAAAATTCAATACATAATATTACACATATTAACGGCAACCAGAGTCGTTTTTGTGCAGAATTGGAAACAGGCTGATATTCTTTCAGAAACAATGATAATAAGAAAAATATATGAGTATGCTGAAATGGATAGGCTGTCTATGGAATTGAAAGAGAGAGAAGAATCTGAGTTTTATCAGATTTGGAGTAGATGGTATACGTGGCTTGAGAATAGGAGTAAAATTAATGCATAAGATGTATAAAAAGTATAATATATAATATATAAACTATATAATATTGATGATAATATGATTGTAGGTATTATAATTTAAATGATGGTATAATATAGGATAATGAACCATAGAAATTTATGTAAATATGAATCTTATGGCTGATATTGATACTGATATGGAAATGCTGTAATGAGTGTAAATTTGTGTTTTGTGTTTTAAATGTTAGAAAAATTTAATAAATATTTTTTTTAAAAAAAAGAGTTCCACAGACAAGAAGCACTATTACAACAACTGCTGTAAAGAGGTTGAAGATAGAAAAACATTGAAACATCTTCCAAAAGATCTCTGAACACAGAGGTTCCAACCTCATATCAGTATGCTAAGGGACACCAATGGACAAATAGTGAACAGTTCAGTGAAGATCAAACAATAAGTAGATTGAAATTCTGTAGAGTAGAGATGTCAGCATCAAGATTCTTTAGAGTAGTCTTAGTATTAGCAGATGAAATCAGATCAATATTTCCATTATTACCAAGTCAGAAGGCTACAAGAATTGGAAGAACTACAGAAATATGGCAAGCAACAGAAGAAATATTGGTAACGGTTCCAACCAAACTATAATAGCAAATCTGGAGAATAACACAGTGGCCAACAAAGAAGTCGTTCTACATGTCAGTACCAAAATTAATGAGATTTTAGCAGACTGCACATGCTATTGTATAGTATCTATAACATGCTAACAAAATAATGGTTAGCTCATCCAACACAGAGCTCCACATGTAAGAACTTACAAAGCTGATTTTAGAAAAGTTCAAAGAATAAGGGACCGTTTGCTGATGCACACTGGATATCTGAGAAAAGCCAAATAATAACCAAAAATTAGTCAGTAGGTGCTTCATTGACAAAATGATTGTATTGACAACGTCAACCTGTGGAATGTCCTTAGAAAAATTGGAATTCCAGAACATCTCAATGTCTTTCATGTATATGCAGTCAGAAAGCCACAGTCCAGACAGGATGTGGCAAAACTGGCTTCAAATTGCAAATGAATGAGACAAGACTGCATAATTACACAATAGCAGAGTTGGCAGGGATGTTGGAGGTCTTCTAGTCCAACCCCCTGCTCAAGCAGAAGACCCTATACCATTCCAGACAAGGGGCTGTCCAGTCTCTTCTTAAAAACTCTAGTGATGGAGTGCCCACAACTTCATGATTATTCTCTCTATAAATTATTACCATACATATATTGCAACATATATAAGACTATATGTTCTTAATTAATCAACCCACCTGTTGAATTTTTATTGAGAAAAGCTGGATTGGGAGAAAATGAACATAGTTGTAAAATTGAAGGAAGAAACATAATTTCCTAAGATTAAATACAAGCAAAAGTAATGATAACTGGCCCAGCAGTCACCCAGGAAATCCTTTAAAAAGGCATTCAGATGCCCAGTTGTGTCTCTGAGCAAAAAAATCAGAACTACACAAGACATTTTTTTTTTTTTGCCTGGTGACATTCTGTGGAAGTGAAAGTTGGACTTTAAAGGAGCAGGACAGAAAGAATATTGATACTTCTCATCTTTGGTGTTTGAGAAGTCTCCTAAGAAATCTGTGGATAGCCTGTGGATAGCCAAATCCAGAGTTCTCAATGACCAAATTGAAATTACCCTACTTGGGAAGGATTATGAGAAGACCTGGCTCTCTGGAGAAGGTTCTGAAGCTCAGTAGGATGGAAGGAAGCAGAAGAGGAGGGTCAACAGCAGAGAAGTTCATCAGCCCAAATACAATGGTGTGAGGGTGTTGTTGGAAGACCTGAAAGAAAAAGCTTAGGGACAGATTGTCATGGAGAAAAAGTTGTCTCTGGTTGGCAACAGTCAACACTAATCTGATAGTACATAATCAGGTGGGATCCAAATCCAAATTAGATGGAGCTCCCTGTACTCTTTTTTTCTCACGTTCTCTTTTGTTCCTTGTGACAACTCACCTAGCCGGGTTTAATTTCTCATGCTACTTTCTCATGTTACTGTCTTTGCTGTAGATCATCCCAAGTGGGGAAGATGAGGAGGAGGAGAGTGACAGTGATGATGATGACATTCGAGTCACGATTGGCAATATCAAGACTGGAGCCCCATCTTATATGTATGTGTTATACCCTCCCCCAAATCCTATTCTTTACTTAGTCATGCAAGTTTTGTTGAGATCAATGATGCTTTACTTGTTTATTTTATTTGTATGCTGCCTCTATTATTTTTATAAATGACTCAAGGAAGTGAACATATCTAATATTCCTTCCTCCTCTATTTTCCCCATAACAATAATCCTGTAAAGTGGATTGGGCTAAGAGAGACTTGACTGGCCCCAAATCATCCAGACACCTTTCACGCCTTTCATACTGTAGTAGCAGAACTCAACCATCTCCTGATGATTGACCCAAAGTCACCCAGCTAGCTTTCACACCTAAGGCGGGACCAGAACTCATTGTCTCTTGGTGATTGGCCAAAGTCACCCAGTTGGCTTTCATGCTTAAAACAGGACTAGAACTCACCATCTCCTGATGATTGGCCAAAAATCACCCAGTCACTTTTTCATGTCTAAGACAAGACTGGAACTCGCCATTTTCTGGTTTCCAGCTGATCAAATTTCTGCTGTATGTACAAAGTCATTGAAGCAGCTTTCATTGAAACCAGAGTGACTCAATCTGACACCATCCAGATGGGCAGGACCTCCGCTCCCGTCATTCCCCAAAAGCCAATTAGAATGGGGGGAGGGTGCTACCAGCCCAGCAGTGTTGTCCACTGGCCCCTTCTCCTGGGCCAGCCTGTCCATTCAGCCGATTATTGGAACTACCCAGTGATGTTTTTCATGGTTTAAGACTCTGATAAAGATGATTGGAGCCAAGCTCTACATAGATTACCCAGGAGATCTGTCTTCATTCTCTTTTAGGGGGACTCCGATGAACCTGAATCTAAAAACGGGTCGAGGCTATGGAGCACCAGCCTCAGGTATGAATGGAGCTTTATTTTTGGTTATCTTTTTCACTTTCGGCAAATGAATGTTTTATTCTGAATTAATGTTCAATACAATCAAAATGGCTTGTAAACCTATCTCAGACCATATCAGGCTTTGTAACATATGCTATTAATTAATTAGGCTTATTTAATTAGCATGCTGACTCTCTTTTTTCCTTCCTTCATGTCTTTTCCCTTTCCTATTTCCTTCCTTCCTTCCTTCCTTCCTTCCTTCCTTCCTTCCTTCCTTCCTTCCTTCCTTTCTTCCTTCCTTCCTTCCTCACCTGTACTTGCCATTGTTTTCTCCATGGAGCAAAACAATGCATTGTGTTGAGAAAGACACACACAAACACGCACACAAAGCTATTTTATTTGCAAATGAGCAGAACTCAGGAGCTGAAGCTAAATTTATCCAGGAAGAATTTTCTGGTTTTTTTGAGCTGCACAGTTTTTCCTCACCCTGGGAACAGCTCTGCAGCCCGCCTTAAGCACTAACCATCTGCTTTCCTTTCTTCAAAGCCAAGTCGCAGCCTAAAGGTATTGATTTAGAGGCTTCGGGGAATATTAACGGCTTGCCAGTAATCGAGGTGGATTTAGAATCGTTTGAAGACAAACCGTGGAGGAAACCAGGTGGGGCCTCAAAGTTTCTTGTGGTAAATATGATCAACAGTTTCCTTTTTCCCCCCCCCCCCTGTAATTTGGTTTGGTTTGGCCCGGCATCACCAGTCCGTGATGAGGTGGGACAGGTGGATACAGTCTCCAATTTATGGGCATGCTCTCCATAATGTGTGATGAAATCTAAGAGCAGCACTCTCATTTTGGAAACGGGGAGATCTTTTTCTGCGTAGTGGGACCATCTGATCAGTTCACTTGGGATTGGATAAATGGAGTCCTTGCAGATTTTACTCCGCTAGTCATTGCCGGCTCTAGGGAGCGCTGCTCATCTCCATTTCAAGGCCATTGAGCCAGCGCTATCCAAAAACATTTCTGTGGTCATGTGGCCAGTATGAACTCATAGAGCACTGTTACCTTCCTACCGAAGTGGTACCTATTTATCTACTTGTATTTGTATGCTAGGTTGGCAGGAGCTGGAGCAAGGATGGGAGCTCACCCTGTCATGTGGTGCTTGGGTTTCGAACACGGGCTGCTGACTTTCCAGCCAACAAACCCAGCGTCTTAACCGCCGAGCCTTCACGCTGCTCCTTGGGGTTGGACAGCTCAGCTCCATCAGGGATGGGCTTTTTAGTGATTGTAGCTCAGCTTCTGAGCTTTGCCTACCTATTTCCAGATAGAAGCCAGAATTTCTCCTGGCTTTTTTTCTTGTTGCTCCTCATTTAGAAACTGAAATTAGGATAACCTTGAGGAAGAGGAGGAAGAGCCTCAGAGAAGAGAAATCTGAGTCCAAACCAAAAGTGGAATTAGAGAGAGTCTTAGAGGGGACCCTCCCTTGTTCTTGTGAACATGAATGCATGGGGGGGGGGAGGCACATTTAAAGTTGCAAGATTTATGTACTTTTGAGGTAGACCTGTCAGGCTTCAAAGCAAGAATGACACACAATAATTCTTCCAAGATGTGTTCTTCATTATTTTCACACCTCTAGACCAAATCTTGGCAGGCTCCGCCTAGAGATCATGCATGAGAGAAAGATGGTGAGGACAGCCCCTCCCTAACAGCTCACAGAGTATATTGTAGATGCAGATTAAAATAGACGCTTGATCTCTAAGCTGAGTTGCCTCTTCCACTTCTGGAATAAATTCCCTTCCTCCTAGGGATCCACATTCCATCACAACATTTGTGGACTGCAGCTCCCAAAATCCCTCAGCCGTCATGGGTGGACTTCAGCTCCTAGAATTCCACAGTCGGCATGTGTCAGGCTCAAAACCATCTTTCCAGGCTGAATTATTTATGGTTTTCACACCTATAGACCAAATTCTTGGCAGACTGAGGACTCTACTTTCTGCATCTACAATGTATTCTGGGAACTGTTAGGGAGGGGCTGTCTTCACCCGCTTTCTCTCACACCTGGTCTCTGGGCTGAGTTGCCTCGTACTCCTCTGGAATCAATCCCCTCCCTCCCTGGGAATCCCCTTCCTCACCACATTCCAACACAAGTTCAGACTTGAACATCAAAGAGATGAATACTAAATCTGCTTTTATTATAGGGTTGCGGTAACAGACTCTGGTCACTCTCAGTGCACCTCCCTCTCCCTGCCTTTCTCCTAAACAGAACTAGGGAGGGTTTAGCCTGAGACGCTTTCTCAAGTTACATTCCTGCTTTGGACTCAGATTTCTCTTATCTAACTTGTATCGCTTCCTCCGCGGAAGGTTATTCTCACAGCCCTTACAGAAACAGATCTTGTTGGTGGAATTTTTTTTTTTTCCAAAGGGAATTCCAGAGAAAATATCTTGTTTGGAGTGTGGGGTTTTTGCACCTATCTAATCCAAAGAACCATAAACATAGGTGTGAATTGCATGTCTCCTGTTGCAGGAGTCTGCAGCCTCTGTGGCTTCCTCTACTCCAGGGATCCCCAAACTTGGCAACTTTAAGACGTCTGGACTTTCCAACTCCCAGAATTCCCCCAGCCAGTTACTTTTTTTCAGCTTTTTTGTCATTTCAAACAGTCATTAAACAAATGGTTCTAAATGGAGGGCCACCTGTACAAACTCTGGCTGATTTGTAACCACAATTTGTGCACCTGCTTTGAATCCTAGTTTCAGCAATCATGGTTACAAATCGCCTTGTTGCATTGAAGATGGATGTCATTCAGATATTCATCAGTTTTCTTTGGGATTATTGCCATTAGCATATGTGTGTGCGTGTCTTCATACTCTAAATATATTTCACCATAAATGTTCCCAGATTTCAGGACCTTGAGAATGTTTAAAAGATGAAACACTCGTTTTCACCTTCTATGAGCCGAAAGGACCCTTTTCATCTCACAATCACCAGCCTAAAAAAAAAAATGGTGCCAAAATAATGGTCCCACCCACTCGTGGGGGTCCTCTGGTTTGCGGGCCACAAAAATGTGTTGGGCTTGCACGTGGCCTGTAGACCACAACTCATGAAGGTTACCAGGTGATCTTCAGCCTCCACAGGGCCTAATGAAAGTGTCTGGTGGTAACAGAAGATGGAAATTATCCTTCAGCAAGATTTGGAGTGTTAAAAATTTCCACTCCTGGAAAAAAAGAAAACCTTGCAATTGTGCTTAACTGTAGCCACAGCTGGCCCAAGTTTTGGTGAAATATGACAGCAGAGATAATGTGCAATAATGAAAAAGGTTGTTAAAATTCCACATGAGTCATCAAAAGACAGAGAGAGTCTACCTACGTGGGAGAATGAAGTGGAGACTTGAATGACACAGTTCTTGATTATTCTCCAGATCATCTTTTATAATTCACTTTAACTAGGGAAGGGGTCTCCAAACTTGGCAACTTTAAGACTTATGGACTTCATCCCCCCAAAATTCGCTAGCCAGCCATGCTGGGGAATTCTGAGAGTTGAAGTCCACAAGCCTTAAAGTTGCCAAGTTTGGAGACCCCTGAACTAGAGGTGTAATATGCCAGCATCCCCTTGCTCTTCTCCTTTTCTTCTTTCTGATAACTTTTATTTATTTTTAGCAGAAGAATCCCGAAAGAAGATTTCTCTGCTGCAAACAGAAGTTGCTCCAAGCCACTTTCCACTTCAGTCCCACCCCGCACCCCGGCCCCCCATTTCTTTCTGCCAGGAGAGTTGGATTTCCCTGGAGACCCTTTTTGTCAACACATTTCATTTCTTTCCAGGTGCCGACCTTTCCGATTATTTCAACTATGGGTTCAACGAGGAAACGTGGAAAGCCTATTGTGAAAAGCAGCGCCGGCTTCAGCTTGGCCTGGAGCCTTCGGTCCCCATCTGCACCGAAAACAAGATCACGGTAAAATGCAGAGCTTGGAAGTTGGTTTCTTTCAATCGCCCTGCTTCTCAAGGAATTCATCAACGTGCACGGGCTTGGAATGGTTGGGGGACATAAAAGCTGTAATAATGCACAGGTAATCCTTGACTTACAACAGTTCATTTAATGACCATTCAAAGTTGCAACGTCACCGAAAAAAAGTGACTTATGACCATTTTTCACACTTAACGGCTATTTCAGCAGCCCCATGGTCAAAATTTGGATGCTTGACAACTGATTCATATTTATGACGGTTCCAGTGTCCTGAGGTCATGTGATCAACTTTTGCGACTTTCATATAAGCGAAGTCAATGAGGAAGCCTGATTTACTTAACAACCATGTTACTAACTTAACAATTGCAGCCATTCACTTAACAAATGAGGCAAGAAAGGTCGTAAAATAGGACAAAATTCAATTAAGAAATGTTTCACCTAGCAACAGAAATGTTGGGCTCAATTATGGTTGTAAATCAAGGATTACCTGTACAAGAACTTCAATTTTAAATGCAATGAAGATGAAAAGCAAGTCAGTTTCTGATCTCGACATTTTGATCCTTTGGAGGGAGACAAAAGGCAATAAGTTGCTTCTGGCCTGTGGACCAAACCACAACCAAACTTAAGATGCCTGGACTTCAAATTCCCAGAATTCCCCAGTCAACTTCTGGGAGTGGAAATCCACCCATCTCAAAGCATGCTGGCTGGGGAATTCTGGGAGTTGAAGTCCACACATATTAATGCTGTTAAGGTTGAAAAGCATTAAACTTTTGCCTCCTGTATTAAGATGTACAATTAGAGTTAGGGTTATCCCCGGGCCCATCTTCTGTTCCCACAATCGAAGAATGGATGGAAAAACTGATGGGTTCACTGAGAGAGCAAAATTAATTGTTTAAGTCAGAGAAAAGAATATATCCAGTTTTGTTTCTGCTTGAATATCTACCTGAGCTTTGTGTTCGAGATAGGAAACAGTGAAATCTTAACTCTGGAATTTGCCAGTTAGATTAGTCGTTGTTATAAAAATGGCTAGTATCTACTAAGAGTGTGAAAATAAAAAATATTGTATTTACCGTGCTGAAAAAAGTTGGAAGTTAGTGCTTTTCTTTTCCTTTTCCCCCTTATCCTACACTTTTCCTTCCCTTTCCCATTTCCCTACCATCTTATTTTCATTTGTATATTGTACTATGTTAATCTTAATTAAAAATAATAAAAACCAGAATGTACAATTTTAAAAACTCAGTAGGCCATCTCTTGCGCTTTCTGAAGAAGACTTGGCAAACGGGTAGGTGTAAAAATAGTAGAAGGCTTTTCGGTCTGATAAAAATAGCTAGCGTGTGAACACAGAAAGTTTAGGAATTCCAGATTAAAAATTATATCCATCTGCATCCCTTCTGCAATAGAACCTAACCCCTCTCCACTTTAAGGTGCTTTATAAAGACAGTCTTCAACATACAACCACAACTGAGACCAGATTTTCCATGGTTAAGCAAGGCAGTTGTTAAGTGAGTCACAACCAACTTTATGATCTTTTACCACGGTTATTAAGCAAATGATTTGCAATTGTTGTCAATAACACGATTGTTAAGTGAATCTAGCTTTTCCCCACTCCCAGATGGCAATCAGGCGACTCCAGGACGCCACAACCATCATATATAGAAGTAGTCCTCATCCTACAACAGTTTACTTAGTGACTATTCAAAATTACAGAGGCGTGATTTATGACTGTTTTTCACACTTACGACCATTGCAGCATCTCGATGGTCACTTGATTAAAATTCAGCCACTTGGGAACCTGACTCCTATTTATGACGGTTGCTCTGTCCCAGGGTCACGTGATCCACTTTTGTGACCTTCTGATGAGCAAAGGCAATGAGGAAGCCAGATTCACTTAACAACCGGGTTACTAACTTAACAATTGCAGTGATTCACTTAACAGCTGCTTATCCAAGTAGCTTTTTTCGTCCAGCTTGATCTGAAGAAGCCTCTGGGATAAGCAGCGAATGGTTCAAACCAAAAAAGAAAAGAAGCCCAGTTACCACGATTCAACTTCCAAATGGTGGTAGGCCACTTTCTCCAGTTCTGTTGTAATTTCAAATGGTCACTAAACGAAATGCAAGTCAAGGACCACCTGTAACAGGTGGTGGCTGCAGAAAAGAATTCCGTCTCCTGGAAAGCAGCAGGAGCAGAATGGATGCTCTCTCCGTTTAAAGTCGACCCCTTTAGTTAGCGAGAAAATGGTGATTTCAATTGGAGGAGAAGGAAAAATACCTCGGATTTAAAAGGTCATTGTAGCACTGCAAAGTTTTTTGTTTTGTTTTTAAGGTTCAACAAGGAAGAACCGGCAATGCCGATAAAGAACCCGAGAACAACATCATCAAGATGGATTTTAAAACTGATTTTGTTGCCCTCGTTGGTGGAAGGATAAAAGCTGGACCTCCTCCAAACAGGTACAGAAGGGACACCTCTGGGGCGACTGTTTTTGAGATCTTTTTGCTTTTTCAAGGGTTTGAAGCCTTTATCTCCGGCTTCCTTTTTTGCAAGATTTTCAGCAGCTTAAACTACCCCATGAATCATTTTAGGACCCTGAACTTCTCCAGATGAAGGAATCTTAAGCTTCCAAGCAAGCTAGAATTCAGGGAAGCCCAGACCCAACCCATCCAGGGAAGACTCATCTAGATGGTCACCCAAAGCAAACTTGGTCAACGCTGTGGATAGGGAGGTGGCCGTATGCTGACCTGGAGGCAGATCCATCAAGTTTCCCCCAATCTCAATCTTACCCCATTTTGTTTAGGTGATATAAATAGCCTCAAAGCAAAGGGCTCAGTCATCTGCCCTTCAACTATTGTTATTTGAACAAATATTCAAACAAATATTGTTCATTCCCTAGAGCCTTGCAGATAGTTAAGACTCTGAAGCAGTGTTCGTCAACCTTAAAAAAATTAGGATGTATGGACTGCAACTCCCAGAATTCCCCAACTAGCTTTGCTAGTTGGGGAATTCTGGGAGTTGAAGTCTACACATCTCAAACTTGTCCAGATTGACAAACACTGCTCTAAAGAAAGGATAGGCAGTTTGAGATGGTGACCATTTGGAAGTCAGAATGCAGTTCCAGGGAGGGAAATTGGTTCTGAGGAGACATCTAATCCTAAAATGGCTGCCACAGTAAGTATGGCTGTCCCCAAAAACCATTCATCAGGAGAGAAATGGTCCCATAGATAACTCTCAATGTAGATCTTTAGGAGGCCTAGAGGCATTGAAATAAATAGATTTATTTTTATTTTTTAAAAAACTAAATGGGATAGCGGTTGGTATTGGGTGCAAATCCAAGATACCATGTTGCACACCTCTGCACTAAGTCTTTGGAACATTTTGAACTTGTGAGCAATATCCCAAGCAGTTTCCTGCTAGATAAAGTATTGTAACTCTCCTGTCTGTAGCATAGCATATAATAATGTCCCAAAAAGCAAGATGCAGGTCAGTTTTTGATGGTTTTTTTATAGTAAATTCTGCTTTATGGAATTTTATCCAGAGAATTGGGAAGCAAATGCCCACAATGTTGCACAAAAGAAATTTGATTGTTAATCCATTGGAACTTAAGTTATCATCAAATTATGGTGGTCTACTGGTGGATGATGTGCAGTGTGCAGTTGTCACAACATGTGAGTTGAGTGTGTTTACAGCATCCATTACTCCAATGATGAGCCGGGTTACAGGAAGAACAATGCAATCAGGATCAGCTGCTGATGCTGAATGAGTCTTCTTTTGGAACAGGAAACTGGGTGGGACAATCGACGTGATTGGTGGACAGGCTGGCACTATCCGGAGGGTGGAAGGAAGGCGGCGTGACAAACATGCGTCTGAAGAAAATCCCATTCAGGTAAGAACTGAAAAGAGGAGCTCAGGCCTTGCACACTCTTAACTTTCAATCCAGATTGGACGTTCCTGACTGGGGTAAGACCACACTTGGGACAGTGCATCCATTTCTGATCACCACGATACAAAACAGATGTTGAGACTCCACAAAGTGTGCAGAAAAGAGCAACGAAGATGATAAGGCATCTGGAGGCTAAATTATATGATGAATGGTTGAGGAAGTTACTGTAACTATGTCTAGTCTAACAAAAAAGAGGATCAAAACCGTCTCTTGATTCGTGGCGTATATTCATATCTATGCAGATAGTTGCTTTAGTCTGGCAAGATTCTGCCTATAGGCGAACAACAAACTAGGTCTAACAAAGAGAAGGACCAGGGGTGACTTGATAGCCGGCTTCCAATATTTGAGGGGCTGCCACAGAGAGGAGGGGATCAACCAATTCTCCAAAGCATCTGAAGCAGGACAAGAAGTAACAGGTGGAAGATTGTGAGAGAGAGATTCAACCTAGAGCTAAGGAGAAATTTCCTGACACTGAGAACAATTGGAATGGCCTGACTCAAGAAGTTATGGGTGTTCCATCACTGAAGGTTTTTAGAAGAAGTTGGACAGCCATTTGTCTGAAAAGGTATAAGGTCTCCTGCTTGAGCAGGGATAGACTAGAAGACCTCCAAGGTCCCTTCCAACTCTGTTATTTTGTTACTCTATATCTTTGTATGCAAAGTTGGATTTTCCTCCTCTTTATTCCATTTTAAAATGTTCCTCTTCTTTCAAACTACAGTATGTTGAACATCATCTGAAAATCTATCTCAATATAGTACACCCCCAAATCATCTTTTCCTTAAATCTACTGGCATCTTTCTTTTTGGTTTCCTCAAATTATAAATGATCTAACCATTGCTATAACTTGTTCTTTCTCTTAAATGCTGTTTTCAAATTGAGAGGGGATTGCTTCTTTCCCTCTCTCCATATTCTAGGTTTCTAAATCTCCTGTAAATAAAATCTCAATTATAGCCACGCTGGGAAAAGTATGTGAGTAATCTGTAATTTCTAGTAATTTCTTTTCCTGAATTGATTGGACATATCCAAAATATGTGACATCAATTAGATGATGATGCAGAACTTCACCAACACATAACCCAAAACAAAAATACCCTGTCCGAATAGTTTCATGTCTTTAAAGCAAATGCACTTGGTCTGAACTGAACTAACTTGGATATTTTTAATGAAATCTGGGGCGATTGAAGGTAAATACACGCATCCCAGGATATTGTTGCAGGATCCAATCTTAGTCGGTTATTGAGACCAAAGTTTATTCTTCCAAGCTTTTGGGCTCATGCTGGAGCCCATCATGACTGTGAAATGACTTAATAGTCAGCCATCAACACCCTAATTAACAACTAAAAGCTACCCACAACCAGGAACCATATAAATAGAATACAGAATAACAGAGTTGGAAGGGGCCTTGGAGGTCTTGTAGTCCAACTCCCTGCACAAACAGGAGACCCTTTACCATTCCAGATGAATGGTTGTCCAATCCCTTCTTAAAAATTTCCATTGTTGGAGCACCAACAACTTCTGAAGGCAAGCTGTTCCACTGATTAATTGTTCTCATTGTCAGGAAATTTCTCCTTAGTTCTAGGTTGGTTCTCTCCTTGATTTTCTCTTTGATTAGTTTCCATCATTGTTCTTGTCCTGCCCTTTGGTGCTTTGGAAAATAGTTTGATTCCCTCGTCTTTGTAGGAGCCCTTCAAATACTGGAACACTGCTATCATATCACCCTTAGTCCTTCTTTTCACTAGACTAGTGTTCTGCTCCAGCTACGGACCCCAGAGAATGCAGCACACACAAAGTCCGTTCAAACCTTAGTTTACTAAATAAACCAGTTTTTTACAACAACGGCTGTTAATTAACTGCATTAACAGCCACCAAGAATTCAAAGAATAATACTGAAAGCTTACTGTGGTTGGCAGAATGGCCAGAAGCAATTTGCAGGAAGCTGATAAGATAAGCAAGACAAGGCACGAAGGTATGTGAACGAAGTTGTTCCCTGCAAATTGCTTCAGTCAGCATTCCTCCTTAAATAGGCTAAGGGAGTGGCCAATTAGCCCCAAGCCTTACTCTCGAGGAGACCTCCTCCTGAGGAGCCACTCCTGCCTTTTGGTAGCTCTGCGTGCTCGTGCATCGAGAAGAGGCTCCTCCTCTTCATCCTCTTCTTCCTCTTCACTTATGGGAGCTTCTGGAGGTTCTGAAGGCCCTGGCTGAATCCCCCACCTCTGGCACCACATCTTCTCCAACCTCCTCATTGTCTGACTCAAGTGCCAACTGCACAGGCTGCTGGCGCAGCACCACACCAGCCTCCTCGCTGTCGGAATCAACTACTAGCTGCACAGGCCGCTGACGGGCCACAACAACTAGACGTACAAAATGTGTATGTATACTACATGTGTTGCACTAGAACTACAACACAGAGAATACCCCAGTCACTCAGAGAGACGTTCCCTGAGGATGGGCTCCAGCACAAGCCTGAAAGCTTGGAAGAATAAACCTTTGGCCCCGATGAGCAACTCAGATTGGATCTTGCACACCTGAGTGCTGTGAAAGGTCTCATCATTCTTATTTCAGTCCTGAAATGTTTCTGCTTCTTGAGATGTTCTGGTAAAAAGAGGCAAACATTTGTAGCTCAGGGTTGAAATGAAGGGTGCTTCCTGCTCTCTGAGCTTGGCTGTTTTCTTGCATGAAAAAATGCACGAAGAAACACTTCTTCATGATCCAAACTAAGAAACATCATCAGTGAAGAGGCAGTCTTCAATCTGAGGGCTATATATACAGGTAGTCCTTGACTTACAACAGTTTGTTTAGTGACTGTTCGAAGTTACAACAGCACTGAAAAAAATGACTTATGACTGTTTTTCACACTTACGACCCTTGCAGCATCCCCATGGTCACGTGATCAAAATTTAGATGCTTGGTAACTGACTCATACTTATGATGGTTACTGTGTTCCGGGGTCACGTGATCCCCTTTTACGACCTTCTAACAAGCAAAGTCAATGGGGAAGCCAGATTCATTTAACAATTGGCTTACTAACTTATCAACTGCAGTGATTCACTTAACAACTGTGCCAAGAAAGGTCGTAAAATGTGGTAAAACTCACTTAACAAATGTTTCGCTTAGCAACAGAAATTTTGGGCTGAATTGTGGTCGTAGGTCGGGGACTACCTGGCTTCAAAAACTTTCACTCTGCAGCAATGAAATCTGAGCTCTGAAATAAATTAGGCAAACGAATGAACGGATAAGTACCTCCACAGGAGATTTGAAATGTTGGAAGTCGTCCTCAGTGACCACCGGCGTTAGGCATTCCAACTGTCCTTCAGGGTTGATTTGACTTGGTTGGGTTTCTTTTGAAGTTCAGCTGAATTCAACACGCAGGATCTCGTTCTCCCATTCTTCTGCATTCCCATGGTATTGGGCACTTCCTGTTTTGGGACTTGCTTTGACTATGTTTCTTTTTTTCGTAAAACCTAACCTGTTTATTCTTCTGTGCCCTCTTTTGACAGGTACTTGGAGACCATGGGAGCAAAACTCAGCCTGCTCAGCCCCCTCAGCAGCAGCCATTTGTGCCCCCGGCAGGCCCACCTCCAGCATTAAGTGGGCCTCCCCCCCACTTTCTCCATCCTCCGCCGCCACCAGTTGCCTCTGTCCCACCGCCTCTCCATCCTCCAGGTAGGTGTCCTGCTAGTACAGAGCCTTGATAGTACAGTGGTCTACGCACCCTGTTATTGACACAGCTGCCTGCAATTTCTGCTGGTTCGAATCTCTGCAAGGCTCAAGGTTGACTCAGCCTTTCATCCTTTCTAAGGTAGGTGAAATGAGGACCCAGTTTGTGGGGGCAATAAGCTGACTTTGTATAAATATTCAAAAGGATGAAGGCTATTGCTTAATGCACTGTAAGCCGCCCTGAGTCTCCGGAGAAGGGCGGCATATAAATCAAATTTAAAAAAAAAAAAGATACTAAAGCCAGCGCTAGGACACACAACCATCTTGGTCTCTAAGTATGACAAGTTGAGCCAGAAGTCTGCTCTGGGAGACATTTGCAGGAGAATTGCCTTGGGGTTAAAACCGGAGATGCTCTTGCTTTTAAATTGCATGAGGAGAAGAATGATTTACTCCTTAGCAGAACTCTGTTTCTGCAGAGAAGATTGGAAAGAGGCCAGTCCAGAACAGGGCACTGTGCAATAGGCAGCCTTGCCAATGGATTGCTTCAGTGGTGGGCTCCAACTGATTTAACAATCGGTTCGTCCTAAAGACCAGCTGGGCACGGCTGGGCACAGTCATGTGACTGAGTGGGCATGGCCAACTCAATGTCACTCATGGCAAGAAGGGGTGGCACAGGCCGGCCGAAGTGGCAGTGGCCGGAGCCTTCAGTTTACCTTTGTGCAGCAACAGAACGGTAATTCTCCGATGCCTCATCTCTTGCTGGGTCTCGCTGCCCGACAGGCAAGGTTTTTAAAAAGATTTTTGCAGCAGGAAACAGTAAAAGACCGGCAGCTGGAGGATTCTTGCACCAGCAAAGAGGTGGCGGCTGCAGGCTTCTTGGGGGGGGGCGGGAGGACACGGCGGGGCTCGGCCATCTTTTAGGCCATGCTCTGGGCTGCTGCCTGCTCGATCTCCGCTCCGCCTTGGATCCCACATCCAGCCCGCAACACGGGGACATATCGCTTCCAGGCCAGCCCAGCTGGTGGATGGGCGAGCAGGCGGCCCTCGGGAGCTTTCCCTGGCTAACTCACATCTCTAATATTACCTGGTGGTCTCCCACCCAAGGACAAAGGTCAGGTCCTCCTTAGTCTGTCTGAGATTATCTAAAGAAATAAGGAACATTTCTCTTAACAGCGTAAGGCACATCCACACGTAAGCATCAGAATGGCTTTTTCAAAATGTTCCCATTTGATTTAGATTCACACATACATATCTTTGTGATCCTTATCCTAGTTAGTTTTAAACTGGGTTTTAAATGTGACATGTAGTTCTTCTGTACGCATGTACGTGTATAGTGTGTAGGATAACCATCCTTAGTTTCCTGGAAGTTTGTATTTATTTATTTATTTATAATTTAATTTCTATACCGCCCTTCTCCCGAAGGACTCAGGGCAGTGTACAGCCAATTAAAAACACAAAGTACAAACAACAGTTTTAAAATAGTTAAAAGTATTAAACAATTTCAGCCCGAATTTAAAACCCAAAATCTAAAACACCCAATTTAAAATCATTGACATAGATAGCCCTGCCTGGCGGAACAGCAGGGTCTTAAGAGCACAGCAAAACACCCGGAGGTCGGAGATCTTATGCATTTCAGGGGGCAGTTCATTCCACAGGGCTGGGGCCCCCACAGAGAAGGCCTTCCCCCTGGGTGTCGCCAGCCAACATAACTTGGCCGATGGCACCCTGAGGAGTCCCTCCCTGTGGGAGCGAACTGGCCGGTGGGAGGCTATTGGTGGCAGAAGTCGGTCTCGAAGGAACCCAGGTCTAGGAAAGAGGAAGTAAAGACTCTTTCCTAGAAAAGCATGGGAGAACAATTTGTCCCAGTCTGAGCTACTCAGGATCTGGAGATCCTGAATCAGCAATGCTGGGAGTCAGTGGATTGGAGCCAATGACAGATCGAGCTATTCCTGCTTTTTTAAGGCATGACCTTCTGCCATTTGAGACAGCCAAGCCCTTCTAGAATCTGTACAGGTGGTCCTTGACTTGCAACAGTTCCTTTAGTGATTGTTTGAAGTTACAATGGCATTGAAAAAGTGACAGTTTTTCAGACTTACAACCGTTGTAACATCGCCATGGTCATGTGATCAAAATTCAGATGCTTGGCAACTGACTCATATTTATGACACTTGCAATGTCCCGGAGGTCACCTTTTGCGACCTTCTCACAGGCAAAGGCAATAGGAAAGTCAAATTCACTTAACAACCATATTACTAACTTAACAACTGCAGTGATTCACTTAACAACTGTGGCAAGGAAGGTCGTGAAATAGGGCAAAACTCACTTAACAAGTGTCTCACTTAGCAACAGAAATTTTGGGATCAATTTATGGTCATAGGTCAAGGACTAGGTGTTCATGGTCCTAGCTAATTCTTCTCTGAAGCCACCAAAATGAAGTTGTTCTTCAGATGTTCCTGACTTACCATGATTAGATCATCCTGACTGATTTTACGTGGTTCCATCAAGTGCTGCATGTGACATCCCACCGAGGCCCCAACCCCTGGCAACCAGATCCACGTGGCCTGCTTCTCTCAGGTGTATCCCAGTTATTGTTACCAGTTGACAGAACTGGAGGAAGGTGCAGTGTGGTGACTTGTGGCATCTGGACAGGGAGGTGTTAAGAAATTCAATTACTGGAATAAGATGGGCATTTTTTTTCAGTGGTCCCCAAAGAGAAAGTGCTTGTCATATAATGGCCATCATGTCTTCTAATGATTATGACTGGTTTTTTATTATTAACAGGGCTGTTTCCGCCTCCTCTTGCTCCTCCACCCGCTCTCTTGATTCCAACTCTGGATGGGTAAGTGGAAATTCGATGGGCACTGTTGCTGCTGGTTCATGCCATTCGCTCAGCTTATGAATCTGGATACAGGTAGTCCTCGACTTACAGCAGTTCATTTAGTGACCCTTCAAAGTTACAATGGTGACTTATCACCATTTTTCACACTTTGCAGCACCCCCATGGTCATGTGATCAAAATTCAGTTGCTTGGCAATCAACTCATATTTATGACCGTTGCAGTGTCCCAGGGTCACGTGATCCCCTTTTGTGAACTTCTGACAACCAAAGTCAATGGAGAAGCCAGTTTCACTTAACAACCGGGTTACTAACTTGTCAACTGCAGTGATTCGCTTAACAAGTGTGGCAAGAAATGTCGTACAGTGGGGCAAAAGTCACTCAAATTCTCACTTAACAAAATAAACTTTGGGCTCAATTGTGGTTGTAAGTCGAGGACTACCTGTATTCCTAAAACTTTTGCATCTCTAACCTTTTACTGGATGAAACTGCATCATCATAGGACAAAACATTTTCAACTAAGGTACCTCAAATGGGCTAAACTTGCAGAATGCTCCAATGTCCAAGTTCTATGACTCCTGAGGAATTGAAACGTGGCAATTTTTATCAAACATTTTATGACATAAAAATGATCATAAAGCAGTTTATGGCATAATACCAAATGCCGTAAAACATTTCCTGTGTTCTGCTGCCCACATTTGACTGTGCTGTACACAGTCCAGCACTACTGGACAGTCCTGGGCTACTTTCAAGGCAGAGACATCTCTGAACATCTCCCTGAATTTTTAAGAACTTTTCCAGATCCTTTCGGAGCTCTGCCCTGATTGAAGACATTGAGGAATCTGGGAAGGAAATCTCTCTGAAATGATGATCTGGCAGCTAACAAGTCGTCTAGTTCACTCTTAACATCAAGTGTCTGCAATTAGGCATTTTATAGAATCCTTAGGAAATCTATAGGGGCATCAAAGTAATATTAATAATATTTCACACATATCCTAGGTCCATGATGGCAAACCTGTGGCACGTGTGCCACAGGTGGCATGCAGAGCCATATCTGTGGGCACGCAAGCATTGCTCCAGCTCAGCTCCAGCATGCGTACGTGCACAAGACAGCTGATTTTTGGGTCTTCTGGGCCCACTGGAAGTCAAGAAATGGGCCATTTCTGGCCTCTGAAGGGCCTCCAGGAGGCTGTTTTCATCCTCCCTGGGCACCAAGAAAGCCTCTGGAGCCTGGGGAGGACAAAAAAACGGGCCTACCAGGCCCATTGCTAACCTTTTTGCCGTTGCGGGGGGAGCGCGGGGGGGTCACATGAGCATGCAAAAGCGGGGGTGCCGGAGGCATTGAATTATGGGTGTCAGCATGCATGTCCGCGACCACCCGGCGCTCCCCCTGCTTTTGGCACGCGATGGCAAAAAGGTTAGCCATCACTTGTCCTAGGTATTTCAGTATATAGCATATTAAAACAACACAGACATTTCATGCTGGCTGGAGAATTCTGGGAGTTGAAGTCCACATGTCTTAAAAGTTGCCAAGGTTGAGAAATACTGATCTGGTTGTATATATTGTACAATCCTTGAACTGATTGTTGGCATCCATCACTGATAAGCAGCGAACGCAAGAGGTCCCTGAGATTAAGAGCCAGAACTTTCTGAATCAATGGAATCAATGAATCGATGCAAGCATGTCGTGATTACTGGCTTAGATGGCTTTATAAGGGAATTCCGGGAATTTTCAGTAGACTCCCATAAGTGAGAGGGCACTTTTGCTTTCAGGGAAAACGTTCAGCAGTTCCAGTGACTGAGAGGCAATCACAGGAGCGAAGGCATTCTGCCTTTCTGCTTTGCTTGAAAGCTTCACACAGGCAACTTGGTAGTGAAGACCAGGATTCTGCGAATGAGATTTCTCCTCTGGCTTGATCTGGCCGGGTTTCTATTTGTTCTTCAGGACACATAGTCCCCATCTTACAATTCATTTAGTGCTCAACTGCACTGAAGAAAAGTGACTTATGACCATTTTTCACACCTACGACTGTTGCAGCATTCCCGTAACCGTGTCATCAAAATTCAGACGCTTGTTAATTGGCATGTATTTGTGACGGTTGCTCTGTCCCAGGGTCACGTGATCCTCTTTTGCGACCTTCTGACAAGCAGAGTCCATGGGGAAGCCAGATTCACTTAACAACCATGCTACTAACTTAACAATTGCAGTGATTTACTTAACAACCATGGCAAGAAAGGTCGTAAAATGGAGCAATGGATTTTTCAACTTGCTTAGCAATGGAAATGTTGAGCTCAGTTGTGGTCGTAAGTCGAGGACTACCTATATTTGAATTGCTTAGTGCTTCTCACCAGCGTGCTGATTCCAGTGGATAGATTAACCAAGATATGTTTGATTAGGCAGTGGATAAAGAATACAGCACTTGCAATACCACTTAGACTTATATGCCACTTCATAGAGCTTTATAGCCCTCTCTAAGCGGTTTACAGAGTCAGCCTATTTACCCCCAACAATCTGGCTCCTCATTTTAGTGACCTCGGAAAGATGGAAGGCTGAGTCAACCTTGAGCCGGTGGGAATCGAACTGCGGAACTGCTGGCAGCAGTCAGTCAGCAGAAGTAGCCTGCAGTAGTGCATTCTAACCAGTGCGACACGGCAGCTCCTATAAGGAAGGAGTGGGTTGTTTACAGAGATAATCCAATGAGGAAGTGGGATTATCCTTTCCCTTCGTGATTTTATTTTTCAGCCTGAATGAATGATGGGGATTAGATGTCACTAACCCTTCTTGTCTGTTCTCTCCCTCTCTCCTCAAAGCCAGCCTGCCAGCTACAGCAACCGGCAGCCGCCTCCCTTTGGCTACAACTCCACAGGTGAGCCCCTCCGAGCTCTTGCAGCAGATAGGCGGAGTGGATTGTTGTTTTGCACAACCCACATTGGGTCCCAAGGATTGGCCAGTTCAGCTCTTGCGGGTCAGCTCTGGACTCTTCTGTGATTGTCCTACGTTGGCTGATCATCTCCACCAAACTGGAGTTACTAGAACATCCTGCAATGCTACAGAATTCTGGCCTTTTGCTCCTCTTTCTTCTCTCAGGGCGCCATTTGGATACCACTGTTAAACTGGAGTTTTGTAACGATATTTTTTATGTCTGCAATTATCTCTTCCTTTCACATGTCAATGAATTCGTTTGCAAGGATTTTTGCCTTTCCGCATATGCCTTATTCTTGCGACCTGAAAAAGACCCCATCCCAAATTGTATTCCAATGGATCACCATTTACTTTTCACTGTCCCCCGTTTTATTGTTAGGCAAGTGGACCTTTATCGGGAATGTGTGGAAATACACACACCTCTTCATTCAGGCTAAAACCGTTGTTTCTTTTCCAGCAGAAAAAGAGAAACTTCTGTGCAAAACAATTGCAAGTTATACATAGTTCTGTGCATTTCTGTATGATTAATTTTCTGAATTGAGGACTCGCCTGTAAGGGAAAAGTTACCACCAGGATTCCATACTATGTCAAATAATATCTTCTCTATCGTATCATCTCCTGTAAGTCTCAATTTTCCAAAGGGGTATCTTGACATCATGCTGAGATCTTCTTGGCCTTCATCCTGAAGGACTTAACTGGGGATCAGTGATATGGTGACCTTAGGAAATATTTATTACAGTGTTCAGTGAGCTCCGTATAGTATAGCTGAACTCTTGCCAAGGATACAACGGCAAAGGCTCCAGGAAAGAAAATTCTTAACATTTACCATAGCGGGGTCTGTCATTAAACAGGATTTGTGGCAAAAGGAGACACTGAGACATATTTTAGCAGCTTTTCAACTTTGAGGATGCCAAATATTTTAATGCTTGAGGTTGTAAATATCCCCTTCATTTAAAACTAGCATCAGGCCTGTGGGAAGATAGAAAATGCCCATTCTTCCATTCCTCTTTTGTTCTGAAGGAATTTGATTAATGGACAGCCTGTTTGCTCGAAAACAACTTCCAAATCTCCTTTTAACTGCAACTGGCCCCACTCAATCCCTCTGCCTGGTTCTCAGTGCCATAATTTAAGAAGGATTCGGTTGAAATGGAACAGCTGCAGAGAAGGACTTGGAGACATCAAGGGATTGAAGTCTCCTGAGAAGAGATTGAAGGACCAGGTCATGTTAATAGGAAAAAAAACAGAGGGTATATAATATTCTTCTCCATTATGCTTTAGTTCAGGTCTCAGAATAATGGTTACAGGAACACAAATTCTGATTATAAATTATAAGAAGGTCCCATCTTGCTTGAATTTAAACCTCTGCCTGGCTAGGAAAGCCCTGTCTGCTTTCAACTCCCAATTTGCTTAACGAGGGATGAGGCACAAGCGAGAGGTGTCTTCGGATAAGCAAGCTCCTTCAGTTGTTTCAGTGATTAAGGTTTAAAGGGAGCTCAGTCTTCAGGCTTCTAGCGCAGGGATGCCAACCTTGGCAACTTTTAAGACTTGTGGACTTTGACTCCCAGAATTCCTCAGGGCAGTGGGCAGTGTCTTGCCCACTTCAGACACTTCTGAAGTGGGCAAGAAGATTCTTCCCTCTTGATGCTTTGCAGAAGGCATTTCAAAACAACAGAGTTGGAAGGGACCTTGGAGGTCTTCTAGTCCAACCCCCTTCTTCAGTGATGGTGGATGCTGCCCTTCTGTTCTGCTTGGTGTGAACCAGGTAGCAGCAAAGTGAGATTAGTCTCAGAGCGTTCTGGGTTTAAGAGTGCAAATTGATGGAAAGAGGTTGATTGATTAGCTTAGAAAGCATTTATAGCCACCTATCCAGTACATGACAATCCTAGGCAGCTCACAACATTCCATAAAATCAGAATAAATATAACCATTATATAACCTATATCAGCACTACAGCCTCCCATCAATTCTATACGTTTCATTTGCCAGATTCATTTCCCTGCTAGCCCGATGCCTGTGCAAAGAGCTAGGTTTTCATGGCCCTCCTGAAGGGCCATACGAGTCTGTTGCACGAAGAGCTCAGCCACAGTTGCTTGGCTTTATAATTGATGTCTATAAGCAAACTACATGAAGGGGTTCAGAACTAGGTATCATCCGCACAGCACCAAAGCTCCTCTTTAAGCTCATTTTTATTAGCCTTTGATTCAGATCCCCAGAGGCTCTGGACCAACAGATGTGTTGAGTAGGACTATAGGTAGTCCTTGATTTACAACCATTCATTTAGTGGCCATTCAAAGTTACAGCGGCACTGAAAAAAGCAAATTATGAGCATTTCTCACACCTATGACTGTTTCATCATCCCCATGGTCACGTGATCAAAATTTGGATGTTTGGTGAGTGGCTCATATTTATGACAGTGTCCTGGAATCACAACCTTCTGACAACCTATATCAATGCGGAAGCCAGATTCACTCAATACTAACTTGCAACTGCAATGGTTCGTTTAACAACCGTGGCAAGAAAGGTCGTGAAATTTATTTATTCATTCATTCATTCATTCATTTTGTATGCCGCCCCTCTCCAAAGACTGAGTTAGGTTGGCCATGCATGGGGTCATCGTCATAATTTTCTGGAGGAGGAAAGCAATCTGTGACATGCCTATACAGTGCAGGATGAAAAATGCAGCTCACAATGCATTTAAAATCATTATAAAAAAACATTTAAAAATTAAAAACATTAAAACCCATTCACACCATTCATGGCCGGATCTCACCAGATCGCAACAGCGAGATCAACGGCCCCAGGCCTGCTGGAAAAGCCAGGTCCTCACCGCTTTTCGGAAGGCCAATAGGGTGGGGATGGTCCGGATCCCAGGAGGTAACTGGTTCCAGAAAGCTGGGGCAGCCACAGAGAAGGCCCTCCCCCCACGGGCCCACCAGCCGACATTGTTTAGCTGACGAGACCCGGAGGAGACCAACTCTGTGGGATCTTACCGGTCGTTGGGAGTTATGTGGTAGAAATGAGGCAAAACTCACTTAACAACTGTCTTGCTTTGCAACAGAAATCTGGGGCTCGGTTGTGGCCATATGACGTAGTGAATCCTAGCAGCGTGGATACGGTGATTACTTCAGCCGTATGAATGAGTGGCTGTCTGCCAACCTGACTAAGTGGGTCAGGCACTTTAAATACAGAAAGGAGCCCTATGAAACCCCAGTTGGTTATTTTTAACCTCCTTCCTTGAGAAAACAGAATCTGGCATCTCGAATCTAGAAAGGCTTCTTTCTCCAGAAAAGAGAATCAGTGGTTTTTTCCCCCAGTTGGGATTATCCTTGGGGACTGCCTGATGCTACAGCTGTGCAGGCTCTTGCTGCTGAGAGAACACCTTCTTGTCCTGCCCTCAGGTGCTGTGGAGAACAGGTGGACCCCCTCTCCTTTGTGGCCGCCCCTCATGTATTAGAAGACGGCTATCGTGTCTCCCCTGGTCCTTCTCTTTCTTAGACTTTACATCGTTGTTCACCTACAGGCAGAATCTTGCCAGACTAAAGCAACTATCTGCATAAATATGAATACAAGTAGTCCTTGGCTTATGACCACAACTGAGCCCAAAATTTACGTTGCTAAGTGAAACATTTAAATGAGTTTTGCTCCATTGCATCACTGCAGTTATTAACTTAGTAACACGGTTGTTAAGCGAACTTTTGCTTGTCAGAAGGTTGCAAAAAGTGATCACATGACCCCCCCGGGACACTGCAACATTCATAAATATGAGTTGCCAAACATCCCAATTTTGATCATGTGACCATGGGGATGCGACAATGGTTGTAAGTGTGAAAAACAGTCAAAAGTCACATTTTTCAGTGCCGTTGCAACTTTGAAGAGTCACTAGATGAACTGTTGTAAATCAAGGACTACTTGTATAGTCCATGAGGCCATCTTGATCCTCTTCCTCCCTTCCAGACATTCCAGCTCCTTGGCCTTCTGGGGGGGGGGCAGCCCCTCCCTCCTGGGACACCAGACTACATTCCACCACATCAGAACAGGAGTGGGGAGGTTGTCCAGTGTTCAAGGTGATTTCTGAGTTAGGTTGGCCATGCATGGGGTCATCATCATAATTTTCTGGAGGAGGAAAGCAATCTGTGACATGCCTATACAGTGCAGGATGAAAAATGGAAGGATACATTCAACATATTTGTCAGGAATCAGGTCACCATTCATCTTCCTGTCCCCGTATTTTGTGGAAAGGTGCTTTCAAAAATAAGGAGCAGGATTAGCCCTTCTCTGTATCAGGGGTCTCCAAACTTGGCACCTTTAAGACTTGTGGACTTCAAGACTTTTGTATGATGATGTGTTTTAAAAAAATAAAAAAAAATGTGTTCAAAAAAAAAAAAAGACTTGTGGACTTCAACTCCCAGAATTCCCCAGCCAGTCAATCCTACTTCTTCCTCAAGTCTTAAAATTGCCACGTTTGGACACACACACACACACACACACACACACACACACACACACACACACACTATATTGGGGTGTCAAATTCAATTTCACTGAGAGCCACATCAGGGTTGTGGTTGACCTTGTGTGGGTGTGGCCAGCTGGGTGGGCGTGGCCAGCTTGACCCCACTCCCCAAACTGCTGGCATGTTTCCTCTTTGCATTGGGTAGACCAGGCTGAAGTGACGTGGGCTGGCCCCTTACATTTTCCAGGATGGCCCTGCAGGCCAGATCCAACCACATCGCGGGCAGGATCCAGCCCACGGACTTTGAGTTTGACACCCCTGCTCCAAGGGTGAAATCCAGCAGGTTCTGACAGGTTCTGGAGAACTGGTAGCAGAAATTTTGAGCAGTTCGGAGAACCGGCAAATACCACCTCTGGCTGGCCCCAGAGCGGGGTGGGAATGGAGATTTTGCAATATCCTTTCTCTGCTGCACTCACCAAGCCACGCCCACCAAGCCACACCACGCCCACAGAGCCGGTAGTAAAAAAAAAATTGGATTTCACCACTGCCCTGCTCTATATGCACAGACCCTCTTCTTCCCTAATTGAGTTTGAGCTGAACAAACTTGCAGTGTGTTAGTGCACTGATAAAATTTCTCTTTCCTAATAAACCTGATATTATTTCTAGCTCCGTCATGCAAGCGATGACGTAGCTGATGTCCTCTCCTCTATGAGTGTCCACTCCAGCTGATGCAAAGCTCTGCTGTTTCTCTCTAGATTCAGGTTTCATCACCTACCCGCCCATTTCGACTTCCCACACTCCCTGGGTGACCACAGTTGACAAGGCCTCCAGTGCTTCCGACAGCAGCCACTGGGAATACGCGGGCTCAAGGAGAGAGAGGGACCGAGAGCGGGACCGGACCCCCACCACAAGCGAATATAGCAAGTGAGTGTGGCTTCTACCGCAATATTTATCATGGTACAGCTACATAATTCAAGTCTGAAACTGAAGCCAGAATCACAACGTAATCACTACAATAATATACAAGTAGTCCTCGACATACGACCCCAATTGAGCTGAAAATTTATGTTGTTAAGCAAGACAGTTGGTAAGTGAGACTTACCTCATTTTATGACCTTTCTTGCCATGGTTGTTAGCATGGTTGCTAAGTGAATCTGGCTTCCCCATTGACTTTGCTTGTCAGATGGTTGCAAAAGGGGATCACGTGGCTTTGGAGCACTGCAACCGTCATAAATATGAACCCGTTGCCAAGCGGCTGGCTTTCAATCACATGACCGTGGAGATGCTGCAGTGGTCGTAAGTGTGAAAAACAGTCATAAGTCATTTTTTCAAACCTGTTGTAACTTTGAATGGTCACTAAATGAATGGTTGTAACTCGAGGACTACCTGCATTCATTGTTTTCTTTCTGTCCTATCTTTTTTTTCTGGTCAACAATCGGCTTGTGGAAGATCTTGGCTTGTATTTCAGATAAAAACATGAGCCTTTCATGTTACAAGACAAAGGGTGAACTATAAAGAGCTGAGAAGTTAGATTCCATAGCTGCTAAGAGATAAGCTTAGTTTAATTGCCCGAAATAACTCAGCTTTTCTTGGCAGCGAAGTCAAGTTATTTTGACACATTAGTGTTAAATCCACAAAATATCACAAACGGAAATTTTAAGAACAAACCACAGCAAGAAGAAATGAATAACCAGGTTGAGACTACCTGAGGCCATAATGATAAGCTTTCAGTTTGTTTTCAGCTTTTAAAAGAATTTATTTGGGTTTAAAAGTAGAAACGGAAGAGGAAGCTTTTGGGAGACAAGCTGCTCACACATCCCCTTCCTTAGACCTCCCAGATGGTTTGCTGGGATTAGCATTTTAAAAATCGGGATGCCTATTGTTTGATTCTCCAATTCGGAGTGTGAAATTCCTGTCTCCCCCAGCCAGTTCCTGTACTGTATAGGCATGTCAGATTGTTGTGCTCCTTCAAAAAATTAAGATGTTCACCCCACGCATCGCCACCCTAAATCAGAAATCGGCTTGAACACTGAATAACCTCCCCACTCCTGTTCTGATGTGGTGGAATGTAGTCTGGAGTCCCAGGAGGGAGGAGCTGCCCCCCCCCCCGAGGGCCAAGGGGCAGCGGAGCTTGGAATGTCTGGTAGGCAGGAAAAGGATCAAGATGGCCTCTTGATTCATGGAGTATATCCATATTTATGCAGATAGTTGCTTTAGTCTGGCAAGATTTTGTCTGTAAGCAAACAACGAAGTAAAGTCTAACAAAGAGAAGGATTAGATGTGACATGATAGCAGTCTTCCAATATTTGAGGGGCTGCCACAAAGAAGAGGGGGTCAAGCTGTTCTCCAAAGCACCTGAGGGCAGGACAAGAAGCAATGGATGGAAACCTATCAAGGAGAGAAGCAACCTAGAACGAAGGAGAAACTTCCTGACAGTGAGAACAATTAATCGGTGGAACTGCTTGCCACCAGAAGTTGTAGTTGCTCCATCACTTGAGGTTTTAAAGAAAAGATTGGACAGCCATTTATCTGAAATGGTAGAGGGTCTCCTGCTTGAACAGGTGTTGGACTAGAAGACCTCCAAGGTCCCTTCCAACTCTGTTGTTCTGTTACTCAGAAGTAGTCCATGCGTTGCTCTTGGTTTTTGAGCCTGACAGCCATACTTCGTTCTTCTCTCCTAGTGACGATGAGAGATACCGTTATTATAGCCGGGAACGCAGTTACGATTTTGAGCGTGACTACCGCAGGAGTAGAGATCGCAGTCGTGAACGAGAAGATCGTCACCGGGAAAGGAGGCACAGAGACAAAGAAGAGAGCAGCAAACATAAATCATCACGGCGGTAAGTCACTGCCTGCTCCTATTTTTGGTTCAGGCCAAATGCTTTTAAATGTAGTGATAATACAGGTAGTCCTTGACTTACAACCACAATTGAGCCCAAAATTTCTGTTGTTAAGTAAGACATTTGTTAAGTGAGTTTTGCCCCATTTAATGGCTTTTTTTGCCACAGCTGTTAAGTGAATAAAAGGAGAAATTTTCTGACCGTGAAAGCAATCAACCAATGGAACAGACTTGGCCTTCAGAAGTTGTGGGAGCTTCATCGCTGGAAGCCTTCCAGAAGAGACTGGACTGCCATCTGTCAAAAATGGTGTAGGGTCTCCTGCTTGGGTGGGGGGGGTGGACTAGATGACCTACAAGGTCCCTTCCAACTCTGTTAATCTATCTGCATGAATCACTGCAGTTGATAAGTTAGCAACCCGATTGTTGAGTGAACCTGGCTTCCCCATTGACTTTGCTTATGATGGTTGTTGCTTATGCTGCAACCGTCATAAATATGAACCAGTTGCCAAGCATCTGAATTTTGATCACATGATCATGGGGATGCTGCAAAGGTCATAACAGTGAAAAACTGTGACAACTCATTTTTTTCAGTGACGTTGTAACTTTGAACAGTCACTAAACGAACTGGTGTACGTTGAGGACTACCTATAGTAGCGCTGAACTGTATTCCAAACTAAGTTTGAGTTAGTGAAAACAAATCTCTACCTTGCCTGCTCTAGTTAAAAGCTTCTGGTCAGTTAAAGACTGTTCCCATATTGTGGCTATCTTTCAGCTAGACTTGGAGAAAATTCTTCAAAAGTCTGGAGTCTCCACCAGAGGGAACCTCTTGGCCAGCATTGCCATGGGGGGGGGGAGCTGAAGAGGGCAGAGGGAGGACAGGAGGGAGGGCCATTGCCAAGGCAAGACTTAGATAAGAGAGTCTTGTGCCCTGGTCAAGGAAGTTACTTAGAGACTGTCTCCATCAAGTTCTGCCTGGTTCACCTGAAGATAAAGGGAAGGAGGAGGGAGCTACTAGAACTTTACAATGAAGATAGCCCTGATCTACAGGTAGTCCTTGATTTTGTGACCAGTCATTTAGAGACCGGATGGACCTACCTGGGGGTTACCTATGACCCAGATTCAAAATTCCGATGGTTGGGGTCACCAGGTCACACTTACACCTGTTTGCAGTGTCTCAAGGTCACATGACAGGGTTTTATGACCCATTCACTTCCGGTTTTTGGCAAAACTGCCATAGCAAGCCATTGGTTCACTTAACGACCACCTATTAAGATTTGCTTAATGACTTGAGTGATTTGCTTAAATTTTATGCAAAAAAAGCTAAAATCGCATTTTATGACAATCTTAACTTGCAACCATGATAATCAGGCTCCCTTATGGGCTCAAGGACTCCCTCTCTATAATTTTAGTTTCTTAGGCTGGTCTGCCTTGTAGGGTTGACAGTATCACTGGCTGGAAGAACGTCTGTGCTAAAGCAGGTAATGAATTAGTGACCCTCACAGTGAAAATGTAGAACATAGAATCATAGGGCTGGAAGGGATCTCAGAGGTCTTCTAGTCCAACCCCCTGCTAAAGGCAGGAAATCTTATACCATCTCATTATACCAAGTGTTATCTTTCTAGGTTAGGGCTTAAAAAAACTCAACATCAACAACCCACATGAATGAAGGCAACATATCCCAGGATAATGTTGCAGGATCCAATCTGGGTCAGTCACCGGGACCAGAGATGTAGTCTTCTGAGCTTTCAGACTCGTGCTGGAGCCCATCCTCTGGGAACTTCTCTCTCTCACCAGAATTTGGTGAGAACATTCAGGTGAGAGAGAAGTTCCCTGAGGATGGGCTCCAGCACGAATCTGAAAGCTCGGAAGACTAAACCTCTTGTCCCGGTGACTGACCCAGATTGGATCCTTTATCAACCATTTTGTTGCATTTGTTCATCAGAGCTTACGCTGTGCTTCTTTCCCGGTCCTCCATCAGCAAGCAGCATGAGAGCGAAGAAGGGGAAAGCCACCGTCGACACAAGCACAAAAAGAACAAGCGCAACAAAGAGGAGAAGGAGGCAAGTGAAGATGGACTTGCAGAAGGAAACGAACAGGACGCCAAGGAGTAGCGAACCTGGACTCCACCAAGCAAGGCTGGTGCCTCTCCAGCCAACATTTCCATTTTGGGTGATCTTCTTCGTGGGCTTCATGTCTGAGACGACAGAGGTGCCCAAACATGAACACAGATTGGGTTGCCAACATGGAAACTGTAGGACTTTGAGGAGAGGACCCAATCCAGCACCTCTGGCCTTGAGTGGTTCTATAGGCAGGCCAACTCCATTGTGTCAGATCCTATGGCTTCTGATGGGAGTCCGTTTCAGCAGGATTTAAAGACTAGGACAATATTGGGCAATTATTACTGTTTCCGTTTTTAAAAAGAAGCAGGACATGGAACTGTTTTGGTACAAGAAGAAACCAGTGTTAGGTCATCCTCCAAGCCAGGCAATCTGGCTCCTATAAGCTAGTCCCATTTCTCCTTTGCCCCTTAATTGTAGCTTTGAACTTTGGACTTCATTCAAGGAAAGCTTGGTGGGAAACCACAAGTCAGCCACTGGAACAGTTCTGGCCCATGAAATGTCCAGTTTCTCTGAGAAGGCCATTTCTACCTAGGCCTCTGGAGTCTTCCAGATCAGAGAGTTTTATTATGACCAGGTTGAGTGGGCTTCGTGGTGAACTTTAATAGGGCCACCTTTTCAAAGTCGGCCTTAAGTAGTTTGACACAAGCTACTTACTTATCCAAAGCCTCTCTTTTTTACCTAAACGAAGTTAAAAATTGGCAATTTATCTCTAAGTCTCAGAGTCACTTTTCACAACTCTTAAAACACTAAATGTAGACATAGGATTTGTGGTTTCCTTTGGAAAAGAATACGTGAGAAGGTACTCTTAAGGCCATCGCTCTTTTACGCACATCCCATCCTTGCATTATCTTCCACCCGTGGGAAATGTTTAAAAACGCTTCCTAAAAATCATTTCAAATTTATACTTTTTTTGTATTGTAGTTATGCGAGTTTGAGTGTTTATATGAAACTAACAACCTTGGACATGTGAGCCAGTATACCCATTGTATTTTGATTTGTATGCTATGATGGTGCTGTGAATGGGTCGATAACAGAAAATACGTAGGAAAGAAAACTTTTTTGGGGGGGGGGGGAATGTGATTAGTTTCTGTGTGGTCATGGCATCTAGGACTCGGTGAAAGCAGCACTTAATACTAAATTTTACACTGCAAACTTAATTCACAGAAGCTTTCTTGCTGTTTTGTTTGTCATATGGAAGTAGTGTGTTCTTAAGTCTCTCGGATGATACAGGCCAACAGTGTCTTCAGGAGGACAAAATATGGCCCACGAGTTCACATTTCACTTTCTAGACCAGTGTTTTTCATCCATGGCAACTTGAAGATCAATCAGAATAGAATAGAGCTGAAAGGGATCTTTGAGGTCTTCTAGTCCAACCCCTGCTCAAGCAGACTACCTACACATTTTGAGACAAGTGGCTGTCCAGTCCCTTCCCTTCTCTGTGGGGGATCCCACCCTCTGGAATCAGTTGCCCCCGGAGATAAGGAGAATCCATGACCTCAATGCCTTCCGTCGTTCCCTTAAAACCCATCTTTTCCAGAAAGCCGGGTTGGCTTAAGAAGAAATTTTTAAATTCTTTTAATCAGTCTGTGATTTCTTAACTTTCGGGCCAAAATTTATATATATTTTTAAATGTTTTTAATATTTGTATTCTGTGTTTTTTATCTTGGCTGTACACCGCCCTGAGTCCTCAGGGAGAAGGGCGGTATATAAATTGGAAATTAAATTAAATTAAATTAAATTAAAACCCTCCAGTGATGGAGCTCCCACAACTTCTGAAGGCAAGCCATTCCACTGGTTAATTCTCACGATCAAGAAATTTCTCCTTAGTTCTAGGCTGCTTCTCTCCTTGATTAGTTTCCATCCATTGTTTCTTGTCCTGCCTTCTTGTGCTTTGGAGAATAGGTTGACCCCACTTCTTCATGGCAGGCCCTCAAATACTGGAATCCTGCCATCATTTGAGGGTCAATTCTGGAAGTTGGTCCTCACATTTTCCGGTTACCAAGATTGACGAACACTGCTCTGGAGTAGGCCCCCCCCCCATGCCCAGTCCATGCAAACAAGCAAAGCCCAATCCGTGGGATGCGGGCAGTGCGTGAAACCAGACCCCTTCTGGTCCGTGGAAAAACCTCTCTCCACGTAACTGGTCCCTGGTGCCCAAAAGGGTTGAGGGCAGCTGCTCTAGCGTACTGTTTATGTGTGGACTTCAAATCCCAGAATCCTTTGCAGTGGCCATGCTGGTTGGGGAATTCTGGGAGTTTTTAAATCGCTGAGATTTGAGAAACACTGGTCTAGACATGCTGTGTAATCATGGAAATGATACTGCAGAATAGCCAAAACAGATTATAGGCTCCCCATACAAGGATTTTAAAGAGCATTTTGTTTAAAAAAAAAAACAAAAAAACCAAACCTTCAGTAACTTGGTTGTCTCAATGACTTTGTGGCCTTCAAAGATGACTATTTATAAAGTGTACGGTTCTTAGTGTTTTTACCTTTATGGCTGATAAAAGCTGCCATAATGTTTTATTAGCAATGTTGTTAAGAGCCCAATCTGTCTTGGAATATCTTCATGGAATATTTCAGATGCTGAGCGCTAGGAAGGGATATGATCTTCCAAACACCACAACTAAGGTAAGAATACATTTCAAGCTTGCAGGAGGGAGCCCAGTCTTCTCTGCATAATAGAAAGATACCAGTGATCACAAGGAAACATGAAAGAAGTCTGTGAAAGTTGATCTGGTCGGAACAGAAAACCCAAACGTCTTGCGTAACTTCAGAATAATAATTTATAAATGTATCAGAGCAGTGACAAACGTCTCTACAAGTTTCAACAAATTCTTTGGTGCAAAATAATACAGTAGCTACTAGATTTCCTGCTGATTGTTGAAGGCACATTGAAATCAGACAATACAATGAAATGAAAACGCACGTCCCCTTCATTTGAGAAAAAAAAAAGGTTTGGCATCCTTTTTATAGCGATTGCAAGAGTCACACATTACAGTGGTCATACGGGACTCAAAGTCGAAGACAGAAGTCAGTCAATTAGGCAGACCGATATCCTTTCAAAGCACATCTGAAGGCAGACACTGACTTTCAGAAATATACTTTGACAAATACATTTTTAAGTGAATCAACATCCTTAAATGGAGCACTAGTACCTACTTGCCAGATTCAAATGAGGCAACAGAGTCCAAGCATGAATCAGATTTAAACATAAATCATAAGTCCTTTTTTGTTTATTTGCTATTTCACACAGCCTCTGCGAATGCCAAGTCCTGTGTTTTTGTCAGCCTGACTTGCTGTTCAGTTGAAAGAAGGCTCCAACTGAGAGGAACACCAGAACCTCCAGGAAGTGAAGGTCCTGGGGGAAGCAGAAGCCCCTTGTAAGTTGTTTCCTGAGATGTGTGTACCTCCCACTCACCCACCCATCTTGTGAGTAAGTGAGAGAAGCACATTGTACAGCAGGGCCTCCAAAAAGCTTGGCAGCTTTTAGACTTGTGGAGTTCAACCTCCAGAATTCCTCAGCTATCCATGCTGGCTGGGGAATTCTGGAAGATGAAGTCCACAAGCCTTAAAGAGGCCAAGGTTGGAGAGCCCCATAGTAGAAGGTTGCCATGTTTCAGCAACCTAAAGTTTCTGTGCAAATCAAGGTCTGAGAAATCCCTTTTATAATTGGAGGTAGCAGGCCCTATTAATTTCCTAATTACGACAAACTAATAAATTCTCTAACTTATTCCACAACCACACAATATTTGCAAATGGGCTAGTGGAATCCCTTTGTAAATCATGAAACTTTGTAGAGCACGGACAACAGAAAGTAGGTTTTCAACCCAGTGAAATAAATGTAGTGTATCCTATGCTTAGAAAATAATTATTAAGGCTATTTAAGGAAAAAAAGATTACTTTTATAAAAAGAAAATGTCTATCTTCAAGTGTCAGCATATGCATGCATGCACACATATGCAAGAAAACATAGCAAAAGACTTCCTTAGGCACAGGTTTTGCTATCTTTCCATAGGGTGGGCTGCTTATTCCTTTTTTTAATTTGCTGCGCATCTGTTCACAGGACAAAGTCTCTGCCACGGACAAAAGGACGTTCTTGTTAAGCAATCTTGTTAGGATTGTTAAGCATACTTGTTAAGCAATCACAAAGATGCTCAATTAGTTAAGGGATATGACCAATCTAAAAACAAACAAACAGTGCAGGGGATCAAAGGAAAACAACTCAGGGAGGTGGCTTTTCCAAGCGGGTAAGGATGGTACGCTGAACACCTGTTATTCTCCTTTTTTCCCCAGTAAACCGTGGATAAAAAAGACAGCTGAAGGTCTGCAAATTTATGTGTGCAGAGGGAGAATGCCCCTGAAAGGACAGCAGGGGTAGATGGCTTTATTTCCTCCTAAGTATTTTCTTTGGCCGTCTTAATGAGCTGCTGTGATAAGAAGCTAACTCAACCAGGATTGTGGTCCTAATGAGATTGTCGGGATGGGAATCCCTGTGGGAGGGATAGGGCAGCTGGTCCTGTTTGAAAAAACCCCATTGTCTGCAGAGACACAGTAAGCCTCTATTTAAGTGTATATCAAATGGCCAAAGTCTGCCTTTCAGTAGTGGAACGCTCTTCCGGAGCTCATTTATATCCCCTCTTACAAGGGAAATAAGTGACAGGAGAGAAACCCAGAAAGGGGGCTCAGTTGAGTAGGAACATCCTTCCATTGGGGCTTCCAAACCTCCTTGAAAGCAACTCCTGAAGTCAAACAAGGCTGTGAGGCCATACATAACTCTTGAGACTGGCTCAAGGCTGAACAATCAGATTGAGCAAGAGGCATAAATACACCTCAACAATGGCTGAGTCTTCCCAGGCCTCCTACTTTGCAAGGCACCAGTAACTACAGTGAGATTGAGCTAAATGATTCACCCATTGCAACGATTAGTATCTTGAAGGTTGCTACTTCAGTTCATTAAGAGCAGAGATTATTGTATTAAAGGCCATCAATCAGTTGAGTTTCAGCCTGCTGTCCTTTAGTTCGGCAGGTTTAAGGGAAGGATTCAGGAGAAGGAGGCTGTGGCTCAGAGTTTCCCTGTTCAACAAAAAAGTAACCATAGCACAAGATACCTCCTGCTGCTTATCAGAGTACAGTTTTTAGCTTACCGAGTGGATGGATCTAAAATCAAACTCAACAACAAGCTACATTTGCCTTTTCTGTAGAAGAATCTACACCTTGGAGGAAGCCTGTCTGAGACCTGCTCAGCCATCGGTTGGTTGGTTGGTTCACTCCAAGGAAAGGCTCCCCCAAAGGCATCCTATTGCAGTTGGCACCTTAGACGTGGCTCCCAGGCCACGAGACCACCGTTAGAGTCACTTTATTCCGCTGTTCTTTCAGCATGGGAATGAGCTGGCTGTTGCTCATCCCAACAGCAGACACTCCGTTGACAGCCACAATTTCATCTCCGCACCTAGTGAGGGGAAAGGAAACAGCCCTGTTACAACAGCATCCTCAAGGTCTCCTTCACTGGGACTCGGACAGCAACTAAAACGTGCCTTGTGTTCAATCCCCTACAACACTTTTACACAAACACAAGTCACTTTTCTTGTACATTTGTTTCTTCCTACCATTTTTACTTTTTTGCACTTCTTTTCTTTGTTTTATAAAAAAATAATAATAAAGTTTTTAAATATCATCTGACAAAAGAAACAATAACAAACATCCAGCCCAAAATATTTTCAAGCCAATTCATGCACTAACTCCCAATTGCAAATGAGTTTATAGTGGTACCTTGGTACTCAACTGCTTCAAAACTCATTGAATTTTGTAGCAAAAGTTTTCTCCTGGTATTCATTGTTTGGTACTCAACGCACAAGCTAGAACTTTTCAGTGTCACCTGCCTTGTGACTCACTACATTATTCCTTATGGGAAAAATCTGTTTTTGATACTCATTGCACATCCTGGAACCAATTAACAATGGGCACCAAGGTACCACTATACTACAGGTGTGTAACCCAGTTTATAAAGATGGCATTTGCTGACTCTCTCAATTACAGCCTTGCTTTTCTTACATGCTGCGTACCTAGTCACTCCTTCTGTTTTTCAGGAAACAAAAGGGGGGAAGCTAACACTTCCTTCCCAGACATTGAGCCGTGGTGCACAGTGGTTAGAATACAGTACTGCAGGCTAATTCTGTTGACTGCCAGGAGTTCGATCCTGACCAGCTCAAGGTTGATTTAGCCTTCTATCCTTCCGAGGTCAATAAAAAGAGGACCCAAATTGTTTGGGGCAAGATGCTGACTCTATAAACTGCTTAGAGAGGGCTGTAAAACACTGTGAAGCGGTATATAAGTCTAAGTGCTATTTGAGGTGAGGTCATGAAAAGCCAGCTAAATTGCCCATTCAACCCTCACCTTCAAGTCCTGCTCTTAGGGGCAATTGCAGTTTTTGCACACTCTGGGGAAATCTTAAAGCAATATTGACCTTTTGACTTCTGGTGCTTGCCTAGACTAGCCCTGCAGTTTTCTGGGCAACATTTTTCAGCATGTCATGGCCCCCTCTTTCCTAGGGGTGAGAGAGAGGGATGGTCCAGGGTCATCCAGCTGGCTTCATGCCTAAGGCAGGAATTCAGTGTCTTTTGGTTTCCAGCCTGGGGCCTTTAACCGCTACCCCAGCCTGCCTCTCAAGCGGAAAACCCAAACTATAGGAGCAAGAATGCACGCACTTCAGCCGCCGGTCCCAGAAGGCAGGAGTCTCAGGCACGATGGTTTTAATGAAGAACGGCTGGTTTCCTTTGCTTTCTTCAAATCCACCCACTATGCTGAATCCCCAGCTCTCCGAGTTGCTTTTGCGCAAGACGATATCTTGACAGCAGTGGAGCTGGCTGAAAGGAAAAAAAACAAACAAGAACAGCCGATTGGAGTTATCGCTTACCTTTGTGTAGAGAGAAGGAAGAAGCATCACAGCAGGAGTGAGTAACTATGGCAACTTTACGACCTGTGGACTTGAACTTCCTGTAATGCAGAGGTGGGGAATTGCACCTGGTGGTAGAACTATGAAACAGTCCTGCAGTTATCTCGGGTAACATTCACTCCAGTGTCCAAGAAATAATAAAGGATGACAAACTGGTCTTCTGCAGTTTATATTCCAGTTTCCCTGAGTTTATCAGTTTCAGTCATGAACACACAAACATCCATCCCACCATTAAAAAAAGTCCAGAGGGTCAGCTTCAGTTATTCAGTGATTCCATTCCATCATGCTTTACTTGTTCACACAATCATGCCAAGATCCATCTCTTTCCTCCAAAGCAGTATCCGTCATATTGGCTTCCCATGTTTCATTATTTCACATCATGCAAACTTGGAAGATGCTTAAGGAGAGCTTGGAACGAGGGCCAGGCAAGTCAGTCTAAAGAAGCCCAGGCAGAATCCTCCCCAATTCCGCTGCAATATGGAGTGGAGCCCTACAGACGTTCTCTTCTATGGGAATCTACTGCAGTCCCCTGATTTGGAATGGGGGAGGGGAGTCTCCCTGCCTGATCACCTACTAAAAAGTGTCCTTTGAAAAGCCACAGGATAAAATGGGGGAAGTCCTTTAGCATTGCAGGTCTCCATTTTCAATCATCTCAGGTTTAGAACAGTGAAACAGCTTTAAATGACAGCATTTCAATTCAAGTGTTAACGGTGGCTGTTTAGGCAAGACAACCCAAATGCAGATACAGAATAGGTGACACTTGGTTCAACAGCAGAGGGATCTAGGTTTCCTAGTGGACTATTACTTAAGAATGAGCCAGCAGTGTGCAGCAGCTGCTAAAAAAGCCAACACAGTCCTAAGCTGCATCAACAGAGACATAACATCAAGATCGCTGGAAATTACAGTACTGCTCTAATACTGCCTTGATAAGACCACACTTAGAATGCTGCATCCAGTTCTAGTCACCATAATACAAAAAAGATGTTGGGTGCAGAGAAGAGCATCAAAGATAATTAGGGGACTGGAGGCTAAAATATATGAAAATGGTTGCAGGAACTGGGACTCTAGTCCAGTGATGGCTAACCTTTTTGCCATCGCGTGCCAGGAGAGGGGGGGCGGGGAAGGGTCGCGCGCGCACGTGCCCACGCGCATGCATGCGCAACCCCCTCCCCCCCCCGCTCCTGGCACATGATGGCCTGGTAGGCCCATTTTTCTTTCTTACCTGGTTCCAGATCCTCTGTGTGTATCTGGGAAGGGTGAAAACAGCCTTTCCCACTCCCTTGGAGGCCCTACGGAGGCTGAAAGAGCCCATTTCCCAACTCCCGGTAGGACAGGAAGTGACATTTTTTGCTGTCCCCAGCCTCCAGAACCTCTCTAGGAGTCTCTAGGAGCCTCTCTAGGAGTCTCTGGAGGTTGGGGACAGGAAAAAACATCACTTCCTGTCCTACTGGGAGTCGGGAAATGGGCCCTTTCAGCCTCCATAGGGCTTCCAAGGGAGTGGGAAAGGCTGTTTTCGCCATTCCCAGATACACGGAGAGGATCTGGAGCCAGGTAAGAAAGAAAAATGGGCCTTCCCCACCCCTCCCCCAGGCCCTCCAGAGGCAGGAAACAGCCTGTTTCCCTACTTCCGGTTGGCCCAGAAGGCCCGAAAATCAGCTGGCCGGCGCACACATGCGCCCCAGAGCTGAGCTGGCATGCCCACTAATATGGCTCCGCGTGCCACCTGTGGCACACGTGCCATAGGTTCGCCATCACGGGTCTAGTCTAATGAAGAGGAAGAGTGTGGTGACATATTTAACTGGCTGTCACAAAAAAAGGGGTTGAACAGTTGTGGGAACTGGTATGTCTGGCCCAGGAGTATCAAACTCAAGGCCCGCAGGCTGGATCTGGTCTACGGTGCTGCCTTGGGAACAGCAAAGGACTGGCCCAAACTCCGTTTTCAATGGCAGAGCGCTCAGGCCACCACAGGGCCCCCTGACACGAGTGACACTGAGCTGGCCATGCCCACCACCACCCCCGAGGTCAAACACAACCCTGATGTGGCCCTCAATGAAATAGAGTTTGACACCCCTGGTCTAACCTAACGAAGAGAAGGGCTAGGCCTTATGTGATAGCAGTCTTCAAATATTTGAGGGGCCATCACAGAGAGTAAGAGGTTCATCTATTCTCCAAAGCACCTGAGGGCAAGTCAAGAAGTAAGAGATGGAAACTTATCACGGAGACATCCAACTTGGAACTAAAGAGAAATTTCCTGACAGTGAGAACAATTAATCGGTGGAACGAACAGAAGTTGTGAGTGCTCCATCACTGGAGGTTTTCAAGAAGAGATTAGACAGCCCTTTGACCAGAATGGTACAGGGTCTCCATTCAACCAGGGGGCTGGACTGGAAGACTCCAAGTTCCCCTCCAGCGTTATTATTCTGAATTCTGTATTTTAATTCCGGTGGCATCCTAAGAACACTTTCAAGCACGACTGTTGAAAGGCTAAGTCAAGAAAAATGCCCTAAAGCAGTGTTTCTCAACCTTGGAAGCTTGAAGATGGGTGGACTTCAACTCCCAGCTGCTGGCTGGGGGATTCTGGGAGTTGAAGTCCACCCATCTTCAAGCTTCCAAGGTTGAGAAACACTGCCCTAAAGCATCACACGGTTTTGTTGATCCGGCTGAGATAAACAAGAACTACTTATCAGGAAGATTCCCTCTGCCAACACCAACCTTACCTTGGCAATCCGAGCCAGGTGATCCAGAGAGGAGACCAGCTTGCCCAGCTGTGCCCGTTTTCCCTGCTGTCCAGGCCCTCAGCCCCTTCCAACGCCTTCTCTGGGATTACAACCTCCAGCGCTTTCAGCACCACTGTCTGCAACGCTGCGTTTGACTTCAGTGCAGAGACAGCTTCGTTATAATTGAGATGAGTCAAATCGATATTGTTGATGCTCAAAAGAATATCTCCTGTTACAGAAATCAGGAGGAGACAGATTAGAACCAAGATTTGGGTAAAAAATGCATCTTCCTAGTTTCGTTCACTAAGATCTTTGCAAATTCATGAAAGCACCATTCCTATGTCAGTGACAGTTTAATCAACTTTTTTTAAAAAAAGAGAAGAAGGGGGGGTGTATCCTACCTTTCTTAATCCTCCCATCCCTCAAGAGACATCCAACTGGTTGGACGCTGGTTACATAAATAGGGAGTTTTGCTTTGCCGTCTCGTCCTCCTCCTATCGTTATCCCAAAAGACTCTTTGGGGTCCTTTTTTATGGTAACCACCTTTTCCTGGCTGAAGTATCCTTGGGGGAGTATCTAAAAGTTCAGAGGAAGACAGGGAAGAAAGAAAATAACCTATATATTAAATTTACAACAGTTAATGTTAATTAACTAAGTTGGTAAGATATATATCCCAAGCCAGCAGAATCCCCATTACATCAGACTGAAGCAGCTCATTTTTGTATTTTCATTTCCAAGGGAGATTTTGCAAAGGATGGATGATACTATGATGATATCCAGAGGAGCTACATAATGGTTAAAAATATTAGAAGACATTTCTCATGAGAATCCATAGGTGCTTTTTCCAAAGGCAACTGGACTTCCTTTGTTTTTCCTTGAAGATGTTTTACACTTCTCATCCAAAAAGCTTCCTCTGTTCTGACTGAATGGTGGAGAATAGAAGGATTAATATTCCTTGCAGTCACCTGGTCATTAGCACTCTCAAGAGTCATTAAGGTCATTTGGAGGTTTATCTGTGCCCTCAGGGTCACCTGAATACTGCAAGGAATATAAATCCTCCATTCTCTACCATTCAGTCAGAACTGAAGAAGCTTCTTGGATGAGAAGTGAAACATCTTCAAGGGGGAAAAAAAGGTTCAGTTGCCTTTTGAAAAAGCATCTTTGCAAAGGACAACCATGACCTGGATGACTGAGAATCTCCATAGACATGAGAAATTCTAAAAAGTTTGATTTGGAGAAAGGAAAAAAAAAGTTATGTTTAAATGAAACACAAAAGTATTTTGTCTGGGACAACTTTCAGAGTCAAAAACCTATTTTTTTTTAGGTTTGAATTCCTCAGTAATAGGCTAAGAGAGAAAGATAAAATGATGTATTCAAAACACGTTTCTCAGCTGCAAATGTTATGCCCGACACCCTCACAATTGTGACCTATTCTCTCTCAGGTCTTCACTATATGCTTAATTTTCATGAAAGGGATACAGAGTCAGTTTCTTTCCTGAAGTTAAAGGTGAACAGGAAGTGAGTCAGACAGGCATCCTGGCTAGAAAACATGTCAGCCCATCTTTTGCAGAAAGCATTTTGCAAAATGTTCCTGAATATAATTAAGGGCAGCTGTTGAAAATTATTTCAAAAAGTATATTTATGCTTTTGTGTGGATCACCAGCTGCCTGAACTATTTCTGTACCATACGGAATGTTTGTAGTGGTGCATTTTCTGTTCCAGGGTGGATAAAAATTGATTGTTAAAAAAAAAAAATCAGATTTTTTAAATTTAAATTGGATTTTTTTAAAATTGAATTTATTTTAATAAAATGCTTTTAGAGTAAAAATGTATCTAAAGATAGTTTTCTATTTAAGATACATTAATAATTTAGTTTATTCAGCATGAAATGGAGCTTAGTTATGTAGCATGAAGCTATATATTCTGCAGTATTGGGACTGTCGGTGAGTCAACAATCGGTGAGCAGGTCAGAGGAAGAGCCGCTGTGGGACAGAGATGACAGTTGCTCTTTAAAAATTATGATTTAAATTGAGTTGATTTAAATCAAGCCTTTTTACTAGTGATTTAAATCATGATTTAAATCGTGCCTGTTTTGTTCACACTTCAATAGGGACAGATAAATAACTGCTTCAATGCAGAATTAAGATGAACTCCCAATAATGGTAAAATGAGAAATACCCCCTACAGGGACCATCTTTGTGGGATTAACAGGGTATGGAAAATTCATTAATCATACTGTTTTTTCCAGGAGACAGAAGCCCTCTCTGTGGCAATAGATTTTGGACAATTAAGTCCTGAGAGTAATATGCAGATCCTCGCCAATCATGGAAAATTAGCAATCTCATAGCACTAGCAATAGCACTTAAGACTTTTCACAGTGCTTTACATCCTGCTCTAAGCGGTTTACAGAGTCAGCATTTTCCCCCTAACAATCTGGGTCCTCATTTTACCGACCTTGGAAGGATGGAAGGCTGAGTCAACCTTGAGCCGGTCAGGATCAAACTGCTGGCAGTGGGCAGAGTTTGCCTGCAATACTGCATTCTAACCACTTTGTCACCATAGCTCCTTTAATTATGTTTTAATTAACCAGGATAAGGGGTCTGGGGGCTAAAACATATGATGGACAATTGAAGGAACTAAGTATGTTTAGTTAATTGAAAAGAGTAAACTATAAACTAATAGGGGTGACATGATAGCAGTCATCCAATACTTGAGGGGCTGTCACAGAGAAGAGGGGATTGACTTATTCTCCAAAGCATCTGAGGTCAGAATCAATGGGTAGAAGATCATTAAAGAGAGATCCAACTTGGAACTAAGGAGGAATTTCCTGACAATGAGCACAATTAATCAATGGAACAGTGCCTCCAGAAGTTGTGGATGCTCCATCACTGGAAGCTTTCAAGAAGACATTGGACAACCATTTGTCCGGGATGGAATAAGGTCTCCAATGTCCCTTCCAGCCTTATGTTCTATGATCAGGTTTTACCTGATCCCATCCAGTGAAATCAGTGTTTCTCTACCAGAAGACGACGTTGATGATGACACTAGAACAGGCCTTCTCACAAACAGCACTTCCACTTTTGAATTTCTCTCCCCAAATCAATACAGATTTATTTACACACACACTCTCTCTCACACACACACACACACACAAACACATTTCCCGCTCCCCCTACGTTCTATTCTACCTTGCCTTACTTTTGACTTTCTCTGCTACTTTAATGATTGGGCACTTTGTACCATTTTCATGACATTCTTGTGATTTTACCCAGAAGATTCCACATGAGCCCTTATAAGTGGCAAGGGGGAAAATGTTGCAAAGTCAGTTTAAAATGAAATTAGAGCATCAAATCACTATAACCAACTCCCTGTCATGTGCTCTTTTCTTACCCACTGTCATCAGTTTCCTATTCTGTACAATTTCTAAGTTCCTAGTTATTTATTTATTAAATTTATTTGCTGCCCATCTTGTTATTCAGAGTCTCTGAGTTACAGATTAACAGAGTTGGACGGGACCTTATAGGTCATCTAGTCCAACCCCCTGCTCAAGCAAGAGACCCTACACCATTTCTGACAAATGGCAGTTCAATCTTTTTTTGAAAGTCTCAAGTGATGAAGCTCCCACAACCTCCGAAGGCAACTTCTGTTTCATTGGTTGATTGCTCTCACTGTCAGGAAATTCTTCCTTATTTCCAGGTTGAATCTCTCCTTGGTCAGTTTCCATCCATTATTCCTTGTCTGGCCTTCAGGTACCTTGGAAAATAGCTAGACCCCCTTCCTCCTCTCTGTGGCAGCCCTTCAAATATTGGAAGATGCTCTCATGTCTCCCCTGATCCTTCTCTCTTTTTTTTTTTTATTGAAAAAGTTTTCAAATACAAATTTTTCCCCCTTTTTTTCCCCCTCCCCCTCCCCCTCCCTAACCCCCCCTCCCCACCCGTCCCCCCCTGTGACTTCTTCATAACAAAAAACCTAATTCATAACAGATTACTTACCCCCTCCTCTAAATACTGACCTTTACTTACTAAAAATATTATTAATATTATAACATCCCCCTTTATCCATACATTTCAAGAAAGGGAAAAAAAAAAGACATTATACTATAACATTGTATAATAACTTCTAATTTAGCAAAATAGTATTATAACTCCCAATTTGGCAATAATCTACCCTTTTTCTCCTCTCCCAAACTTATATCTATATATTATTACAACAATTCAAAACCACCTTCCACTTTAAAACTATACAATAAATCCTACTTTAACATTTGATCTATATATATTACTATAGCATTTCAAAGCGGCCCTCCCCGTAAAACCTAATTTAACATTTATTCCACTCTATCCATTTCCTCCACTCCCCTAAACATATCACTTAAAAATCCCTTTTCTTAAACTAATCAGTCTGCAAACTAGCTTATTCACCCACTGTCCTGCAAAATTATCATACACAACAATTCTTAATATCTTTAATTCATTGCCCACTCTACTTAAAAGTATATGTATATATATTCCATTATATCTAAGTAAAAAAGAAAAGACAATAACTTTAAATTTATAATCCATATGATATCTTCTTTAAAGTCTTTCCACTGGATTATTAAAACCATCATCCATAATAGGGTAACATAGCTTGCTGATGCAACAGTATATTCAAAATCTTCAGTCATATCTACCCCCATCAGTAGTAAATATCCTCTTATATATATGAAAGTAAAAACAACCACCCGAGTGACATTATAGTTATATTCCATGTAGTAATAATTGTGGCTTTCATCAGGATTATTAATTCCCATCATCGTAGTGGGTAACAACCAGATCTTCTGCATGCCCCAGTATGACTCTTTTGCCTTATAATTCAAGATAATTATAATATAGTTATCAGCACGAAAAGGAGTTCCAAAGTAGATAATTAAAATCCATCAGTTTAAGGCTCTTTTCACATCCCAAAATTACGGCAATGCAGAGGCCTGTCACCATCCTCAGGATAATATTGACCAATACGTCGCCTCCTCTATATTTTCACATACTCATTCATTTTTAAAGTCACTGGCTTCACTGTTGCTTGATTTAGAAATTTCTATTTTTATGCAACCTATTTCTTTTTTTCTTTTCTTTTTGCGGGTTTGATTTCCATCCTGGTTTCCTTTCTACGGATTGTGTATCAACTAGTCGATTTTGATTCTGCTCTGTAGATTGATCTTGTTGGTTTTGTTTTTGTGTCTCATCTTTCTTTTTTGCCCCTTGTATATCCCCTAATTGGTTTCCGTGCTTGTCCTTGACTTGATAGGTCATCACATTAAAGTCAGATGCCACTTCTCTCAGATTTGTAAATAATCCAGCTGGGGTATCCAAAAAATCCAAAGGCGGTTTATCTGGTACAGTCTCTGTAGCTCGATATTTTCCCTTTATTTCCAACTCCTTCTGCTTATCCTGTATTATACCTGAAGACGTTAAGTTCATTTTCAATCTGTTTTGATAAAATTCTTCCGCTCTTTCAACAGTATTTAACTGGTATCTTTCTCCTTGATATCTCAATATGATACCAACTGGAGCGTCCCACCTGAATAGGATATTTCTCTTTTTTAACTCAGTCACCAGAAAAGCAAATTTCTTCCTTTCCATTAATATCTTAGGTGGGAGTTCTTTGTAAATCCAAATCTTTCTTCCATGCAGTTGCAAATTAGAATTGAAGGAATTTTGCACAATATTATTCCTAATTTCTTTGTCTGTAAAATAAATCACTACATCTCTAGGCAATTGCCTTTGCTTGGCAATCCAGGAATTTATTCTGTAAACTCTGTCAATCCTACAAAACACTTCCTCGGGTTGAACCTTTAAAATCCCAGCTAGAAATTCAGAAGATATTTTCCTTAAATCATCTCTGTTATCTTCCTGCAAACCTCTCAGTCTTATCGCATATTCTGTGAAATTATATTGTACCATTAAAACCTCTCTTTCAATCCTCTGTTGCAGATTTTCTACATTACCAGACTTTTGATCAGCCTCCATTTTAGGTTTTTCTTCTGAGCTATTATCCTGAGTGTTTATCAAATCATTTTCAATTTTTTGAGTTCTATTGTCCAATTTATCTTGAATTTCTTCCATTTTAGACTCTAGTAAATTAGTATTTATAGCCAACTGTATCATAAATTCTGACAAACCATTAGCCACTTTTAAAAATTTTTGCTCCAAAAAATCAAACTTAGATTTCACCAATTCTTTAATTTCCTGCTTAAATTTTTCAAGATGCTGATTCACAATCTCATCCCTTCTTACAATCTCCTCTAAAAGAAATTCTATTATATTGAAATCAGGTTTCTGAGATTGAAGAGTTAAAACTTGTTCTTTTAAGTTGTTAGTGGGGGAATCCCCCCCCCCACTACTTGTTTGTTTGACTTTATAAGTTTCAGTGCCATATTTCCGCCCAGGCAAGCTTTGTTAAAAGAAAAAAAAACAAGAAAAAAGACTTCTTTCCAGTCAATAACAATGTCAAGTCTCCAGGGAAAAAAAAGAGAGAAAAAGACGCAGGAGCGAAGTTTTGTCTACAAATGTAGCCAGTGGTGTTTATTCCGCTACATTGAATTAATAGAAAACGGAAGGACTTTTCCTTTCAGCCTCTTCTCCAGCCGCGGCAGACGCCATTTTAAAAGGCTTTTTTTCTCCCCCTTTCCTTTCCTCTTTTCTCTTAAATAATTTTTTTAAAAGATAAGTAAAATACTTGCGATTCAATATTACAGGTCCAGCTCACATTTTCTTTGAGTAATCTGTTAAATTCGCAGGCTTGCTCTTCACGCCTGGCTCTGCATTAGCAGAGGTCTCCCAAAGCCCGGAGCAGCGGCTGGGGATATGGGGCATCTCATCCGCTCCGTCCCAAAAGTAAAAAAAAAAACTTTTGGGACTCTGCAGAGAGTTCTACCCACCCCTGCCGGCTCTATCTCCGTTGCCTCATGGAAACGGAGTTTTTTCGAGCCGCCATTCCGCTGTGAAGGCGGCTCTGACAGGCAAAGGAAGCTGACGATCCCAAAGGAACGTCTAGCGGCGGCCAGCAGCAAACCGGAAGCCACCCCTGATCCTTCTCTTCACTAGACTAGCCATGCCCAGTTCCTGCAACAGTTCATCGCATGTTTTAGCCTCCAGTCCCCTAATCATCCTGGTAACACAATAGAAAATATAAACATAAGAACAATTATAAATATAACACTAATTTAAAAATTACAAGAATTAAATGCAGACTGAAAGCCAAGCACACGACCAACTGACCAAACTGGCACACAAGATAATAAGCTAGGGAGAAAAGCGCCAGAAAATCCTGATGATGAGGTTACCTACTCTGGTAACGAAATGTTCAGCAACTAAATTGAAACACGTTTGGAGAGCAAACCACTGCCAAAATAAAAGCCAAGGTCTCTATGTCGTTGCACCAACCGCCTCCAGCCTAGAGCGCCTCCATTAGGGCACAAAATGGCACACCCTCTTGCCAGGCTGAGAGGTGCCCAAAAACAGAGAGCAGAGCCAAGGCAAAAATTATTTTTCATCTCATTTCACTTCTGTTTACAGAAATATAGTTAACCTAATTACTTACTCTCGCACAATGTATTTAACAATCCCGCCCAGGTCATATTTTAAAAGTTACCATCTGAGAGCCATTTGGGGGGTTCTAGGGGCTGGGCTTAAGACTTGGGAGGGATGGGTGGGGAGCTAAATTCTTCCTTATACATTAAAGTAAAGGACACCGTCTGCATCCTGGAGCAATGTAGACCTTTGTAAAGGAGATCATCTTAACATTGCAAGTTAAAAACATTCCCATGCAAAGATCTTTAACCAATTATAGGTAGCCCTCGACTTATGACCACAACTGAGCCCCAAATTTCTGTTGTTAAGCAAGACAGTTAAGTGAGTTTTGCCCCACCTTGCTTGCCACAGTTAGTAACACGGTTGTTAAGTGAATCTGGCTTCCCCATTGACTCTGCTTGTCCAAAGGTCAACAAAGGTGATCATGTGACCTTCAGACACAGCAACTGTCATAAGTATGTGCCAGTTGCCAAGCGGCTGAAATTTGATCACGTGACCATGGGGTTGCTGCAATGGTTGTAAGTGTGAAAAACGGTGATAAGCTGAGGGCTACCTGTATGTCGTATCGTTCCTTCACAAATGGCATTTTGATAACAATCTTTGCTCAAAGCAGAGCAGAGATCAAGTCGACGTCCCAACCAAAACTGACTGAGTGGCCAATACCTTCTGATAGTTGGATCTTCGCCGGAAGTGATTTTGCTCCGGCTTCCGGCGACTGTGCTGCACAGGGCTTCCCCCGTTGCTGCTGCTGCTGCTGGCGTTGGAGGTGCTGCTGCTGTCCTCAGCAGCTTCCGGATGCTGCACCCCAGACTGACGGAGGACCACAAAGCTGACCCGGGCTTCACTGTTCTGTCAGGGGACGTCACAGAAAAGAAGACGCTTAGAAGAGAAACAGCCCAACCTCTTTAGCGCCCAATGAGATAATTTAATCAGAGGCTCTTAAAAGTCCTCAAGGGTCTCTGGGAAAGCTAGAGGAGGCTTCCATTAAGGGTTTGTTCTGTTTTTTAAAACTGAAGTGGCTTTGTGACAGCCTTAAAAAATAGAGCATTCAATATATGTCAAATGGGGGCACCTGATCTATTCAAACACAGAGACCTAAAATAACTGAAATAGAAGTGAGCAATTAGCCATTTGCATAATCAATACGTAACTCATTATGGATAATGAAACATGTCATTATTTATATCCTAACCTCATTATTTGTATAAATAACTCAAAGTGACAAACATACCTATCACTCCTTCTATTTTTCCCACAACAACCACCCTAAGAGAGAGAGGGACTGGCCCAAAGTCACCCAGCCGCCATTCATGCCTAAGGTGGGCGTGGTCTCCGGATTTCTAGCCTGGTGCCTTCACCGTTAAACCAAACTGGATCTACATAACTATTAAGCATGACATAAGCAATAGCACTTAGACTGCTTCGTAGTGCTTCACAGCCCTCTCTAAGCGGTTTACAGAGTCAGCATGTTACCCCTAACAACCTAGGTCCTCATTTTACCGACCTCGGAAGGATGGAAGGCTGAGTCAACCTTGAGCCTGTCAGGATCGAACTGCCGGCAGTTGACAGTCAACAGAATTAGCCTGCAATACTGCATTCCAACCACTGCACCATCGCGTTATAAAACTGCAGCAGTTTTTGTTTTACCTGCATATCCTTGAATTCAAAATTTAGGGCCAGAACAGGAAATCGGCATGGAAAAATCCAAGAAGGAATTCCTGATTCCCCCACCCCCAAAAAAATTCCTCTCTTATAACAGGAAGGGTCACGATTACTGTGCATATTTAGAAAAACTGGACAACTGCAATTTATAATGCATAACCTTGGAATATTAATGCAAGTTAGTGTTAATCTGTTCTGTCGAATTCTTGGATTTACTCTTAACCCAGCTCAAGTGAACACTTAAACTGTGGCCTAAAATAATTGCTCATTTACTAATACAATTATTCTAAAACCTGTTGACACATCACACTACAGCGCAGTGTTGTTGTTTACTCAATGCAATCCCATAATTATGATTTGCAAACCACAGTATAAAGCTTAAGGTTTGTACATCACACCAATTATGGTTTATACAATAAAATATGAGTCAGCATACCAGTCTATCAACAGAGTTTCTCTTGGTTTTGTTAGAAAGAAAGACAGGGGATTAGTTACCCATTATCTTAATCACCAAATGGAATTCCTTAGCAACAATGCATATTTTCTTCCTGTCCTATTTATGTGTAACTTATCATCAGCATCCAAATAAAAGCACATACTGGAGTCTTTGATGCTCTCTGAATGTGATGGATTTTTTTTTTTGCAGATGTTTCATTACCAAACTAGGTAACAGAAGCAACAGCACTAATGAGGTTACCTAGTTTGGTAATGAAAAATCTGACCAAGGACCCCTCATTGCCTAGTTTGTCTATAAGAAAGCCACCAAGAGCCGTGGTGGTGCAGTGGTTAGAATCCAGTATTGCAGGCTAATTCTGCCAACAGTTCGATCCTGACCGGCTCAATGTTGACTCAGTCTTCCATCCTTCCGAAGTCAATGAGGACCCAGATTGTTGGGGGCAAGATGGTGATACTGTAAACCACTTAAGAGAGGGCTGTAAAGAACTGTGATGTGGTATATGTGTCTAAGTGCTATTGCTAAACTCAGAGATCACCAAGGACCACACAGTTCATCCCTGAGCTACAAATATTCTCCTTTCTATTAGTTAGGTGTGCTCCTAGAACCGCATAGGTTACACCTCTGCTCTGCTCTGCTGTACTGTTTTCCAGTTTCAATTCAAGATGTTGGGGATGACTAATGAAGCTATACATGGCATGGGGCCAGGTTACCTGAGGGACGGCCTCTCCCCAAACAGATCTGGCAGGAGGGCCATAGTTTTGGGTCAACATCAGCCAAAGAGCTTTTGGCAGGACCTAGGAAGAGGGCCTTCTCTGCTGTGGTAGAGAAGTGTTAAAGTGGATGTGTCCCTTTAACACATCGTGTGAAATTGGCCCAACCTGACTGGCTTGTCCAGAAGACCCTTCAAACGCTTGGGGATCCCATGGAAGTGTGGGGCCCATTAAACAGTTGTGTGGTGTGTACGGCATTCTCTCATATTTTTTTTATTTTTATTTTTATTTATATGCCGCCCTTCTCCAGAGACTCAGGGCGGCTTACAATGCGTTAAGCAATAGCCTTCATACTTTTGTATATTCATACAAAGTCAGCTTATTGCCCCCACAAACTGGCTCCTCATTTTACCTACCTGAGAAAGGATGGAAGGCTGAGTCAACCTTGAGCCTTGGAGAGATTCGAACTTACAGTAATTGCAGACAGCTGGTGTTAATCACAATGCTATCAGTCTGCTGAGCCACCAGGCCCGTTTTGTTATTATAGTTTTAACTGTTTTTATTTATTAAAAGTATATGCCGCCCATCTGACTGTAACTGCAACTCTGGGCAGCTAATTTAATTTTAATTGTTTTTTAATTATTGTAATTGTTTTTTTTTCTTTTAGTTGTGTACACAGCCCAGAGTCACAAGCATGAGATGGGTGGCTGTATCAGTCTAGTACATAAATACACTGCTCAGTACATAAATATTTGCTTTAACTCCTTGCATTTGTGTTTCTATTGTATCTGTATTTCTTCACACGTGCTTGCAATCCTTGCTCCGTAAAACGTGGCCCAATTCTTTCTATTTTACCAATAATTGTTTTGTTTTATTGTTTAACTCCCCACCAGCACTATGAATTCACAAAGTGACACACTTGGCTTATTTTCCCCAACCTTTCTTGCAGATTCATTTGTCCCCTTTCTTCTTCTTAGTTCTTACTCAATATCTTTCCAATTTCGCAGCTGAAAAATTAAATCATGTCTGTGCTCCAGTATTTATCAAATATTTGAAAAACGCTTAACAGCATTTAGGGAAAAAAACATGTCTGGAAAGCTAGGAGACCTTGGTGCACAAACAGAACGGATTCCAGGAATTCCGTGCCAAAATCAAAGAAAGAAAATTAAAATGAAGCCCAACCCCAGACTACGATGTGCTTTGATGTATTTGTTTCTGAGCTGACAGGAAAATGAAGATGTGCAAGGCAATTATCTCACTTTGATTACAGTCTGTGGTTCCTCCTAGTCTTGGGGAGGGGCCGTATCTCCTCGCTGGCAAACATGCTCTGAATGCAGGAGGAGCCAAGTTTAGTTGCCACAGGTCGTCCTCGACTCACAGCCATTTGTTTAGCAACCAAAGTGGCAATGACACTGAAAAAAATGACGTGACCAGTTTTCACATTTACAACCATCGCAACATCCCCACAATCATGTGATCAAAATTCTTTAGGAGTCTTGCAGCATCCTGTGAGGTCATGTGATTGCCGTTTATGACCTTCCCAGTCAGCTTCTGACAAGCAAATTCAATAAAGATTCATTTAACAACCACTTAACATGAATCTTTATGAAAATAAAGATTCATTTAACCTTGGCATAAAAGGTCATAGAATCAGGGGTGACAACAATCGTCTTGCTTAGCAACGAAATTTCCAGTTCCAAATGTGATCCAAAGTCGAGGACTGCTGTAGTACTTTCCACAGAAAGACCTCAGATTACAAGGGTGAAGAAACATCTCACTTTGATAGCTGCAGCAATCCAAAACAGTCCACACTACAGGATACGCATCAAGACGCTGTCTCTCAAATTGCAGTGGCTTCATACAACCAAAGCTTCTCTAGATTGAACTACCATACTCCAGATTACAGGTAGTCCTTGACTTAGAACGCACACTCCTAGCCCAAAATTTATGTTGCTAAGTAAGACAGTTGTCAGGTGAATTTTGCCCCATTTTACAACCTTTCCTGCTACAGTTGTTAAGTTAATCCCTGCATTTGTTAAGTTAGTAATGCAGTTGGTTAAATGTATCTGCCTTCTCCATTGACTTTGTTTGTTAGAAGGTTGCAAAAGAGGATCACACGATCCCAAGACATTGCAACCGTCATAAACATGAGTCAGTTCCCAAGCATGAATTTTGATCACATGATCATGAGGATGCCACAATGGTTGTTAACTGTGAAAAACGATCACAAGTCCCTTTTTTCTGTACCGTTGTAGCTTCGAACGGTCTGAACTGTTATAAATTGAGGACTACCTGGACTGTCTTCCAAACTTACCTGGATTATCTGGGCAGCTGCTTCAGGCGTTCCTTGGCGTAGATCCTGACCATTTATAGACAGGACTTTATCGTTCTGACGCAGCTTCCCATTCTTGGCTGCCAACCCTCCGTCTAACAGGTCCAGAATAAAGATCCCAGGCCCGTCTGCTTTTCTGATCAGTTTAATGCCGAGGGGTTCGGATCGGTCTCTTTTGACGAGGATAACATGGACCACTTCCTGGTTCACGACCGGGGGAGCCGTCCGGTTGGTAAAGCCCTTTTCTTGGAGCACGAGGAAATGGAGCTCATCACAGGGTTGGCGCAAGAGCGAGATGGCTTGGCAGTGGGTCACACTGCTGATGTTCACACCATTCACCTGGGAGAAGGACAGAAAGAAGGGCTGGTCAGAAGATGGTTTCCTAAAGGTCCTTCTCTCAGGATACCCTTCCCTCCTCTGTGTACCACGGCAAAAGAAAATGAAAGAATGTAAGCACTGTAGGAAGGAAATCCTACAAAAAACTGTCAGGACTGCCATCCTGCTACCCTATGCATTGCTTGCTGGCAGCCTACCATGCTTGAAGGGGAGGGAGAGCTGCAGGGCAGGATAAAGGAGGGCTTAGCATGAGAGGAATCGGCCGTTCCAAGGTCACAAGGTCACGCTGTGGGATGCAGAATCAATCACCCCGCAAAGGCAGGGACCGTTGCCCAAACCATTTGTTGGCACCTGATTGGACACTCGATGATAACTAGGGGAAAAGGTGGGAACAAGGAAAAACTTAACCATATGCTTTGGGCACGAAAGCCTCAGATCTAGCTTTGCTTCTTCTGTAACTACTTGGCTTTAGTAAAGTGTAATTTTTGCAAACCATGGCCTCGAAAGTGTTTCTTTTCTAACTGAAAAAGTTGGGACACCTGACAGAAACATTTGATTTCTCCAGAAATTTGCCGATTTGCTTAAATAAGAGCAAATAAAACATGATTATTCTGAAATATTAAATATACTGGTTGTACTGGTTGTGATTCATGGAGGGCAGGTGCAAATCATCAGCATGGAAGGTCATGAAAATCTCTGAAAATGGACCAGGAGAAGCATTCCCTTTCTCTCATAAAAATCAGAAAAAGTAAACCAGAAAAGTTGCAAAGATTCTTAATACACCATGGTTCATTCAAAAGCACTGCCCAGCTTCCACACTTCCTGACACCGTACCTATTTTATGGCTTCCACTCCTCTCTCTCCTCCATGCTTTACAAGTAGTCCTCAGCTTACAACCATTCATTTAGTGACAGTTCAAAATTACAATGGCACTGAAAAAAGTAACTTATAATTTCTCACACAACTGTTGCAGCATCCCCATGATCACATGATCAAAATTCAAATGCTTGCCAACTGGTTCCCATTTATGACAGTTCCAGTGTCCCAAGGTCATGTGATCCCCTTCTGCGACCCTCTGACAAGCAAAGTCAAGGGGGAAACCAGATTCATTTAGCAACCGGGTTACTAATTTAACAATTGCAGTGATTCACTTAACAACCGTGGCAAGAAAAGTTGTAAAATGAGGCAAATCCCTTAACAACTGGGCTCAATTGTGGTTGTAAATCAAGGACTACCTGTACAACCTTAAAAAATCCAAGTCTGATGATATCACTAGTTTTTAACTCTGATTAAAATCTGCTACAGCTAAATGTTGTGTAGAAATGTATAGTTTATAGGGGGCAAAACAGCTTATTGTTATGTAGAAATTTATAGTGCACAGGGAGGAGAATAGAGGGGTGGTAAAGTATGATATAATACAATGTGGATGGATTTCACCTTGGGGAAGTCGTGGGGAGGGAGGGTTTGGGGGGGGTTAGGGAGGGATGGGGGGGGGAAAGGGGAAAAATTGTTGTTTGTAGAACTTTTTCAATTAAAAAAAATATATCTGCTACAGCCGATTACCAACTGGTCATTTTGCCATGAGGTTTTAACCATAGCAAACCCACCTCTAGGATGTGGTCTCCAGGTGCGAGTTTCCCATCGGCAGCCACCACGGAATCCTGAAATATCTCTTGCACAACGATGTTCCCGAGAGGAGTGTCTTTCCCACCAACTATACGCATGCCAAGCTCTTCCTCGGGGGCCTCTCGGTGGATTTCGATGGTGTTTGTCTCCGCCACAAGACTCGCTCTCTGAGGTAAATCTGACAGAGAAGTCAGAAAGTGCATGAATGAAGAGGAAGGCCTGGATTTGTAACAACGTACAGCAAATATGAGCAACCTGCATCCATCCCATCCTTTCTCACCAGTGGTCCTGCAATCTCCAGCTTGGTGAAGGTGGAATTTTGGCTGCTTGAGGAACCGTCTCACACTGATGGGACTGACCTGCCCCGTCCCACCGGCAGAGGAGCATTCTGCAGGTCCCATCAGTCAAGGAATGCCAGCTGGTGGGGTCCAGGAGAAGGGCCTTCTCGGCTGTGGCTCCTGCCCTTTGGGACCTCTTAACCCCTGAGATGACATGGGCTCCCACCCTCCTGATTTTTCATAAGAGCCTGAAGCCCTGGCTCTGCCTAATGGCTTGGAGACCCCCGTGGGGGAGCTTCACACTAGAAGTGGCTGACTAATTAAAAGCTAATCCCACCTCCCATTCCTCCCCCATGTATCCAGCTCCCTTGCCGCTGTCTTGTGTTCATTATTTTAATTTATCTTCTTTGTCATTTTATATCTGAAGATTTTCATGCTTGTTAATGTTCTTATCCTGTAAACCGCCAAAGATAGGCATTAAATAAATTTCTTAATAATTAAATAAATACTAAATTTTGTATCTAGAGTTTGTCCTTCCTTGTTTCTAGAAGCTAACCTTGGAATTACTTGACTTCAGGCGTCTGAAATGTACTTTGGAAAGCTTTTCCAAAGTACATTTCAGACGCCTGAAGTTGATGAAAAACTTTTCCAAAGTAGAAAACTGTGGAAAAACTTTCAACCACTACTTCTGAGCAAAGATGTGCAAGTCAAAGTATGCCCTTCTGTTATTACGGATGAAAACTACATGACACAATTTTCAAACTGAACAACACAATTGCATAGTGCTATTCCATCAACACAAGTATAATCATAACAGAATACATTTATTTATGCAACATTTACAAACTTTTAAGCTTTTTGTAATTATACAGAAATCCATACAGAGATCTACCATAAATCCCAAAATGCCTTCTGGCCAGTTATACTCAAATCAAAATTTTTGACTAATATGGAATTTTTCCTGGATATCTTAAAATCCTTAAAAGGAACATGAAACGGAAAAGCAAGGCAAATATATATTTTAGTTGTTGGGGGCACTTTGCCTCGTTTCATCAACGAATATCAATGTCAGAAGTGCCACCTCACTGCCAGTCTGCCATGAACCCTCGGGGGTGGCTGGAAGAGGGGGCAAGGCCTTAGGGGAAACTGGAACTGAACTGTGAGAACCCAGAAGTCTTCAAGGCCGTTTTCCTGGGAGAAGAATGGCAACAAGTAGAGTGAATGTTTCCAAAGCATCTCTTTTTAAATTGATTGGACATTGAGAGACAAGCAATGGGAAGGAACCAAGGGAGGAAAGTTAACTGGGAAAACCTGGCACGCAAAGCCTTAGTTCTGGCTTTGCTCTACTGCAATTCACATGGCTCCAAGTAAAATATACCTTTTTCAACAAATGGAGTTAGGGATCATTTTTACTAAGAAATTAATCAGTTGAGGCAGTTAATCTGACGATTAATTGTACAAATATAGTCCATTCACGACAATGGCCCATGGATAGAAGTTACAGGGATCAAATGAAAATGCCTCCAATGTAGTAAATTGCCAATAGATAACACTTGAAAGCTCTGACATGTTCTTCAGCATTTGCTATTGGTTCTCCTGCTTGAGCAGGGGGTTGGACTAGAAGACCTCCAGGGTCCTTTCCAACTCTGTGATTCTGTTATTCTTTCACTTCAGTTAGGGGAATTTGCTGTGTGAAAAGGTTGTGTTGTTTTTATTCATGAAATGGAAGCCTGCAGTGAATACTCCTCAAAGGGCTGTGACTGAATTCTTAACTGCCAAAGGAGTCCCTCCAATTGAAATTCACTGCCCTATGAAGACTGTTTACGCGATTTCATTGACAGGAGTATTGTGCATCATTTGGTCAAAAAAAATGCAGAGATAGATTTTTGCACACGAGAAAGGCTGATAACTGGTGAAAGACAATCAACATATCACTCTCAAAGGGACACTGTGTCAAGCTTGGCATTTCACAGGAATATGTGGGTCGTATCACCGATGTTCTTCAATATTGGAAGGCTTGTGCAAAGATGAAATGCGGGTGGGTGAGATGAAAGCTTCACAGTTGAAAATTGCTAGTCCAAGCCTAGATCATTTTGTTATTCCAGCAAGCCGCTCTGATGGGATAAATGATTTTAATTTGGTTTTAATGGGGTTTTAAAATTGGTTTTAAAATGAGAGTTTTAAATTCGGCCTATGATTTAATTATTTTAATCTGCTTTTAAATTCTATTTTGTACATTGTTTTATTACGGCTGTTCACCGCCCTGAGTCCTTCGGGAGAAGGGCGGTATATAAATTAAATAAAATAAATAAATAAATAAATAAATTTCAGACAAGTGGCTGTCCAGTCTCTTCTTGAAGATTGCCAACAACGGAGCACCCACAATTTCTGGAGACAAGCCGTTCCACTGATTCATTGCTCTCGCAGTCAGGAAGTTTCTCCTTAGTTCTAGGTTGCTTCTCTCCTTGATAGGTTTCCACCTATTGCTTCTTGTCCTGCCCTCAGGTATTTTGGAGAATGGATTGTCCCCCTCCTTCTTTGTGGCAGCCCCTCAAATAGTGGAAGACTGCTATTATGTCACCCCTAATTCTTCTCTTTGTTAGGCTAGTAATACCTGATTCCTGCAACGATTTTCATGTTATGAGAATGAAAGAACCGCAGGGTCTTTGGTGCTCTCTGAGGCGGATTGATTGTTTGCAGATTTTCATTATCATCATCCACCTTAGTGGTTGAACTCCAGTGTTCTACCCTGAGCGACATGCATTATTTCCCCATGGGAATGAAAGAAGTAATGAGAAGGAAGAGAAGGAATTTCTTCACAGCATTGTGACAGCTGACAGAACATGGGATCATTTTTTTATTTATTTTTATGTATTTATTTCTATCCCGCCTTTATTTTATATGAATGACTCAAGACAACAAACATACCTGATGCTCCTTCCGCCTGCTATTCTTCCAACAACAACCACCCTGTGAGGTGAGTTAGTCTGAGAGATACTGATTGGCTCTAGGTCACCCAACCAGCTTTCATGCCCAAGGCAGGACTAGAATTCACGGTCTCCCAGTTTCTAGTCTAGTGCCTTAACCACTGGGAAATTAATATCAATTCACATAATATAATTACAAAGCTTCTGGGAGGGGGGGAAATAAGCCTAAGATTTGTGAAAAAAATTCATGGTGATAATTTTCTGGGATGCATATGGTGTTATTCACAAGGACTTCCTTGAATTTGGAACCATTATCAATTCAGAGCAGTGTGCTGCAATACTTGACATTTTGAAACGACGATTAAGTTCAGAATCACCAGAAGGAAATTGAGCTGCAGCAAAGCCAGACTAGTCACACACTTCACGAACCACCCAAGAGGAGAATTTGAACATTTGTACCTCACTATTTTAATCTCCTACAGCTGGGGTCTCCAAACTTGGCAACTTTAAGACTTGTGGACTTCAACTCCCAGAATTCCACAAGACTTAAAGCTGCCAAGGGAAAAGGAGAAAAACCCAAAACAATGTCTTTGAAAGGTAAGTTTCATCACATTCTGGGAATCCACGGAACTAGAGGATAAACACAATTTTGTACATTAAAATTACAGATTTGTTATCTATCAAATCAGTGGGTATTTATTAAGGTAGTCCTCGATTTACAACCAAACTGAACCTGAAATTTCAGTCATAAATCATGATGGACATCAAGCAGGTGACTATGTGACTACATCTGATTTTATGATCTTTTTTGCGGCGGTTGTTAAACAAGGACATAATTCACTAAAGGGGCAATTTTTTTGCCAGAAACCGGAAGTAAACGCTGGTTTCTGGCAGAAACTTCATAAATTGTGATACATGATTGTGGGCTGCTGCAAAGGACGGTCACATGACCAGGGAGTTCAGAACTTCAAATATGAGTCATAAGTTCCTTTTTCAGGATCCGTTGTGACTTCGTACAGTTGTTAAGTGACTGCTGGACTGCCTGTACAGGTAGTCCTCAACTTACAACCATTTGTTTAGTGATCATTTGAAGTTACAATGGCACTGAAAAAAGTGACTTATGACCATTTTCACACTTACGACTGTTACAGCACCCCCTTGATCACATGATCAAAATCCAGACGCTTGGCAACTGACTTGTATTTAGGATGGTTTAGGTTGGTTGCAATGTCCCAGAGTCATGTGATCCCCTTTGCAAACTTCTGACAAGCAAAGTCAATGGGGAAGCCATTCACTTAACAACCATGTTATTAACTTAACGACTGCAGTGATTTACTTAATAACAGCGGGAGGAAAGGCTGTAAAATGGGGCAAGATTCACTTGCTTAGCAATGGAAATTTGGGGTTCAGTTATGATCGTATGTTGAGCACTACTTGTACACAGAAGACACGACAGAAGACCTCAATATAATTTCTCTGCAAAAATTGGGTTGGGGGTGTTACTTGGAACCCTGACATTGGGTATGTCTAGTCTGGTGAAAAGAAGGGCTAGGGGTGACATGTTAGCAGTGTTCCAATATTTGAGGGGCTGCCACAAAGAAGGGGGGTCAACTTATTTTCCAAAGCACCAGAAGGCAAAATAAGAAGCAATGGTTGGAAACTATTGGAGAGAACTAAGTACTTTATTGTAACCTAGAACGAAAAAGAAATTTCCTGACAGTGAGAACCGCTTGGCTTCAGAAGTTGTGGATGCTCCATCGCAGGAGACTTTTAAGAAGAGGCTGGACAATCATTCATCTGGAATGGTAAAGGGTCTCCTGCTTGTGCAGGGGGTTGGACTACAAGACCTCCAAGGTCCCTTCCAACTCTGTTTTTCAGTTCCGATATTCTGGAAATTTGCTCACATGCGCTCCCACATCAGCCTTCATTTCTCTACAAGTTTAAGAGAGGCCTACCTTCTTCACTCCCATCAAAGGCTGGGTTAACCAGCCCAGGATCTGGGGTCTCTGGTGACACAACGGCAGCTACCGAGCCTCCAGTGGCTGAAGAGGACACTCCATTTGATACTTCGGGATCTTTGACAGCCTTTGTTTCCAGCCTAGAAAGAGAATCTCCCTTCATCCTGGACCGAGGATGCCTCTTCCTTTCCAGGCGCTCCATGTATTTCTTGAAGCCAGGACACCTGCATTAGACAGCAAACACCAATTCCCAAAAGAGCTCCATGCCGGTCCTCTCACACCCTAAATTAACCACCTGAAATATTTTTGTAACTTGTGTCTGAGTTTGGGTGGACAGGGATGCTTTTTAAGAAAAGCAAAAGTTTAATAAGTGCAGCTGAAAGTCTAGAGCACGAGTGTGCAACCATGGCAAAGTCTTCCACACTTAAAGTCCCAGAATTCTGCCAGCATAGACAGCTAGGGAATTCTGGGAGTTGAAGTCCACACATTAAGGTTGTCAAGGTTGGACATACATGCTCTAGAGCTGTGATGGCGAATCTGTGGCATGTGTAGCCATATCAGTGGGCATACCAGCTCAGCTCTGGCGCACATGCGCGTGCTGGCCAGCTGATTTTCGGGCCTTCTGGGCCCACCAGAAGTAGGGAAACAGGTTGTTTCCTGCCTCCGGAGGGCCTGGGGAGGGTGGGGAAGGCCCGTTTTTCTTTCTCACCTGGCTCCAGATCCTCTCAATGCACCTGGGGAGGGCGAAAACAGCCTTCCCCCTCAGAGGCCCTCCGGAGGCCTGAAAGGCCTCATTTCCCAACTCCCGGTTGGACAGGAAGTGACTTTTTTGCTGTCCCCAGCCTCCAGAGACTCCTAGAGAGGCTTCCGGAGGCTGGGGGACAGCAAAAAAGTCACTTCCTGTCCAACTGGGAGTTGGGAAATGGGCCCTTTCAGGCCTCCGGAGGGTCTCCGAGGGGGAGGGGAAGGCTGTTTTCACCCTCCCCAGATGCATAGAGAGGATCTGGAGCCAGGTGAGAAAGAAAAACGGGCCTACCGGGCCATCATGTCCCAGGAGCGGGGGGCAAGGGGGTTGCACAGCATGCGCAGAGCGGGGCTCAGACATGGGTGTGGGAACACACGTGCGCAAACCTCCACCGTCCCCCCTCCTGGCACGCGATGACAAAAAGGTTAGCCATCACTGCTCTAGAGAGAAAGGAATTAGAACAGTTGCTAATGAAACCCTGATCTTTCAAATATACAGTGATACCTCAGTACTCATCATTAATTGGTTCCAGGAGGCACAGTGAATACCAAAAATGAAGAGTACCAAACAATTTTTTCCCATAAAGAATAATGTAAATAAATGCAATGCATTCCCAAACCAAAGACGATGCACATTTTTAAGGCAATGTAAATAAAAAAATGGGATTGTATATCATTATTTGCATGAGAAATAAACCTAAAAATTAATAAATACTTAGATTAAATAAAATAAAAATGTCACTTAAAGTACTGATGAAAAAAGCACAAACATACTCAAAATGACCACAGAAGCTAAGATAACACTGCAAGGGGAGGTGCACAGGGCAAGGCCTACCATGTCATAAGCGTGAAAACATCTTTTCACGTCATAAGCGTGTAAAACATATGATCCTTTGTTTTGGCTGGAAAAGATAGCAAGTCACAAGGCAGCCAACACCGACAAGTTCTAGCTTACACATATTTACGAGACCGCCTTCTGCCACCGATAGCCTCCCACCGACCAGTATGCTCCCACAGAGAGGGGCTCCTCAGGGTGCTGTCGGTAAAACAATGCCGACTGGCAGCCCCCAGGGGGAGAGCCTTCTCTGTGGGGGCACCTACCCTCTGGAATGAGCTGCCCCCGGAGATACGGCGGATCCCGGATCTTCGCACCTTTTGCCGTGCCCTAAAGACGTTTTTATTCCAAAAAGCCGGGCTGGCCTAATTCTTTTAAATTCTTTTAATTTTTAAATTGTTTAATTATGGGTCTTAATTCAGGGGTGCTTTTAATTGTGGGCCAAATTAATTTAATTGGATTTTAATACTGTTTTTAAATTTTGTATTTCTTGTGTTTTATTTGTTGGCTGTTCACCGCCCCGAGTCCTTCAGGAGAAGGGCGGTATATAAATATAAACAATAAAATAAATACCAAACAAATGATGAGTACATGTAGTTCAACTTACAACAATTCATTTAGTGACCATTCAAAGTTACAACGGCACTGAAAAAAGTGACTTATGGCCACTTCTCACACTTACGACCATTGCAGCATCCCCGTGGACACATGATAAAAATTTGAACGCTTGGCACGTGATTCATATTTACGACGAATGCAGTGTCCCAGGATCATCTGATCAGCTTTTGCAACCTTCTGGCAAGCAATCTGCAGTGAGTCACTTAACAAGAAAAGCTGCAAAATGGGGCAAAATTCACTGCTGTCTCGCTTAACAACAGAATTTTGTGACTCAACTGTGATCATAAATCAACCTATACTGGGACAACATTTTCACATCAAAATGCATTTAATATGACACTCGACAAGTTTCAAAGCAGTCAAGTACCAAGGTGTGACCGTATACTATTTTTGAGATATAAGTAAATAGGTGAGCCTGAGAAGAAGCAGGCACATTGGCAAACTATAGTTATTTTAAAAATGCTTCTTATATGCACAATTTCCTTAAGTGAACTTATAAATAGTTGGAGTTTTACCTTGAGCCAAATATGTTTTTTTCAAACTATCACATTCCTTCTAAAACTTTCAAGAACCAAAAAAGTGCAGATTAATACTTCCAGAAACACCGGGAGTGTCCATCAATGGAGATTTTAAAGAAGAGACTGGATAGATTATCTAAAATGGCATAGAGTCTCCTGCTTTAACAGGAAGTTGCACTAGAATTATCCTTCCAACTCTGTTATTCTGTTTTCAAAAACATCCTTTTTTTTTTTTAGTAATTCCCTACCTAAATTTCTCAATTCAATTTCTTCCATTCAAGTTTCTTTCTCCACCCAGCCTTCCTTAATTAGTTTCAGTTTCTTCCCAAAACTAATAGGTAACTAAGCAGAATGTCATCCTAGCGTCATTCAGACACGGCTTTTAATTGAGTAATGTGGACAGAATATGAGTCACTCAAGGATATTCCTCTCTGAATTGTCATGATTATGTGCAATATTCAGCACAAGGCTGACATAAAATTGTAAGTTACTAGCCGTGTCCAGAATAAAGAATAACATGCAAGCATCGCTGAGGCTACAAGGGAAAATTAGGCACACGCACCTGTTCTGCAAGTGAGCTTCGAGTTCACATCGCTGCATCGTCTGTGCACAGTCTTCTTGAAAGGGACAAAGGACAAGGAGCTTATCCAGCAGATTCCGCACCAACAAGCTAGACTTCCGGCAGTTCTGAAAGGACAGTTTCTTCCGATCCATGGGACAGAAGCTGTACTCCTGCATGAAGTTTTCAAGACATCTGAAACAATACGTGTGTCCACAAGGCGTGTCCATAGGCTGGAGCAAAGGCTGGAGGCAAATGTGACAAGTCAAGTCATCATCTACTTCATCCTGGAAGTTATAAAGATGGTTGTCGGGCAACAAGTGAATCTGTCCACATTCGTGGCAAAGTTCTCCAGATTTGGAGACAGGTTCTTCTCCTGCAGGATTGGCCATGACTTCAAACCTCTAATGAGCTTACGTCAGCCGACTGGCGATGATGAAGAGCAAGTTCCTAAAATGAAAAGGAAAAATGAATACCGTATAGCTTTAGATCAGATTAAATTAGTAAAACCACCAGTAGGATGATCAAATTCCAATGTTTTGGGGAAGCAGACTTCACATTGAACTTTTTTCTCTGAAGTACTATAGAAAGCCAAAGAGATGACCTTGAAGGGAATATTCAGAAGCCTTTACAGAAACCAGAAGGGTAGAAGCATTCCTGAAGCCCCGGGAAAGGAGGTAGTATTAGGAAGAGGCTCAGGCTGGCTTTTCCCTGACTCAGGGGGAGGGGGGGAGGGGGGAGAGGAAAAACACAACCAGACTTGAAAGGTTTGTTTATTCTAGTCTAGCTCAATACAGCATAATTCCAATCCTCTTGTGCAGTCAGCTGGGCTGTTCTAGCTCATACGGCAGCCAAATACACCATATCAACTGCAAACATTAAATTGAAAAGTATTTTATTTATTCTAGTTGTAAAATAAATCTGTTATTTTCTAAAGCCCACTTATCTAACATATAATGGCATGAATCTAATTTAATGTTCTGTAGCTTTCAAATTTTGTTCATTGATAACAAGAGTTCTTAGAAGCCAGTCAGAGAACACATCCGTTAAAAGAGGAAGAAAGACAAACACAATCCATGATCAACTTTGCATCTTGGACTGAAAGATATTTTCTGGTATATTAAAACTAAGAACTGGAATTTAATTGAAGGAGCAATCTACACTTAACTAGGTAAGACAACTACACTTAACTTACCTAGACAACTAGGTAAGATTTGATGTTAACAGTGCAAATCAATATGAACTATACATGGGAGAAACTGAAATATTTATAGGGGAAGGAAGGAAGGAAGGAAGGAAGGAAGGAAGGAAGGAAGGAAGGAAGGAAGGAAGGAAGGAAGGAAGGAAGGAAGGAAGGAAGGAAGGAAGGAAGGAAGGAAGGAAGGCAGGCAAAGATTTAAAAATAAACATTCTGAGCTTTTATTATTTGGTTCTGCATTCATCAGTCAATTTCTGCCTGAACATCACCATTCTTCTTGATCTATTTAGAGTTTCAACGCTGAGCTGTCAGTTTTCTAGCATTCAGGCAGCTTCAATAGTTCAATAGTTTCTCTGAATCTGCTTTAAATTCCTGGAAACTAGACTTGATTTTAAGAGATAAAAGGTAATCCACACCTGTCTGCAAAACAGGAAGGTGAGCAGCTCTCTTCGAGACTGCAAGCTGCAACTGGTCAATTGTGTCTCCTGCAAAAGAATATCTGACACCCAGTGCTCCATTAAGTCCACAAAACTAAACATGCATTTAATGGGGATTTCAATTAATTTCTTTGTAGTAGATTCCATTTCACTATTGTGGATTTAATTTATTCAGTTTTTCTACTCAGATACAGAGAGAGGAAGGGAACCTCTACATTTTCAATCATGCCTTAATAAAGCTTGGCTCCCTGGGAAGTTTTTAAAAATGGCTCAATTAGAAGAGCAGCAATAAAAATATCAAATGTTCTTTGCAACACAGAGCTGCAGCAAACAGCCTACATCTATACTAAGCACATTTTTACTTTCTGCAAGATCCTGAGGTTTTTCTCTCACTATCACCTGCATATCTGAATCTATTCCAAAATTGTCTGCAACTCACAGCAGGCATTCAAGGACACAAAAAAATCAATTTTGGATAAATTCCAGAGAATAAAAGTTGAATCCTTCTAGAAGTGCAAATGTTCTAGAAATATTGATATCATGAGGCTGGGGGGAGGGCGTATTTTTTCATCATTTTCCAGAAAAAGTGAAAGTTGGAGAAAACTTACATTTATGCAATATTCATTTTTATACTTTACTGAACTAAGTTTATTTTGCTTTTTAATGACATAAACTTGATCTGACGTACTTTGCTTTACTCATCCATGTTAAATGAAAAGCTCTAATACACACAATAGGGTAATTATACTAATTCATTCTAATTAAGCATATTTAAATAGAATTAAATTGTGGAGCTCTTAAGAAACTAGGATGTTTTTTTTTTAATTTTGCCAATTTAACAAGGTGGCAAAATGTAAATCTGAAAACAGGATTCCCATGCTTTCGAGAAAAAAATAAGATAAAACAATTGCTGTCTATTTAGTCACATTCTCTGAGTTATCACTGCCAGATTCTACTGCTGTTAGTAACGCCTCATTTTCACCTGTTGACACACTCCAAAATTTTGAAAAATGAAGGGGTTTTTTTCGTCCTTCCCTTGAAAGAAGCTTCTCCTCTCTTTCACTGAAGTGGATTTTATTTATTTATTTATTTACATTTATATGCCGCCCCTCTCCCAAAGGACTCGGGGCGGCTCACAACAATAAAACAACAACAATAAAATGAAATAGAAAAATAATTCAATTAAAAACCCAACAATTAAAACTGAATTTCCAACAGATCAGGAGATTTGTTGAAAAAGCCATGTCTTCAGGTCGCCGCGGAAGGAGCGGAGGTCGGGGGCCGTCTGGAGCCCAGTGGGTAGCTCGTTCCAGAGGGTCGGTGCGGCCACAGAGAACGCCCTCATCCTGGGCACCACCAGCTGACATTGTCTGGCCAATGGCACCTGAAGGAGGGCAGTCCTATGTGAGCGCACTGGGCGCAGGGAGGCTGGTAGGAGGTGGTCCTGCAAATACCCCGGGCCCATGCCATGAAGGGCCCATGCCATGAACAGATTTTAACTCTGTCTGAGTTTTTCCCACCTGAAACCTGGCATCTCAATTTCCAGAATGTTCCCAGTCTCTCCCTCTCTCACTCCCCCCCCCCCTTTTTTTTTGCCCCAGCACTGATCAGATTTAACTTGCAAGGTTGGGACTAATCTTTTTTTTCGGGGGGGGGGGGGGGAGAGAGAGAGAGGACGGGCATGTTGTGTCTTCTTGCCTTGCCAGCATGCACAGATTAGTTAAATCCAGGGTGGATTTGATTTAAATCGAGTTGATTTAAATCACAATTTAAATCATGATTTAAATCACTAGTAAAAAGGCTTGATTTAAATCAACTCAATTTAAATCATAATTTTTAAAGAGCAACTGTCATCTCTGCTACTCCTTTGACCCACTGTTGACACACCGATAGTCCCAGTGTTGCAGAATATACAGCCTCGTGCTACATAACTAAGCTCCATTTCATGCTGAATAAGCTAAATTATTTATGTATCTTAAATAGAAAACTATCTTACGATAGATTTTTACCCCAAAAGTTTTTTATTAAAATAAATTCGATAAAAATAAAAATAAAAATCCAATTTAAATAAAAAAAATCCAATTTAAATAAAAAAAATCTGATTTTTTTGATTTTTTAAAAAAAATCATTGATTTTTATCCATCCTGGTTAAATCCAATTCTCCACAAAACTCTGCCTTAAAACAAGAACATCCTGATCATTAAAGCTTTTTCTTTTTTTTTTTAAAGGAAACAATCAGAGTCCAACCTCCAGAAACGGTTTGGATGGGGAGGGAATGCTTTTAAAAAGAGCAGTCAGGCTGATAAGTGCAGCAGGAAGTCTAGAGCACGAGTCTGCAACCTTGGCAACTTTAAGACCTGTGGATTTAATCTCCCCGAATTCCCCAGCCAGCGTGGACGGATGGGGAATTCGGGGAGTTGAAGTTCCCACATTAATGTTGTCCCAGGTTGGACACATGTGCTCTAGAGGGAGAGGAATTAAAACAGTTGCTAATGAAACACTGGCCAAAGTGAACAGAAGAGCAACAAAGATGATTAGGGGACTAAGGCTAAAACATACAAAGAACAGTTGCAGGAATTGTGTTTGTCTAGTCCAATGATGTCTAACCTTTTTGCCATCGCGTGCCAAAAGTGGGGGGAGCGCGGGCGGGGGGTCGTGCATACATATGCCCACACCCATAATTCTATGAGCCCCGCCCCCTGAGCATGCATGCCTAACGCCCCCCCGCACTCCCCCCGCTTTGGGCACACGATGGCATGGGGGCCCAGTAGGCCCGTTTTTTGCTGTCCCCAGGCTCCAGAGCCTCTCTAGGAGTCTGGGGAGAGCAAAAAATGGACCTTCCGGTCCCACCGGAAGTTGGCAAATGGGCCGTTTCCAGCCTCCGGAGGGCCTCCAGGTGGGGGGAGGCCGTTTTCACCCTCCCCAGGCTTTTAGAGAGACTCTGGAGCCTGGGGAGAGCAAAAAACAGGCCTTCCCCACCCATCCCCAGGCCCTCAAGAGGCAGGAAGCAGCCTGTTTCCCTACTTCCGGTGGGCCCAGAACGCCCGAAAATCAGGTGGCCGGCGCGCATATATGCGCCGGAGCTGAGCTCATGTGCCCACCGATATGGCTCCGTGTGCTATCTGTGACACGCATGCCATAGGTTCACCATCACGGGTCTCGTCTATCTAGTGAAAAGAAAAGGAAGACTAGGGGTGGCATGATAGCAGTGTTCCAATATTTAAAGGGGTCAACTTATTTTCCAAAGCACCAGAAGGCAAGACAACAATGAATGGAAACTAATCAAGGAGAGAAGCAACCTAGAACTAAGGAGACATTTCTTAACAGTGAGAACAATTAACCAATGGAACCGTTTGCCTTCAGAACTTGATGGGTGTTCCAAAAATGTTGGTTTTTAAGAAAAGACTGGACAGCCATCTATCTGAAATGGTATAAGGTTTCCTGCTTGAGCAGGGGATTGGACTAATAGAAGATCTCCAAAGTCCCTTCCAACTCTTGTTATTCTGTTGTGTTTCCCCACAAGATTCTAACGAAACATGTATATGAACGCTGTACAGGTAGCCCTAGACTTACAATCACAATTGAGCACAAAATTTCTGTTGTTAAATGAGACATTTGTTAAGTCAGTTTTGTCCCATTTTACAACCTTCCTTGCCACAGTTGTTAAGTGAATCACTGCAGTTGATAATTTAGTAACCTGGTTGTCAAGGGAATCTGGCTTCCCCACTGACTTTGCTTGTCAACAGGTTGCAAAAGATGATCACATGACCTTGGGAAACAGGAATGGTGAGATAAGTATGAACCAGTTGCCAAAC